TAATTACGTTAGTATTTCCGTTTGGAAGGTAGTTTTTAATTACAAACATTTTCATATATTCGCTTTTACGCTGATGTTGTTACGTATGATATAATTCATTTAAAAATGCTATGCCAGAGCGAAATGGACTTTAATAAGAATTCCTATTTTTAATTGAAAATACGAACTAAATTATTTTACATACAACGAATATACAGATGTTCCAAAACAGCTGCAAAAATTTACGCCACAAAGGTAATTATGTATTATACCGGCGAGTTACCTCTCCAAAAACTTTAATTTCCCCATCAGCTGGTTATGTCCGTTATCTCTATTGATTTTTTCCAAATTTCACCTCAATACTACATATCTAAATTTCTTGAAATAGTCTATTATTTTAACTTAAACGCCGAGTAATGAGCATTAAAAACGAGCAAAGTCGTTAAAAAAGAATATGAAATCAAGGATAAATTTTATTGCAGCACCCCGTGTGCCTTTGTATACAGTTACAGCTGATAGAAGGAAGGCTCGAATTTAATCAGGTAAGCAAGAATCTGTCATATTCGCATAACGCATCAATTTTGCACGTGTAAATATGCTAATTAATTAATTTTCGCCTAAATTTTAATGAAGTTTAGATAATAAACCAGAATTAGCGCGGCCGATGGAGCGGCATGCAGAAACTTGCACCAGGAATTTTTAATTGTCGAAATTAAAGCGAATTGGTGTTAATGATGCAAATCATCAGCGAATTGGAATCGTCGAAGTAATTCCAAATATTCATTCGCTGTTAAACAATTTAAATGTATGCGTTTCGACCGAGTCGGTTGTGCAAAAATTTTTTTTCGCAGTTTTAAAAGTGAAAAGTCGCCGATTAAAAATAGACCGACCTTGGGAAGTTCGATTTTAACAGCTTTTTCGGTTGGGAATATCGGTACTAATTCGCGCGAAAAATTCGGCGTTTTTCGCTAACATCTCCAACGGTCGCAGTGACACTTCGGGAGAAAATTTAGGAAGTCTGGCAAGCGTTTATAGGACGAATATTGTCGAATGGTGTGATGAATGACCTTGATAAACTTACGCGGTCGTAGATAGAAACAGCGTTGCCACATTCGAAGCAACTCGTCATGGTCGAACGTCAAGGTAATCAAATGACCGCCCAGAACGACATAAATCATCCATGTATCATGAAATTTTAATAACTCCACAGTTAACAGGCTTAAACGCCAGTTAATGTACGAATTTTACAGCGAGCTCGTTCGGCTTTCAACTCGGGAAAATCGGCGGAAAACGGCCGGATTCCGGGCCCGGGACCGGCGAAAAATTTTATATTTAAACGGAATTTCGAATTTTCTTCTACGCAAGGTCAATGCGAGATTCGTGAGCCGATCGCGGAGCCGTTGAAACGAATTTTTATCCAGCGCACAGAACGCAATGAAACAAATAACCCAGGAATGCTTAATAGGCCCTAATAAAACGAATTGGCTCGTTCAGCTTTATTTGTACATTTTTTTTTCCTAGTCCTTAATTACATTTACTTGCAAATTTATTATGCCATCCATATCTCGACTTTTTTTTTATCATTACCGGTTTTATAATACATACGCAAGTTTTTTTTTTTGAATGCGTAATGGTTGCTGCTTCTATTTTTGCTACATCTGTTACTTTTTACTAATCTAAACGATTGTGTACATAAGTAGTTATTACTTAGGCAGGTTCTTAACATTTAAAACAACTCTGATTTTCTCACAAACCTCTCTAGCAGCTACAAGAGCAGGGAGAACGCGGCAAAATTCACCTTGATGTATTAAACTTTTAATATAATATTCATTATCAAAATTGAACAAAGATATTAACCTCTACCTTGACTTCAGCATTTAATAAGGTCAAATGGGTTTAACTGCGTTAAAAATGTTCCGATTACCGAAGCTTTGAGTCCTAAAATAATATTTTAAGAGCGTTATAAAATTTGCCTGAAACGGACACGGTCGGTACGGGATTATAACAAACTCGAGGAAACAAGGATTCCTAAATATTTTTTTGCTCGCTGGATACCCGGACAGCAATTAAATTTAATTTTCCCAATTTCGGCCCGAATGTGTTTCGGAATTGCGTTTTTTCACGTCGAAGATTCGCTCTTTAAAAGTGAAATGGTCCGAAATTGAAAACGGAAAAACGGAAATTGTGTATTTTTTTATTGATTGGAAGGGGCGAGACTCCGGCCGAGGAATTGACATGTGAACCTGTCTTGCATTAAGCAGGAGAAATTTCAGAAAAATCAATCGACCCGAGCGAAATGTTCACAACACAACAACAACTCGCCCTGTGGAATCTAGTAAACTAAATACGTTTGCAAAATAGAGTAATTTGAGAGAATCTCAAAATATCTCGAGCCAATTAGACAAACCTAATGGTATATTCAACTTAACGAGCTCCAATTTAACCTAGATCAACTGTTAAATCCCCAACAACTCCTCATTTGATTGAAGTATTTGTGTAAGGGCAATTCAGCGTATAAATTATCCGAATTGAAGAAGAAATTAGTTGGAAAATCTACGAGCAACGTTAAACTAAAAAAGAAAATCTCAAGCACGACAAATTCGCATTCAACAGGTCCGATTCTCCAAGAAAAATTCCAAACGAAACGAATTCGCGTTTCCAAGAAATAAAAATCCTGTAAATTTTAATTTTCTAAACGTATACTTTAACATCTTTTAATCGAGACACGTGTATTTAAATTAGGTCAAAATGCTTATAATTCTAGCGCAGAGCCGCATTTAACAGTTTATTAAGCACCATAAATAAACTACATAATTTATTTTTATTTATTAAATTGTTTAATGAATAAATTAAACGGATTATTAATTAGTTCGGTAGTCATAGCGTCTACAAATAAATAAAATTTTACGTCTTTTTTATTTCATCTCTATTCACCCAAATAAAACCAAAAAAAACATCAAATCGACGAGCCAGAGCCGGGAAAATTAATAAAAAGCCCGGTGAAAATTCGACGATGCAAAAAACGCAAAAATAAAAATTTCGAAATAGGATTTTAAGGTGGACTCGATTTCGATTACGCCCGAATAATTTTTCCATTTCGGACTAAACGCATTATCAAATTAAGGGAGTTTACTGCGGTTTTTTTTATCGTTCATTAAATTTGAAATGTGCACATCGGGTACGACTTCATCACCATCTCTAAACGAATCAAAAAACTAGCGTAAACCGCAAATTTAGTTGATTGTGGTCGGTTACACTCGCTGATTTTCACGGGACATGTCCCTGAAAAAAGCAATTTATTTCTTCGGTTGAAAGACGAGCAAACATGTGAACACATTAAAAATGAATTCGACTCATACACCCTCGAGCTTACAACATTTGCTTTTACTTCAAAAAGGTATTATTACTTGATAACGGATCAATTTAGAGTTTACAACAAAACTTATGGAATCCTCGGTGAAAGTATCGCATTACTTATTTATCCTAAATCGCGCATTTATCCGGGTATTTTCGAAGAAGAAGAAAAAAGAAACTTTTAGATCGGTTCGAATTAAAGAAGTGTTATCGCTTAGTCGTTATGAATCAGTAATGTTCTGAAACTTGCGGAAATTTCCTCGAGATTGGCAACGGCTTTAGAAGGAAACTTGAATAGCAATCAAAGCACAATTAAGCAACGTCAATTAATGAAGAATTCGCATTGTAAAGGCTGCTAACAAGAGATATATTAAACGAGCATTCCGAACATTTACACACCAAACTTTAGTTTCTGTATGTTGTGGAAGTTCGTTGAAGTTCACCCTTGTTCCGCTGATAATCCAGCTACGGAACGGGAACATGTCAGCGACTCTCTCTGTAACATGCTATTATTGTGTGAAAGGGAGGCATGCAAAATATGTTGCTCGTCCATTAATTATTCAAAATTTAATCCGAATCGGTTATTATTTAAAACAATGTCGTCCTCAAAGAGTATATTCCTCTACCAATCAAGCGAGCACTCTGTAAATGTTCGATACGAGGTAATATAATACTGCGAATGTAATGAAATGAAACCGAGCTCGCTATATAAATTTCATCAAACTCTAATTAATTTTATTCCGCTGCTAAAAGCGAAAAACAAGCGATCCAATCGAATTACCGAGAGGAGCATTTCGAATTCAAACTTTTCGAATGAACAAATAACTCGGAGAGCGATTTTTTGTTGAAGCGATTTTTCGCTATACACAAACTTCTCGACGATCCCTTGTTAAAATATAAATATTGATTGTTCTTAATAGGTCAGGTAAGCGTCAACAAAAACCATTAAATTTCGTGAATTTTAATGAAACCGAAGTTTGCAAAAGATTTTGCATATTTCAAGAATAAACAAAAAACCATACTCAATAAAGCATTGCAAAAGTTGAGGAAACAAGAATCTAATTAGCGAACTTTTTCCCCCAACAACCCTCGAATATTTGGTTTTATTTATAAATACTGAAATATATACTTAGAAACCTACAAATACCACAAAATTATAATCAAACATCTCCCCCAAAAAGTGGGAAATATTGTTAATACGAAAATAGTTGATCTCGAGCAATACTCGAAAATATTTGCATTTTAAGATAAACATTTTCGCGAATAGTTTACATGAGAAACTGCAATTTTCAGCATTTATTTCGGTATTAATAAAAAATCGTGGACATGATTCTCGAAATAAAATCGTGTCGAGTGTTATTAATATTTTAAATGCTTTTCGTATTAGCAGATGCAATTAGCAATTAATAATTATTGTATTTAAAATAAAAGGAATTATTGCATTTAGAAGTAACGCCGAGATGTAATCGGATGGGTTACTTTCTAAAAATCGCCGTCACGAATTCGGATTTTAAAGTAATTTTCCAATTCTTTTTTAATAGATTTTTTCGTTTGCCACTTTCATTTTAATCGGCCTGTACATTTTTGTATTAATTCCAGCCGTTTTGTTAATGTTTGCAATAAAAATTCGGTTGTTTGATTAATTAGAAATAATTAAGCAATCTTACCTTTACATTTTACGCCGACTCTTCCCTGTCCCCAAATGTAGTCTTTACCTGCAAAGGAAATGGACATTAAATAATTTTCTCGACCGAAAAAATAGGGTTTTTAGAACAAAACCGTCTACTGTCGGTCGCCGATAGACGATAATTTTTTTTTTAACTCGAGAGGTCAATTCGAGCTTTGACACAGTCACTTTTTAACGATTAGCTGTCTTATAAGCATACAAGAAATTAAAGGTTTTTGTACATGTCGAGATTTAGTGGTTCCAGTCTAAACACCGGTTGAACTTTCACGCCTGGCGCCTGTAAAAGGTTTTACATGGTATTGCTGGTTTCCATCTCGCCAGCTCAAAATGAATATTCATGTTTAAACTCGTACACCACAGTCCACATACGTTTAGAAAATGATTGGTGATTGGCTACCGAACGACTAGCAAGCGTAGATCGAAAATTTTAATAACATTACATATTATAGATTATACAAGGCGTTCCGAAACTAAGCTTTAATTGTAGAATGTCGTGAGGGTGAATAACGCATCGAAATTACAAAGTTCGTATGTCAACAAATTTTAATTATGTATACACAGATGATTAACGAATTTAATCGAACGAAAATTTGCATTCGATGGAAAAGTTGACGTGCCGACAAGTCTTGTTGTCTGCCGTTTAATGCTTATTAATTTATTATCTGTTTGATCAAATAACCTAGACGTGAAGTTTGTTCTTAACCTACAGCAACGGCGAAAGAGTTTCCCAGCTAAAAATAGCCCGGCTGACAACGGGAAAATTTATTCAAAAATTAACCAAACGAACTTGGAAAGGTTAAATTAAATTGACAAATGCAATTAGGAATTTAATTACCTGTTCGGGAGTTGGGCAAAATTAAATTGGTGCGAGTGGAATTTAACTTTGGACACAAAACACTTTTATAACGACGTTACGAAAAACCGGATTATTTAGTTAAAATATAATACACCTACCTGGCACAATGAGTGAAATGAAAGAAACATCCAAACATTGCAATACCACCAAATCAACTGAGTTTATCGCAGATAAAAATATTAGATAAAGTTGAATTTTATTAGCAGACTGCTCAAAAAAGGGGATACGCGACGATATAAACGTTTTCATTATTGTTTAGCATACCAATTGATTACTTTAGAAATTTCCACTCTCGCAAACGAAGGCAGGTATTTATGTATCTATTAGAAACAGTCTAAAAATAGTTATCGAACCTCTGATCGTACGAAAAAAAAAAAACGTTAGTACACGCTATTCCAGGAAAATATTACATTTTCAAAATAGCTCAAGTTTAACAAAACACACTGTGTTAATAGCGGCGGGGCGAAATTACGCGAACAGTCTGATTGTATTTACAAAAGTCGGAACAATTCTTCCAAATGAGTGAAGCTGCAATCAAAACAAACCGGGTTTATATATTTAAATCCAGTACACAAACTAATTCAAAGGCCCTTTACAAATAGTCAATTAATCAGGGCTTCGAACCGGAACGGAGCGAAATCAACCCAACAAATAATACCTAAACACAGCGTACAAACGCTTGCTGATAGTCCATCATTAGGACTGCATAGGTACAAATGGAATAGCTGGAAGCATCTGTCAGTTCGATTTCAGATAGCTTTTCAGCCGCTTCACCGAAAAGCCTATTAGTTAAGAGGTTTATGTCATCATCGGCGAAGCACGATTTTCATAGCGAGTCTTTAAAACAACACTAATTACATTATACGAAAACTAATATCCTTAGAAGCCGCCAAGACAGGACATCAATACTGAATATTCCCGACAGAGAATTTTTCAGGACACTTAAGGTCATTCCGTCCCGAGCTTTTCCTTCGACGGAAGTGATTAGATAAATTACTCCGATGGCGGATTAGTTAATGCTTCCGGAGTCGGGCGTCATTTTTTTTCGCAAAACAACATTATGAAAATTGGGGCGAAAATAAACAGGATGTCGCCGGAAATAAAAACCATTGGTACGAGTCGGATAGAAGGAATTATTGATGAGGAAGTCAGCAAAGCGATATAAATATAAACAAATGCTGTCGCTGCATTTATCTATAAAAATATTAATAGCTACAACCTTTCCTCTCGGCTAAACTATTCAATACGATTTTTACAAACGAGAGGTATTAAATTTATAACACATAACACGTTTACCTTCTTATCAAATGCGTAAAGATATTAATTTATTTTATTTACCTTAACATTCTACTAATAGTGTACGATATAAATGTGAAAATAATTCATTCCAACGAGAAATGTCAATTGCATTAACAATTAACACGCTCGTATACAGGGTCTTTCTTAAGTGCGTAAGGGAAAAATATCCAATCAATTAATAAAAAAATGCAGCTAATTTACATTAAAACGAAGCTTTTCAATGCGTCCATGAAATATTCCGTGGCGAGAGATTAGACGCGACCACTTATGTCGCGTGTTTCGTAAACAACGCAATTTTTGTGATTAAATTAAATGTTATTGCCCTAAAAATTTTAATCTCGACAATTTAATTGACCCATCAGTCTCAGCGAGATGAACGTATCTTATCGTCCGTCTTCACTCGTTCTGATAAACATTATGACACGCTTTTATGAAACGAATTAGGAAATTGTATAATGTCGGTGTGAGGTTGCGACTTTTATAGAGGGAAAATAACGGGAAGAACACTTTTCCATTTAGAACGACGTAATTAATTTCCGTATAATTGACGGAATTAAATCGGCGATTGGTTTTTTTTTTTTCGAGAAAGAGTTAACGCGATGCGACTTTTAATTATGTTGTCAAATTATCGCACATTCCGTAGCTCCGAAACGTATATAAAAAACAAATTTTATTATCTACCGTCTCATGCCATAAATACATCTGATTATTACAGAAAATAGGATCATTATCAGTCGTTGAACCTAATCGCATTTTGTCTACTTGCTTTTTCTAAAAATATGTACCTAACTGATGCATAATCGATAAAATCGAGGTGTGTTTTTCATCGTTGGAACAAAAAAACATAAAGGTATACTATTTTAATTAAAAATTGAAGAATTATCTAGGCACATATGCCCCAAAACAAACATTTTGCTAGTTAATTAACTCAGCAACGTGAATGCACAGGAGACTGGAGAGAGTCTGCGGATATTCTGGCATCAAAAGTAATCCAATTAAAACAACCGTTCGCGTAAATACAATTTAACTAAAAACCGCTTATTACAACATTTTTGATTCCACGTTACGTAAAAAGCCTGCGAAAAAAATAACCGCCCTGCAGAAAGGATTTACTGGCCAAACCCTAATTTTTAACGTCTCCACACCAACGGTCCCCGTCCCAACAATAACTTCATTATCCACTCTTCTCCGATTCCACGCTCTCATCCGACTTGATTAATCCTAAGACTCCGTTTTCAAAGTTAATTGCCGCCGCCTAAATAACCATTCAGCGCAAAGAAACGCAGAGAATAGAGAAAAAATCACAAAAACGAATCGGATCACCAGCGAAAAATTCCACAATACAAGAGCTGGGCGAGCACGACGGCCGGGGGGAACGGCGGGGGAAAATGAAAACGTGAAAAATGCCGAAGAAGAAGCCGGGCAGAGCTCGAAAAATTGGCCGTATTATGCGAAAATGTTCATTAAATCTATTCCGTTTGACTTACAGCAGTGGGTCATGTGTACCTTATACATATTAAAATATTCGCCATTGTTCTATTCCAGCACATGTGCTGTATATTAAGGGCTATCGATGACTCATCGAATCGTTTAGGTAAATTCTGAATGACAGGTTCATTTCTGATAATGCGCTGGCAAAAAAAATCGGCTTCTTCTTTTTTTCGTCTAGACAACAATCGGTTTGTCTATGGATTATAAACCGACCCGTGGCGGAATTGGGAATTTTATTCGCGAACTAATTTGCGATTTTTCACCTACACGGGCAAAAGGAGCTTCCTGGTAAATATCCATTGTCTCGCTGTAATATCCCCGACAATAGAATGCCTTTTATGTCTCGAATACTACACCTATCAAACCTCCAGCAGTAAACAACTTACAGCCTTATTTTCAAATATCGGTACTTTATATGAACGAACGACAGAACAATATTTTGTTTAGAAAATAATGGCTTGTTTACGTATTTCGCATTTGAAGGAAATTGGTTCAATCTAAGTGCTTTCCTACTTCCCTTTTCGCTATTAAAAAGATTGATTTTTGAATGCGGCCCTATAAATATTTTACCAACGGCCAAGACAATTTCTGGTAAAATGAAAACAATAAAGCGGCTGCTCTCGCGTTTTAATGCAACAAAAATAAACCGCCGACGCGTGTCCATGGCAACAAGTACATATTACTTACCCTCCTGATTTCGGTTTGATAGCGGGGACACGTTGAATAAAACAACCGGCATAGATTTTTTTTCCGCTGCCCCAATCGCGACCACTCGGCAACAGATAAAAATGATAAGTCGACCGGACACTTTTATGGCAGAAAAAAAAAACTTCGATATCGAAGATCTAAAAATAACCCGCATTATATTTACCTAAACGCATTTTCTACCGGGACCTTACGATTCTTTTCGGCGAGTTCGTGAAATATATTACTTTACAAGAATGGTGAATGTTTCCACGGAATATACCATCAATTTTCCCGTGGATACTGTTATCAATAAACGAATTCAATACGTTTGTCGCAATCTATTTGATTTCATAGGAGATAGCCTAACTCGATCTATCATCTGGAGTTAGATTAAATTGTTTACTATTTAGAGCAAAAAAAATGTGTCGTTATTATCTTGATTTGTTGAGGTATTGCAAATATTTTACAAGGTAAAAAATTACAATGACCTCTTTTTTATTTATCAAAAAATAACGACTAAAAAAACCGAATAATATACCTGAAAATTATACACTCTTGTCGCCTACATATATTTTTTATTTCTAGTGCAATAAGCGGTGAACTATTAACTTAATGTCGTAGATAAAACTAATCCTCATTGCTTTTAAAACCAACATGAACAAAATTACAACACAATTAGTCAAACACATAATCGACATGAAAATAGTTGCGGGTCCTTGGACATCGCATAAAAAAATATTGACATTCGGCTTACTAATTGTAATTATATCGTAACGGGAAAGTATTCGAAGAAATTAAAGAAAAATTAGCCGTATCTTCGAGATTAGTAAACTAAATTTAGGAGCTGTAAAAGCAATTACCGGTTATCGCACGGTGGATTATACATGTGTAATTTTAAACGAGGCCCTGCGTTTTTCCACTTTACTGTTGAATAAATTTCGACTAGGAAATCCAACAAGAATAACAACAAAATTGAGCTTTGATGGCAAAACTTTAGAATAACCTACTGTGTAACTGATAAAATATACTCACAATGCTTGCAGAGAATTGGAGTTAGAAAATATACATCCTCTAACTTGTGGCTCAGCTTCACGTTCATTCCTAGAAGTAAAACAAAAATTAGTACTTTATTATTACATAGTTAATGTACATATTTCATTTGCAACCCTAACTCAAAATCTTTCTATTTTTTAATAAGTCCCAAAGGAATACGAAATGATTATTTGCCCAAAAACCTAATCTCAAGGGCAAATGTTTACCAACAAAATTATATTATAAAATATTCATAATTTTTTGATGTCCACAGTACGATTTCAATGGAACCAGTAGAGAATTTAGGAGAAGACATGTACAAAAAAATCAATAAAACCGGGCGATCTTTGATAAATTATTCATCAAGGCATTATGAAATTAAAAAAAAAATGATAAATTAATAACGAATTTACAGAATACATTAATACAACACCTACAACAACAGGTTTTGAAGTACTATTTACATTAACATAATCGTCGTTAAGAAATTTCACAATTTCTTAGCAATGAATGAAAAATGTTAATAAAAGCCAAATAAAGAAATAATAACATTCAACATATTTTCAACGGAGAAGGAGAATAGATAATATCACAACATAAATAATGCCTATTAAATTGAATACAAAATTTTCAACTGTCATATTCCTATGCTAAATTCCCAACGAATAATCACATCTACATATCTACAGGAATGCTCAAGCATAGAATAAATAAACGCAATCGTTTTGTGAATGAATTTATAGTGCGAGTCCTTCGTATCCTCGATTGAAATTGCAAAGCATGAAGTTCTTTGAGTAATTTTATACACGATTTATTACGAGAAAATTGTAATCGGACATAAATTATTTTAATAATCGAGCATGTGACATTGAAGATTTTTACAATTTACATACAAAAAATAGGAATACGAAATTAATCCCGTATTAATATTATCTGTTCATCTTATATTTTATAATTTTGTTTGTTGTTTGCATGAAACTAATGTACCGAATGTTTAAATATGTAAATTAATAGGAAAATACTGCGTTAAGTAAATCAATTTGTTCCAGGTTTATGTGCCGTAGTGCAGAACATGTTTATAATACAAAAGATGAAATATTGCAGCATAATTCGAAAGGAACATATTTTTCTAAGACTGCAAATTATGCGTTTACAAACACGATACTTACTATCTACTTAACACATATTCAATAAAAAATTAGCATTTTACTACAGAATAGTAGAAATTAACATAATAGAAGCAACAAAATTGCTCGACATATAGTTGCAAATTCAATTTGTACAAATTTATAGAGATGATATACAAACAAGACCACGACTGAATTTAACATCTGTACTACTGTAAGCACTACTATTCAAACATTGCATTTTTTTCCCAAAGATCCTTATATGTCTGTAATATGAACTCGTGTGGAGATGTTGAAATACTAGAGAGAAGGAAAATTACATTTATATTAAAGAAAAAACAGAAACCTCAAAGTGATGATGAGCAAGATTGAGGGTAATGACACTTTTCACGTACGATAAGCAAAATTATTTTTGTTATTATATTGCTTAATCCACCAAGAGATCAATTAATGTACTAATTAAGCTTATTGCTCCGAGATTACATACAATGTAACGTACTGTCAATGTACTAATATCACCCGATTAAAGTGACAAGAAAGTACAACATTAAGGTAATCTTAATTGGGAAAATTGAACTTGAATTGATTCTTATTTATTCTTATGTTCTATTTCGGTAGAAATGTAGTGCGAAGAGTTGTAGTACGAAAAGCGGTTAATATCCAATCTTGGTCTTCTTCGATTCGAATAAAACTGCAGTTACCCAATTTAGTAAATTCTACTCCGCATGCCGATGGATGGTGAATGGTTTTTCCGACTTCGGATCCCAGTAATTTGACGCATTCGACTAAAAAAAAAGGGCAATTAAATCGCTGGTATCGATGATTAGAAATTCGAGTGATGTGGTTGGCAGTGATGTGGTTGCAATTCAAGGAAAAATACGACAAAAATCGCCCGAGATAAGGACTCGTAGCAAACCTTACATAATTTTAATCAAACTACAGGAAAGTATCTAATATATAAATAACATCATGACTAATAGGATTGTAAAATCTTTCTGATAGCACTACTTCCTCGACAGAATTTATCTAAGCATTGTGGATTTCGTACAACGACAATTTATTATTTTTAACTAGTATTTATTGGATTTTGAAATACAAATCAGAGAGTAAATTAATCGAATCTCTAATGCTAAAAACATCATAAAAAAAGTTTTGAATAGATAGTGAAAGTATTATTAATACTTGCTATTTCTTTGAAGTAGAAAAATATGTATTCAAGCCTACCTGGAACATATCCAACATCATTAGTTCTCCTACTATATGCAAAAAGCCAACCTGGCCTATTTGATTGTGTGTTTTCAAACGGACTTTGTATGGATACTTCAAATACATCGCCTTTTTGGAAATCCAATTCATCTTCTGAGGAAGATTCAAATGATTTGATTGCTTGATACAACTCATAATCCCCCATTTCAGGCTAAATTCTAATACATACAACTTATTGCAAATTTCCTGCATTACTTGTGTTTTCAGGAAATGCTAAAATACTTGGAAAAGTTACCAAAACTAGCACCCTATTATTGCTGTAATTAATTAGTAGCGCAGTGGGTTTAAACGTCCAAAAATCACTATTCATAATTTCTTTTGTGAAGACTATCAGCATTAATTCTGCATTTCAATACATCTAATTGGGAGCACCAAAATAAATAAATCCTCAATGTAGGGTGCCTTCTTTTGGTAAAGGCATCAAAGGTGTTTCTAATTGCTTCCAATCTCAAGCTCCCAATTTTCTTGGTTAAAAATTAACACTGGGAGGCAGTCGAATTAACGTAGAACCTTTTTACATAATTTTTTTCTCACAATTTAACGATCTTAACAAACAAAACACCAGAAAAAATAAAAAATGGCGTCAATATAAAATAAACGTCAACGTCAAAATTCATCATTCAAAAACGATATTTCAATTCGTTCAAAAAGACGTCAAATTGTGTTGCCAACTTATAAACTGAAAAAGTTCCAACAGGATTTTGACCTAATTTCTTTTATTATGTACATAATTCTTTAATTAATAAAAAAATAATGGTTGCAGAACATGTTTAACATATAAACAAGTTAAAAAATACTAATAATAAACTAAATTAAATTGTAATACGGATTCGTATTTTCAACGATTAATCGATTAATCGTTATTCATTCGAATCGTCGACGTAAACGATGACATTTCATTTTTGTAAATCGATATTTATTTTTAACTTGTATTTTTGTTCAAAATTAACAGGTGAGTGAATACTATTAACCATAATTATCATTAATTTCGCCATAAATCATCCACTGTAACTAATATATTATTGATTTTAGGTTATGATTAACTCAGTCTCGAAGAAGGACTAATTTATATGGTGCTTACATGGCTTGTTTTTGGTTAAATTCGAAGGAAACATCGATAAACATTTTCAATACAAAAGAGGAAAACAATGTAACTTACTATGTAATTACAGTTACTGTCGCAGACTATAACTGGAAAGTAGCTCATCGTTACAACGATTTCTACGATCTGCACAACCAACTCGTCATAGACCATGGTGTCTCGAAAGAAATCTTACCATCGAAGAAAGTCATCAGGAACAAATGCCCGGCATTTATCGAGTCGAGAAGGAAAGGTTTAGAAGAGTATTTGCAAAGGATCCTCGTCTTTTTGAAACGTACAATGCCGAAAGTATTCGTGGATTTCCTCCAGTTTAACATATACGATATTTTCTTTTTACTCCAAGATTTGTCTTCGAAATTGTTTCTAGAAAGCGACCAGATTCTTTCTAGCAAGAAAATGTACAACTTTACTACTTTGCAAGTAAGAAGTTGTTAAATGATTTACTACTTAATGATTTACGTATTTGTTTTTAGTTACATGCTCTAAGCGAGTTTTTGAAAAAACCTTTATTGGATCAAACTGAAACTAGATTTGATATCAGTCCTGTGGTAGATTTATGTTCCCAGTTAATTTCGATTACTGTTATCGGAGAATCTAAACCGTATTTACAAAGTAATATCATATTGGATAAATTAACATTCGATCTTACCTCTTTTAAAGTGAGTGGTATTACTTGCTCATTTAAAAAATACATGCTATTTTAATTTTTAGAGTTTGAAAGTATTATTTATGAAAAATATCACGTTTGAATGTATTAATTCCCTTGGTAACCTGAGAAGTACCATTCAAAAATTGCATGTTAATAACACAAACGCTACTACAATATCGCAAGTTTTACAATGCGATGTTATTCACAAAGATAACATCGAAGGAAGCCAGGTAAATTATCAAATATTCCTACCTTATTCAACTACCATAGTCTGTTTCAGAAGTGGGATTCTCTCGAACTGTTAGATCTGAACAACAATAATATCACAGAAATCGACGGTACAATTAAATTAGCTCAGAGAGTAATGAAATTATCATTGAACGGTAACCACATCTCCACCTTAATGAATCTTTCGCACCTTCCGAATTTGTCGCACCTTAACTTAGCCAATAACTTGATTTCCATATGCACGGATTTGCATACGAAAGTCGGGAACTTGAAAATTTTGAATCTTTCTCAAAACAACATCAGCTGCTGCAAGGGCTTCAGTAAGCTCTATTCTCTCGAAACGTTGGACCTGAGTTGTAATAAAATCAACAACGTGGAAGATATTCAATATCTCGGGGATCTGCCCTGTTTGGAGAATTTAGTTTTAACTGGCAATAATGTTGCGACTGCTATCGACTACAGAGTAAAAGTATTGAAGTATTTCGGGGACAGGGCCAAAAATCTTTGTTTGGACAATGAAAAGGCTTCTCAAGCGGAACTCGACAAAGTATCGGTGTTGAGGGCGCTAAGCATTGTAAAAGAAGGCAAAACGCCAGATTTAAAAGCTGGTTTCTCTATTTATTAAATCGTACTAATTATTTTCAGTAAGTTACAAATTATAAAAGATGTTATAAAATATATGTATATTTATGTAAAGTTTTCCCTCTACAAAAATTGTAATATTTTGATTATGTATATATTTTTATTTATTAATAAATAACTATATCTATTTTATTGCGCTATTATTTAAGGGAAGTTGCCTTATAGATCAATCTGGCAACATCGCGTATTAGTATAAGCACGTAGAGGAGTTATTTCAATAAACCATAACTACTAGCAGCGTTGCCAAGTTGAGAAAATGTAAAGCGATTAATATCATCCTATGGCTTATGGTATATTAGCACTAGCAGTTTTTGTTCAAAATAGTGTTGTAAGTGACATGTTAATTGACAAAAATAACCGTTAAATAACCCTTTATTAAAATTAATTCACATTACTAATAAATTAGTAATTACATAAATTAACATGTTCATTAACAGTGATTTTTGTTAATTACCATGTCACTTACAACACTAGTTCAAAATAAAGCACATAGTATGTTACAATTTTCGACCGAGATTCTCTATAAAAAGATTCCCGAAGGAGCAACCTGTTCCAATTCGTATCTTTAGTCGTGACAAAATAACTGAAATCGAAGTTACGTCCATCTCTATGATATCCGGACAAATCCCAAATCTGACAAATGACGTTTATTTTCTGAGCTAAGGTAGAAATTTTAGGCGGTCTTTATTAATTCATTTAAAAATGCCTATTTTATGGCCGTAAAGCATAAATTTTGTGGAAATATGTCAGTAAGCCGTTTGGATGTTTTATATAGAAAAATCGTTTTGAGTAAATACTTTACGAAAGGATGGGGATCACCTGAAAATATGCACAAGTGAGTTGTCTCAAAAAATCAGCCTTATTTTGAAACAGATATTATTTTAATGAGATAAAGTGTAGATATTAAGTAATTTTTAACGTGGCTACGTGATTTCGTGGTTTTATTATACTTACACTGATAAAAATAGTGTGATTCTAAAGGAAATTTTCCACATTACTTTCGATCAATTAATTCCCTCTTTTTTATTTCAGGTTATTTGATTTTAGAAAAAAAATATCAAATAGAGACACATGTTACAGATTAGTGCCAAAAGAATATCCAATTAAAATAATAAATGTAAGTGCTTGCCGACCATCGATTTCGAATATAATGCAATGTATTTACGTAGGTAGTAAATAGATCGGATTGTCGCATAATCGAAGGTAAATTCAGAAGTCCCTTTTCCCTGCATTTACCGGGCTTAGTTAGGAAGGAAGTCCAGGATTCCTATTTTCAAATGATCCTTCCATTGAAATGGAAGAACGATTACAAACCAATTTGCATACACTTGGCAGGCACAGGTGACCATGTGAGTTTCGTAAACAAAAACTTTACAACCGATGTTTACAAACACCTGAATTTTTACAGTACTTTTGGCGAAGGCGAAACATAATGGCCAAACCATTGCTCAAAGACGGAATAGGTGCTATTATATTAGAAAATCCTTTCTACGGCGTCAGGAAGCCCAAGGATCAGCAACGGTCTAGCGTTCACTATGTGTCCGATATCTTCATAATGGGTGGTTGTCTGATACTAGAGTGTCTTGTACTATTAAACTGGTGCGAACAGTTAGGTTTTGGGCCTTTAGGAATAACCGGAATATCCATGGGCGGTCATGTGAGTTTACCTAAATAATGCATACTAATCGATGAATAATTCCTTTGCCAAGCAGAGTAACGACATTCTAATTATATCTATATATGCAGTGTTTTTTAGGGATTAAATTAAGCACTTTTTCGCTATGAAACAGCTCCATTTCAGATTATACTACATATTTTGCTAGCATAAAATATCGTAAGAACAGATACATACTCGAATTAAGTAATAAACAAATTGTATCTGTTTTTGTTGGTTTATTTTTTAAAATTGCACATTTCTTTAGATGGCTTCTTTAGCAGCATCAAATTGGCCAAAACCTTTAGTGTTAGTTCCTTGCTTATCATGGTCCACTGCATCCTCAGTATTTACAGAGGTAAAAAACATCCCCGAAATTTGGAATACACACATTAAAAGCATCGTTTCTTTATAGGGTGTAATGAGCGAATCTATCGACTGGGATATGCTCCAAAACCAATATGAATCCAACAAATTGTTCTATTACACTTTATCTAGATTATGTAAAATTGTAGATAATCCTTTTGCCTGTGATCTCAGTAAACCCTCAGGTAATTAAATCGAAAAGAATCCATCGGGTTAACCCTCGCATCAACCTCGTTTCCAACGAAACTCCATCTGCTAAATACAACGAAAATTCGTTTTATTTCTTTTTAGAAACCCCTCTAGCCATACCGATCCACCTGCTGGACAATTCGCACGTATCGTACGTAACCCCATATCAGCTAATCAGCTACCTCAACTTGAACCCCAAGTGCCAAAACGTCGCCTACAAGCCCAACCAGAAGGGCGGCGCGAAGGAATTCTCGCTGATGAACCTCCTGAAGGAGTCGCCCGCCATAGCGGGCACCAGCAAGAAGGTGCAGGAGATGAAGAAGCGCGACAGGGAGGCGTTGTGGTTCATGCGGGGCATCATGGACGAGTGCACGCACCTGAAGAACTTCTCGACGCCCTTCGACACATCGTTGATAATATCGATTTGCGCGAAGTACGACGGGTACGTGCCCAGGACGGGGGTCTCGACTCTCGAGGACATTTGGCCCGGGGCTACTGTTAAGTACGTGGAGTGCGGCCACGTCGGCGCCTACGTGTGGCATCGGAACATCTTTAGGTACCTTATCTTTGCAGTTGTAGTAATATTGCATACTATTCTAGTTTTTTTTTAATATGTAAAATAGTGTATGAGATAGCGCGGTTCGATCTTTTTATTTTTACGAGCGATAACATTTGAACTATCAACAGATAAATTCGATTAAATTGTCTACGTAATTGCTTTCAGCTGTGTAATGGATGTTTGCATTTTTTTTGCAGAGAGTCGATAGTGGAGGCTTTCGATCGAGCGATGCAAAAAATGGATCCCCCTTCGCAGGCTTTCATAGAAATCTAATATTCCAGTACCATCGACCGTCTAGTGCCTTTTGCTCCAAAAATTATATTTATATATATGTGTATATATTGTTTATGTTTTCGACTCCGATGAGCAACAAAATTATTGTGATACGTTCATTAAAATTCTTATACATCGACGCGGTTTTATTGACGCTAGGCCAAAAAATTCCACCGGGAATCTCGTCAACAAAGGCTAATAGAGATCATCGCAGTCATTCATCATAATCGGGGGCTTCTGTTTATACAGGGTGTAGCCCCCGTTTGGAGACTAATTCGGTGAGAACAATGCGTTATTGGAAAGGTCAGGACACTGTTTTTTGGCGAAAACGCGCAAACGTTTGTAAACACATTTTATTTTCGAATCGGTATCTTTTATTTTGCATCTTAGAATTAATAACAACCTTGTGGGATATCTACAAAATTCTCAGATAATTTTTTTATAATTTCAGGTAAACTGTAAACATTATAAGCACACCGTTTATCTAATCAATTTTTTAGTAACTTTTGAAACACCCCCTGTATTTTTACGAATGCAAGTTAATACTTTTTTGAAACACCCCCTGTACATTTACGAATGCAAGTTAATACTTTTTTGAAACACCCTGTATAACTTTTAGAAATATTAAAAATTACCTATACCAGGGCAAGCGAATGTCATTTACGAGCGCATCGCAAAATAAAAACTAGTTGCACTTTAAAATTTAAAATGTTCATCTGCACATGTACGTCATTCGCGCTTACGCGTTCAATTGATTCTTCTTTTCGCGATTGTCGACACGGCGCAAGTCCGGCAACGTCGCGATTTCGGTATATTTATCGCGCCGGCGATTGGCCGGATCGGTCACGTGTGCCGTGACGCCATCGCCTTTTAGACAGAGACGACGGCAGAGTAGTTGTTTGGTTTTTGTTTCGGAATTGTCAAGTCACATACGCCGATTAGTGAGTTTGTGCGAAGACGTAGCTAAAATTCCGCGTAAATACTCGATTCGAGCTGAATACGAAGCGAAAAACGGTCGAAAAGCCGAAACCGTCGATAATACAAGATGTCATCGAGCAAATCCAGCGTGGACGATCTTCTCGGAGGTGAGATTCCTTGTTTATATTCCCATCTGGCATATGTCACTTTTTCGTATTTGTAAATACGAGCGGATTTGTTTGTAAATACACCATTGTTTGAATTCGACTACAGCATATATTCGACTGGAATAATTATGAAAATTCGAAGACTTCCACGGCGACGTGCCTATTGTTGTCGAATCCGTTTGTTTACTTTTCGTGTTGCATCGCAGTTTTTTTGTTGTGGCAATCGACAAAGAAAATTCGGACGCTCGCATGGCATTTCCCCAGCTAATTTACCTACGATTAGTCAAATTTATTGTAATTAAACGAATCACGTCCGAACCGAACCTTGCCATTCCACCAAATTAATACAGCATGATGCCATATACGAATCCGATGTCACTGACTTTGAGCTTTGAGAGGACAACCCGATACGACAGAAATATCGCGAAAATATTCGAAATTCAAGGATAAATCGCTAGTTGGTGCATGCTTCCTACTGTTGTAACGCATAAATTTCGCTTTTTATGCTCATTCATTCATTAACATACTAAATTTAATCACAATACACTTCTCGCATCGCTACAAAATAACATCCTCTATCCACCAGCTATTCGTACGACGTCTCGAAAGACACCACCGGACACCCATTAAAAGTCGATCGATTAATTATCCGCGATTTAAACCAACACAAATCGACATCCCTCAAATTTTTGTACACCATTCTCTATTTAGATAAATTATCTACAGAGTCATGGGTGGACGTCAGCGCGGGCTCGACCTGCGGCTCGCAGAACGGCGGCACGCCGGGCTCCATCACCCACACCCTCTCCGTCGAGGACTACCTGCGCCTGCTGAAGGAGGCCCAGGAGTCCAACCAGTCGTCGGCGCGGGTGTCGCTGGCCGGCTCGCGGCGCGACTCGCCCCGCAGCAGCCCCAAATCGCCGCCCAACAGCCCCGTCCAGGGCACCGCTCTCAACCTCGAATGGCAGTCCTACTACATCAACACCGAGGCTAAAGAGGTGAGACGATAATTCGACGCGAACTGCTTGATGTCATTATTATTGTACAAGCCAAAAAACTATGCTAAAACAAACTATTCAATGTACATATTTACTTATCAATCACAGGAATTCCCATTGTAAGAAACTTGAAATCAATTGGCTTCAATGAAGTAAATTTTTGAATGAGTTGCCGCATTACCGAACATGTTTAAATAGCGAATTTATGAATTTTTTTCTCGCGCTTGGGCCATAAACCTTGCGAGTAAGTTTATATATACATAAATGTGCTGCAGTGTTAGTAATAATTTCTAGCGAAGGTAAAAGTGCGTTTTTTCGGGTGAGGAAATTGGGAAGATTGCAATGGGATTCCTTTATTCAAAATAGAATGACGCGCTTGCTGTTGATCTGTAATTTACGGTTTGTTTTTTGGCACTTAATCAAAATTAAAGAAGCATGAGTGCGACGATAAGCGGATAGGAAGCGTGGATTAATGCGTAATTTTTAAGTTGTAGAAGTGGTTGTCGGGTAAATATTTTTTTAGCGTTCACACTTCCATTGAAAATATCGGATTACAAGAACGCTAGCGAAACGAAATTTATTATTATTTTTTTTCTTTCGATAATAATACCCTGTTTGTTTGGATAAATTAGTTTAAAAATAGTTTGATTGTCTAGACTCGGAGAAGTCGAACTCTAAATACAGAATGCAGATAAGAGTGTGAAAATTAATCCGAAAATCAATTTTTTTGTACAAGGAATTTCGATTACGTTAATCGGCGAGCATATTTGAAATACATTATCATTTTATTTGTCGTTAATTAAACGGGACTTGTGCACGAATTTGATACCGCCCGAAACGCGTCTGTCAGAAGGCACTCGTGGTTTAATTAACGTGCTCAATGGTGGTTGAAAATGGAACAAACAAGAGGTTTCTGACATTTTAATTGTGTATTGAGACGAAAATATTGTACATACTTAATTAAATATTTATTATTTATTTTGATAACGACGGAATGCTTGTTTGTGTAAATACAAACTTCGTGTGGTAACAAAGAAGAAAGTTTAATTAAAAGTTGATAGCGATTGATACTTAAATATTTGCAAGCAATAAAGTTAATTAGCACCTAAGCGAAATTTTAATTTAGCAGGGATAGCTTTCCGTAAATATTACTCACAACTTAATGATCTTGACCTCTCGATTATCTAGTTATTTTTGTACCCATTTTTGTGCCTACATTGGAGCGAATCTAAAGATAACTGTGCTAACTAACTTTGTTTTATCGCTCGCATTACTGTCCTCTTTGTTCCAATTCCACACCGAAAACCAATGGAATAGATCGAGTAATTAGGAGGATATTTTAAAAATAACGCTTATTTTGTAACAATCGTTAGTGCACCTCTATACCAAAAAAATATTCCCACCTCTATTAAACTTCTGTCATACGAAATGTCAATTTTGGCAGTATCATCGAACGCATCTTAAGTCCCACTAATATATTTTTTTTTTGTTTCCAGGAATCGGACTTTTTCAACGATTGGAGCAGTCGCCCGGACCAGCTCCCGCCGAAGAATTGGGGTTTCCGTCCTCCGAAGAGAGATCTACTTAGTATCCGGTACGCCCGCGTAGGCAACAATAGTGTGTTTTCCCGCAAGGGCCTATGCACCCTGTTTCTCACCAATTTAATATCCCTGTTGTTAGGCACTGGCGTCGGCCTGTGGTTAAGTAAACAAGGATTTTTCATCCCCGCCATTAAAGTACGCTAAAGAGATATGATTTATGTGTCAGTGTTCCAAGCGAATTAATTGTAAGTTTTTTTATATAGCTTATTATTTTCGAGAGATTTCGTTTGAATTGGATTTAGATAAGGATTCCTTTCTTTCCTTTTTTCACGCATTTTTTGATGTAGGAAACATGTACACTAATATGTAAATGTACATAAGGTAAGGCAGGTGTGAGGCAAATCACATGCTCGAATTGAAGAATCTGCTATTTGTAAAGCGTGTGGCAGAATAAATTCTATATTGATCCAGAAATGACGATGTTCAATTATAGCTCTTCTAATGGTTAGAAGGTCCTATTGAATTGGTCTTTGTTGTGGCTGAGTCGTTCCTTCCGCATTTTGCATTTTATATATTTATGTACTTTTTCTTTCTTAAAACACATCACATCGACTAATTTCATTCTAAACGCTTGTGCTCGAAGAACCCTTACTCGAAACTAGTGTTGTGACATGTTAATTAACAAAAATAACCGTTATATAACACGTTATTAAAATTAAATATAATTAACAAGTTAATTTATGTTAATAATAACATGTTAATTAACGGTTATTTTTGTTATTTATCATGTCACTTACAACACTACTCGTAACAATGAATCTTATTTTAATTCGTTAAAGTTTTCTTAATTACAAAAATATAAAGATATCAATTGCTTGTGAACGCTGCCTTGTGAATGAGACTGGGATTTTTCTACTATATATGATTTGTATATGTAGTGGGAGTCAAAATACCACTTTAAAGCTTATTTTGTATTTTAGAAAAAATATACTAAATTTCCCCTATTTATCTACTGTTATTACTTAGATTTAATTAATTTATACTACTAATGTTTAGATTGTAAGTTCTTCTAAAGTGTTTCTTCTTTTACTTTCCTATTCTGGAAAATTAAATCATTATTGTTCTTTAAATAAATGAGAACAACTGCAAACAAACTAGGAATTTTCGTTGATGAATTTTTCTTGCCACACTGAATGAAATTAATTAAATTGAAGTACATAGTATGCAGAACATGTTAAATAAATCCACCCTAGATAGCTATTCGTAGGTAATTACACCAAAATTCCTATTTGTTTAAACAGCCAATGTTGAGCAATAATGGTTCGATTAATATAAGCAGCAGGATTTCATTTTTCATCGTTTGTACTTGATTCATACTGCATGCGCTTGCAAGTGCGACTGCTTAAAATCGTCCTGCTGTTTGTAATCAATTAGTATGTATTTTGTCCGTGGCTGGTAGATATTAAAAAACCGTGGAGTTTGTTAGGTTTCCTTGTTTTCTACCAGTGTTCTGTTGATTTATACTCTAGCTAAGCTGGAGATTTCATATTTTGATAAATACCCCTAGGTTTTAGAATTGCATAAGAATTTAATGTTTTCTAGTAATCAATAAATTTTTTAATGGAGAAAGTTCGTTTTAATTTTTATAACTCTGATATCTGCGTATGCAGTTTCTTATTGCATAATATTTCCATTATTTTTTAAGTGAAATGTGTGTTGCATACATTCAGTAAGTAAAATGTCTATCACAGAAATTAATTGTTCTGTGATGATGAAGTGACAGATTTGTTTTGAGTTTTGACGTTATTGTCCTTGAATAACCTGTTAAATGTCAAAATTGAAAGTGACGAGTGTTTTGTATACTGAGGAAAAGTACGTATTATGAACGATGAAAATATGGAGTTTGAAAAGGAAAATTTCTCGGATAGTGACATGTTAAAAGAAAAGCAGGAGCGTGAAGAATACTTGGAGAAACTACGAAAATGGTTAGACGATGTTAGGTTATGGCGTTACAATGTTAGTTCGAGTTTCCCGTGGAGTTTCGAAGACTATTTGAGGCAGAATTTTAATCAGTCTCCCAATATATTTTTCCCGAATCCAGCGAATGTCAATCAAGGAACCAATCAGTTCGCTCTGCAACAGCGGCTTCTGTTTTTAAACCGAAATTTTCAAAATACCTTTTTTCAAGCAGGTAAATTTCCACTAATATTCTATTCATTGAGTTACAATGGTTTTGCTATTTTCAGGCCAACCCACGCAAAACAATCAAGCCCCACAAACCTATGAATTTATTATACCCCCTTTGTGGAAACGAGCCGCAGCTGAGTTAATAGATTTCCTGCTGTTGCTATTATTCAAAGTTGCACTCACTTTTCTCCTATTGGAAAGTTTCGACGTTATGTAAGGAAACGGCTAATTGGATTATCGAAGTGTTTAAATATTTACATACTGTTTTATAGAGACATGGGGTTTTATGGTTTGGAGTTGTTCCAAAAAAATTTGGAAAATTCAGAAGGGACTGTGCCCATGGCAGTCGAGTTACTTACATTGGAATTGCTGCATCGTGTTATAGTTTGTTTATACGAGGTTAGTATATTGCTGGAAATTCCTCTTAAAATTACTTTTACACGCCTATGCTTATAGACGTGTCAAATACCTGTCATTGTCAACAGAAAAAAAACAGTATTGCCAACATAATTTGCTTATAGTTAAAAATGTTTTGCAGGCATATTTTTTGAAAGGAAAACTATGCGCGACGCCAGGAAAAAGGTATATGGGACTTATGGTGATAACAGTAGAAGCGATTACATCCGTACCGGGCAGACCGTTCGAAACAGTATCTGTAACGAGAGCGAAACCTCTAGGATGGCGTCAGTCTTTTACCCGAGCTACCTTAAAAAACCTCTTTGTGGGTCTATTTTTACCACTGTGTATTGCATTTTATATATTTCCCCACAATCGGACCAGCTACGATATGATGTCCAAGAGTTTGGTGGTGGAATACCACCAAGAATTTATGCTCTACCATTCCAACGTGTAATTATCTAAATATTTATTATGTAAAGGCCAAGAAATAAATGTGATATTGTTTTTCGAAGTTTTTATTTCAACTGTACAAGTGTAAAAAAACAATTTATTTCCTAAGAAGTACGACTTCGATATGCATCGCATTGCATTATTCATACAACTTTTACAAATGAGAAATTTTACCTTGAATTTGTTTATCGCATATCGTAGCAATACTTGTTAGTTATCTATTTAGTAACAATATAATTTCAGTTTACTGCATACATAGAGTCAATTTCACTAACATAAATGTGTCGACTACGTAAAGTAACTTTCTAACAATTTAAATTTAGTACGACTCGCATCGTTAAATACTTGTAAAATTTTCTTAATGTATAAATTTTGCGGCATTAATGTTTCAGACTTACGAAATTCCGTTAATCTAAATTACGAAAAATTAACTAACGAATGTAGCAGTCGATAATTCACTGTCAAAAATTAACGAGTATACTTCTACCCACACAGCAAATTTACGACTCTAGGATATATCAGGGACGTCAATAATGAGACATAGTATATCTCTGAGATCTTCAGAAATATTTTTGAGATATAATCGGGATATCTTTGAGATATCTTTATGTCCGCCTTGTAAACATCTCAAAGACGTGTTATTGAGATATCTCAGAACCGTTTAAAAATATCTCAAAGATATCTCGCAGCTTATATACTTAGTGCATCTGAGATATTATTTTAAATATTATTGAGACATAACCAGAATACTAAGAAAGTACTTTATTTTTTCAAATCTTATTAAATTACATCATTCTGTTCTTGCTCGCTCTTGTTTTTCTCTTTCCCGGTCCTTCCTTAATGTTGCCAGTCTTAGCCAGTTCTTTATAACTTCCGATATTTCATAGTCTGAAGTTAGTTCTTTACCTTTTTGACTGCGAATTGAATCTGAAAAATAAAATTCAAGTATTAGAAAAACATTTTACAGTGAAATTGTGAATGAAAACTCGATGTAACGAAAATTGTATTCTATTATTTTTTTCTTAAACAACTTTTGTTTCACTTGAGTAACTACCTTTTATAATTTTGACCAGCTCTAATTCACAAAACATATTCTTCTTCTTTGCTCCAACCCAACTGTAACATGCCGCACAAGAATTTGTTAAGAAAGCTCGAAGAATATTTACAATTGAAGTTTTTGTATCCTTCCCCAACAGAAGACGACTTCGTTGAAACTAAAATGAATATATAAATCATTATAAAATCTTTAGATAAGTAATTTTTATACTTACAACATATTTTCGTAAATTATCATTAGTTTTTAACATGTTGTTGATACGTTCCATTTCTTCAATGGTGTTTACAGGGAACACACTTTCAAAAATTTCTCTGCACGGATCATCATTTGGTAAATCTTTTTCCCTTTCAACAACTCCTAGTTCGAGCGAATTCAACCTATCCAATATTTCCTGTTGCATCAGGGACACTGCCACTACTTTTCTCTGGACGTTTTGTAATAATTTCATGCAGTCCTCCTGGAAGGCTAAAAATTACACAAAAATTGATTTATGTAAATACTCTTATTTACAAATTTACTTACTTATTGTTAGTTGGGAGGGAACTTCCATTCGTGTATCTTTTGCAGGCGTACAATTAACTAAAATAATTGATCCATTTGAAATTAAGTTTTCTATTAAAACGTAGTTAAGAAAAGTACAGTACTCAAAAAGTACGAAAAGCACTCACCTGTTTTGTCAGTTGGAAACGTTGGATATGCAGTATCTTCATCTTCATCGTCTGATAAAGAATATCTTGTTTCGCGATGTTTTATTTGCCTTTTTTGTACAATTGTTGTATCCATTTCATCTTCGGAGCTGGATAATTTTTTTGTCGCCTTGTACTTTCTTTTTTTCTTTTCTTCTTCTGGATCTGTTGTACAAATGTCACTCTCATCTTCAGCTTCTTTCACTTTTTTTAATCCATACTCATAATTATCTGGAAATATATAACATTTTAGAATAAATATAGTCTAACATCTTTAGGGAAAGTAATCATTTTCTCACCTGTAGAATATAAAATTCTTAAAATTTGACATTTTTGCCAATCTATGCCAGGTTTTATTGAATTTTTAACGGCAGCGTTGTATTTAGCTGTAGTTTTAAAATTCGGCCAGAAAGCTTCATTGTCGCTGTTGATCCAAAGTCTTGGAATAAGTTGCAGGCCATCATCAAACTCAACTACGCAGTACTTCTTATTCATTTTGAACTCTAAGTGTTTAAAATGGAACAAAATTATTATTTTCTATTGTTGCCATAATTTAAAAAAATACTTACCTCACTATGGAGTAAGGGAATAACAACAAATGTATTAGCTTCAAAGGGCAATTTCATATATTTGCACCTAACTTCAGTTAACGGCCAAGTTTTGAGCGCGGATAAGTGTGAAACTACATAAATATCAAGTTTAGATGAATCACAGGGTTTGTGAAATAAATTTTCTTTCTTTACGAATTCTCTACCTATTAGTAACATAGACTGTGCTTCAAACGAATAGGCAATGTTTTCTAACACTACAATATTGCCATTTTTGCCCAAAAAACAATTATCAGAAACAGAAAAAGCTTTTAATATGAATTGATCATTTTGTATTGAATGATATTGAGGATTTGAACATCCTTCAATGAGGGGACCACGAGTATGCAATGTTTTATCAACCATGAAAAATTTTAGATTTTTGTTTTTTGGCAAAAGCTTCCATGTTTGTGTACCTAAGGCTTCTATTTCAGTAGTTCTAAAAAATAATTGTTGAAGTGGTCTTTCAGATTTTCTCAGTAATTTCTTTATCGATGACATATAGTTTTCAAATTTGAAAGCGCTGAAATTATCCAATACTCCAAATTGTTTTACATCTTCAGCAAGATGTAACAGGTTATGAACATTATGGGAAACATTGTATTTTTTGTAAATTTTTTCATATGTCGAAACAAAGATGTGCAGTAATTTATTAGCATATTCAATGGTTTCACATTCATTTTGAATACAAAGCATTCTAATTGCAACATGTAGTGTAAGAAAATTTTCATAAACTTTTCTTCTTAAAATGCCGGAAAAACAAATTGGCCCTATATAAAGCAGTAACATTCGAAACTCTGTTGCTTTAAATAATTTTAAGTAATCCAATGAACGGGGTCTTCTAACAAATTCTTTGGGTATATAATGCTTTAAGCTTGTAATTCTTTGTGATATAGATTTAATTTTAGAACTGGGTAATCTGACAGATAAATCACCCCCGGTCCATAGGAGCAGAAGTCTTTTAGTTATACCAAGACATAAAAGGTGCATATAATCCAGTGGAACTCCTTTTACTAAGTCAAAATTAGGAATTTGTTTTAAAATTGTTTCACGAATATGGTATTCTTCGTCACTTTGGGCTCTAAAGCTTTCATCTGTTCTTTTACCACATGTACTGCCAGGAAAACAAACTCGGTTATTTAAAAAATCACCATTTATCAAACATTTTGTGCAGCTTGAATAGCCAGAATGCCCTTTAACGCCTAATACAAAAGACTTTGCTGGTGCATCACATACTATACCTTTTAGAATAAAAGGAATTATTTTATTATTTATGCATAAACCATTATTTATTAAATCTGTACAATCTTCGACAAAATTTGATAAAAATTCATTGACATCTTGTGGTTTTTGAGGACCAAAATAAACACCTATTATAAAAACATTTGAAAACCCTGAAATATTTCCTAATATTGGCCATAAAGAATTGGTAGACGATTTACCAATAGGCAAACCGTCGATATTTATCAATAATTCAACTATTTCAATGTTTTCATTTATCATTATTTGTAAAATTCTTTTCAAGCCAAAATGAACATATTCTCCTGGACATACAGTTTTAAGCACACACGTTTTTGCTGTATGAAGTAGTGTTCTACTATCCAGTGGAAGGTTAGAAAAACAATTGTGATTATGTAAAATATTCAATAAACTATTAAGTGAAACATGAGAAATATTATGTGAGATTGCCCAGTTAGCTAAACTAGATCTTATATTTTCAGCTTCTAACCTGAAATCTGTAGTAATACTGGAGTTGGTCATCACAATATTATGATCACAATTTTCTGAAGGTTCTGAAGATTCACTTAGTGTTAATAAACTGGGCTTAGGAGGAGAAAAATGTGTCACTTCGATACTTTCTTGAGAATTACATTCATCATCACTTGATTCAATAAAATTATTAACAGGAACAGGTTTCTGTGTTTCAAAGTTATTAACTTCTTGAAAAGTGTTGGTTATTTGTTTTTCAGGCTTATTCTTATTAACTTCAATTAAATTTCTTTGGACAAGGCGCCGCAAATGCCTCTTACTTACTGTACTAACTGATTTAGATTTAGGCATGTTTAATTCATAAAGAAAGGAATAAATAATAAATATAAAATAAAGGAAATTAATAATCCAACTATTAAGTATTAAATTTAAAAGATGCTTACTCAAAAAAAACCGTGTAACCGAAAGACATTGCACATTGCAAACCAAAAAGTGAGGTTAGTTGATCGTTTTCGCTCTAATTCTTTATTTTAACGATTGTGACATTTTCGATTGTTAATCATTCGATTCGATAAGTGACAGAATTCGATTTTAGTACGTTTAAATTATAAAAAGAATGCCTAAAATCAACTTTACATTAGGATTTTTGTCATATTTGCTTTTATTATTTGTTCTAGAGAATACTCTGTTATTATACAAGTATTAATTATTTCGAATCTACATATTACCGATTTAATTCTTATAATCGATTAATCGATATAATTTTGGTACCGCGGAAAGCAGGGAAACAAAAACAAAATGCAGGCATCTGCATTTATGTCTTTTTCTAAACTGACCAATCAGAAAACTATTCGCAATTCGCAATTCGTAATTCGCAAGTATATGGAATGCCCTTTAAGCAATGATATATACAGCACCGTAAAGTGTTATAAGAACCAAGAACCAATCAGAACGTGCCACGTTGGCTGTGGGCTCGTGTACAATAGCTAAATAGTACAATAGCTTAGCAGATCATCCCAAAAAATTAAGAAAAAAAATATGTGAAAATATTACCATCAAGCAATTGATAAAGCTGTAACTATCTCAGATACATCTCAGACATATCACTATTCACCAATATATATGTTACCAAGCTTTCAATTTTTTTAAATGTCTCGGAGACATTTCAGAAATTTCTGAGATATTGTGATCAATATGTGATCTGATTGAGATGGTACTGAGAGATTTGATGCTGTGTGGGTAGTTATTAAATTAACTACCAATATTTGTCATTTCTAATCAACATTAAATCAGTTAGGTTTTATATAAAATTTAATAATTACAAATCAACCAACTATATAACTAATATACATAACAAAATACCACATATAAATTATATATACAAAAAAAATGATATATACATTAAGCCGCAAATAGTAATCCAATAGCGAGACATTAATAAATTTATAGGCTAACATAGCTGCAAAAAATTCTACACACAACTAAACTTAATGCCGTCGTCACTGGAATAGCAATTATTGCAATGTAATTTCTGATTTCGGACCTTCACGTCGGTTCCCATCATCCCATCGCCCAGTTGCACGTGGCACACGCAGCATTTAAAGCAATCCATGTGATAGAACAGGCACAAACTTTCCACTATCATGGCAGCGCCCCTTCCTGTAACGACAAATTATTTCTCAATCCGAATACACTTGGCTCCTAACAGTTAATACTAACCCAATTCATTACCGCAGTACGAGCATTTCTTTTTACCGCTAACGCTCAAAATCTTGTCGTGCGACTCTTTCGGGACTACCGGCGTGGTGTACGACATGCTAGGTAATGCGTAATTTACTGGCGGGCGGTGGCTTCTGAAATTTCAAATTAGAAAAAAACAAAAATAAGTAAATTTTGAAGGTGCTAAATCGTCGATAGACCACTACTTACTATTCTATGGAAACATGAGAGCTGAAACGTTACAAAAAGAGCAATGAAAATCACCTAGCGGCAGTATCAGATGAAACGAAAAACGCGTTAAGATGAATTAGCGAGGGTTAGCAAGTCGCAATTTACCTCGATATGGGCTGCTGCAGTTTATCCATAGGTATCCTGACTGGGGAGTTTTGCTTTGGTTGCTGCCTGATGTTGCTGTAGTTGTTCCGTTGGTCCGACAAACGCCTCAATTCCGCCTCCTTTCGACACAAAAAAATAACAAATTACCACCGAACAATCGATCTCGCGTTCAGCCTCACCTGAATCAACCAATGTTGATTGTAGTTTTTCCCCTCGTTGTTGTTGAGTTTCGGATGGGCCGGCTTGCCCCTGAGCTGCTTGGACGGGGATTTCACGCCCGGCGGTTCGTAGAGGATCCTCTCTTTAGCCGCCGGAGGCTTGGTTTGTCTGAGATGAGGCGGTTGTTGCAGGTTCAGCAACAACTCCGGCATGGATTTGCGGTGCTCCGTGCGGACGGGGCTGGGCTCCAGCGCGGGCCTGTGGTGTTCCGGGCTGAATTTCTTCTGGTTGTGCGGGAGATCCGGCATGGACTTCCTACAGTCGAACGGGATTCCCAAGTTTCCTAACATAATGCGTATATTTTAGTATGATTTTTATTTCATTTGGATCGTGCTTACCATCTAGTGTTTGACTGTGAACTTTGAACTTCAAATCCTGCACGTTTTCGTAACCGTAATAATTACAAACGGGCACGGAACGCGGGTAATCCATCGTGGAGGACTTCTGTCTCACCAGTTCCGGCAAGGACTTGCGATATTCAATGTGATTTTCGTACATGTACGACGGGTGATGGTACATTCTCTCGGTGATGTTCTCCAACGAATGCCTGTTGTGGTGCACTTTGGCTCGATTTTCGCGGAACAACAAGTTCTCCCGTTGCCTTTCAAGCTCCTCGAGCTCCAGCTGCCTCAGTTCCTGCTCCACCTTCAGAACCTCGGAGTCTTGATCCAGAAAATCGGACGGCTACAAAAATCATTTATTACCCGCGCTAATAAATCATTCGAATAACTCACCGTATCGAAACAAGGCTTGTCGAATTGCTCGTTGCCCAAGGTCGGTCCGAAGAAAGCCTCGGTTTTGGCGTCGCCGGGCTCGTCGATCGCGAAATCGACGTCGCGGTACTGCTCCTCCTTCTCCACCAGCTCGATGATCTCGCGCTCCTTCTTGGCGATCTCGTCCTCTTCGAAGGCGACGAAGCCGGTCGCCTCGCCGGGCAGCTTCTCGTGGCTGGCGGCGCTCGAATCGCCGACGCTGCTGCACCAGGTGTCGCTCGACAGCCGGCCCCTGTCGACGTCGAGGCCGGAGTCCTGGCTCTCGACCTTGTTGAGCGCGCCCGAGTTGTTGTAGTACTTCTTGTCGATTTTGTGCAGGAACGCCGTCAAATCGGGCGGCTTGTCGGCCGGCGGCTTGAACCTTTTCTCCGGGTCCTCCAGGCCGAGGAAGCTCGATCTGAGATGGGCGAGTTTCGTGGGCTTGTCGTCCTCCGGGGCTTGCGGTGGCGGAGGAGGCGGCGGTTTGACTTTCGGGGGTTCTATGAGAGGAGCGTTGAAGTCGGTGAACGGGACGAAGTCGTTGGTGATGAACTCCACTGAAGGCGAAAATGTTTTGATGTCTACATTTTCGTATATTATAGGCTTTGGTTTGGATGGAGGCGGAAGGGCGGAGGGTACGTTTGTATCTTCTTTGCGATCGATAGAAACGGGACTAGGGACGCGATTTTTCTCTAGGAATTCCTCGGTTATGTTCATGATTTCCTTCGCGTCGATTTCGCTGATGTTTTTGGTGTCCTTTTTGTTCGATTGGAGCTGCTTGAAGGTGTCTTGGAATTGATGGAAGTCGTTTTCGAATTGAGTATTGTCGTTTAATTTGTCGTTATTGGAATTAATTTCTATGTCGATATCCACGGATTCATCGGCCTGGCTGACGGAGCAGGAAATGTCGCCGGTGTGGATCCCGCTGTCCTCGCGATCGGAAGAGATGCAAGTCAGTTCCGTCGAAGACACCGAAGGCGTGTAATTCTCATCCACCGATTTGTTGATCATCAAATTGTCGAGGTCCCTGTTGAACATGTTCAGTTTGTTCACGTACAGCTCCGTTTCCGGGCTGAAGCATCGCTCGTCGCCGGTCTTCTTGAAGCCACCGGCGCTCGAACTGTCCGCGAGGTACTCGTGTCGGTTCGCAGCCTCGCCCGCTGCGTAACCATCGGTTTTCTTCGGCTTGTCGCCCAACTGCGCGTCGTTGAACTTCGCTATTTGTTCGTTGTTTTGTTCGAAGATCTTCAATCTGTCTTTGATGCTTTTCACGGCGCCGATCTCGCTGAGGCGCTTCGACGAGGCGCTGCCCAGCTGGCCGATCTCCATCGTCTGCTTCTCGAAGAGGTCTTTCCGTTTGAATATCTCGCCCTTGGGCAGGACGACGTCGGCCGGCTCGGCGCCCTTCCGGAACTCCTCCGAATTGATGGTTTGAATGCGCGACCTGTAGTCCTCGATGGCACCTTCGTAGGTGTACTGCTTGACGTCTTTGGCGTCGAGTTTGTTCAGGTTATCGGCTGCGGGTCGCGACAACGGCGGGTTGGTGTACGTAGAAGCGAAAGTTTTCGCCGCTGGGCCGTTGTTGTTGTTATTATTATTGTTATTATTATTAATATTATCACTAATTTTGGTCCCGTTTTTGGTGTTAATAATTTCGTCGCCGCTTTGGTTGGTTTTGTTGCAGTTTTCTTTATTACTAGATAAGTCTAAGCTGTTGTTCTTGTTGTGCTGGAATCGAATCGCATTGTGTAAAATGTAGCCGGTTATTAATGAATTTAACTTACTGAGAGAGTATCGTCGTCGTGGCTGGTTTTGGAACTACTGCTGCCTATTCCGTAATCGCTAAGATCGTTCGAGTCGTTTTCGTACAAAGGTATGTTGAATTTATGTCTGCCTTTACTCCTAAAGTTTAAAATTTGTAACAAAATTGTTAGTGAAATTTATTGTTAGTACCTTTCTTCCATCATCTCGCTAAACGTTTTGCTCCTCCTTCGATTCTTATCGGACTCCTCTTGTTCGGTGAGCTTCTTCACTTCTACCACTCTTTCGATGATGTGCTCCTGCCGTTTTCTCCTGCTGCTCTTCCAATTATCAAGATTCTGAACAGAAACAAACAAACTTATACTCTGGAAAAGCGATTGTTCGACTGTAAGTCTTACAGTTTGCCAGTCTTCGACCTCCGTGCCGATGTCTTTTTCTTCCTTTTTGATCTCCTCGACTTTCTTGATCTGCTGCTGGGCCTTCACGAACAGCGGGCATGGCGAGAGCTTGATGAATTGCAGCGGGTTGGTCGCCGGTTTGGGGGGCGCGGGCTTCGTTATGCGGCACTTGGTGGGCAAGTACTCGGTGTTGGAATTCTGCAAGAGGAATCGAGTGAGGAGAGAGCGCGCCAGTCGCTGGAACTATTTCCACGCTCAAGGTTGCGGGCAGGTGAAATACAATTAAAAAAAAATCCTGCAACAGCTACGGCTATTTCGAAGGCGATTTTTTATTCGCACACCGCTCGAATTATGTAAGCACTTCGCCGGTTAAAAATAGCGTTTCGCGGATTAATGTTGAAAGAATAATCCAGGGGCGAATATGCGCTACATTCGAAAGTATTTGATGTGTAATAAAATGCATAGCTTACTCGTCGTTCTTTTTCCTCGTCCGTTTGATGGTCGTGATTGTCCATTTGGTCATTTAAAACGTTATGTTGTGAAAGTTGAGTGGAAATCTATCGGAGAAAAAAACAAATTAGAATTGATTAATAAACCGTCAGGATTGTTATTCATCCGACGAATAAAAAAATATTCCAAAAATTGCAAAGTCGTAAATTAGTTTGCGCAAACAACCGGAGACGAGTGCGGAGCAAATAATTTAATATTGACTATAAAATTCAAACGTACCCGATCGTAAAAAAACATTCCCGACAATGTGACGATTAGAATACATATGATTTTTCTCTTTGAATTTCGAACAAACGCTAATTCAGTTTCTCATGAAATTTTATACTTTCTTTTACATCATAGTGGGAACGAGCGTATAGTTTTATTTCAGTTGGAATATTGTACCATTGTTTTTCTTTTTTTTTTTTGTTTCACTTAAAGGTTTTTTTTTTACTTCATTGCTTCAGAGTGCAGAGCGATGTTAAATAAGAGACGTAATTGCATCGATAATAATAATATTTACTATTTTACTCTCTAAACAGGGCGTTACTAATATTAAATTTATGGAGAATATATGTATAATAAAACAAATGAAAGTTAAATAACCTTTGATACCAAAGATCCAATCGAATTTATTTTAATATTAATTAATCGGTTTTTTTTTCTTGTGTTAATTCGAAATTTTTCAATAGTATTTTGTTTTCGACGGTAGTGAACAAAAAAAAACAGAATGTTATACGACCTTGATATCTTGCACATCGCATACCACATATTTACCTAGATATCCAGTGCACATATTAATTAAACACAGACATATCACGCCTTGCTTTTGTTATTTATCGGATTAACCCGATTGCCTTATCAAAGATTCTACTACTACTAACTCGAATATTTACATTATCACTCACAACTTGGCGATCTTCGCATTTCAACACGAAAATAAAAACAGTTAGTTAAAGTTAAACGTTCCGCAACACAATACGTACCTTTATGTTATTTGATCCCGAACTAGGTATAAGTACCCTTTAACACTTAGGCGACTTAAGTAATAACAATCACTAGCTTAATTATTTAGGTAAGTATTTCTACAAATTTCCTTTTTCTGAAAGGTGAATGAACGTACTGTAAAACCAGTGCTGCCGCGGACAATTTCGCAGATGTACCAATAACCCAATGAGTTGAATGAGTAACTAGAAAATGTGTTAAAAATGTACTAAATTGCATAGAGATTCTACCATCGGTGATGTAGAAAGTTCCGTTCGAAATTCGCCACTCCGTGTACCCGACATAAGGTCGAAGGCTGCATCAAAACAAATTAGCGGAGTGGTTGTCAATGTCAATTTTATCCTTCTTCTTTTTCGAATGATACTACGACTTGATGTTAATCCAGTCATAAGAAATACAAGATTCCAAATTGAATTTATTTCATATTAGTACTTTTAATTTAGATATAATTTGTAATACGTTGTATATAAATGTAGGGAAAGTGGGTATAAATATAAGTGAAACTAAAGATTTTAAGAGTTTATATATTTACAACTGGATTGTACAACGTTATTCTAATACTATACAATTTAATCTCCAATAGCTATAATCAGTACAATAAAAAAGTTATTGTAATAAGTAATCTATCGTTTTATTAGATATAATCAGTAAAAATAATAAGAGTTAAATAAATAAAAGTTGATTAATTAAAAATATTATATTAGATGTAATACATAACACAGAACTGACTGCGAGAGCGCCTCGCTGCTGCACCATTTCATTCAAAACAAAATGAAATTGCCTCACAGATTGTACTAGTTCTATTACCATCCTACGTTCAGTTTTGAATAAAATTCAGCGCAGTTTTACATCCACTGCAACGAGTCAACGAAGAACTGCGTTATGTACCGACGTAAAAATGATTTTTTTTTCCTTATCAATTACAATTATTATACAACCTAACCCAAGTATTAGCCACAATGCTGTTATTGAATTAGGTACTAAACACTATTCGGCCCTAGACCTAGCATAGACATATAGCACATCATATAATCGGACTTTACATATTGTTCTTAGTTTTAATCGTCATTTAACCAACAATAGCGGCCAGGCTGCATTTAACACCATTTTTTAATTTAAACATAACAATAAATTAATTAAGCAGGCGTTCGAAGGAACCGTTCGAATTCGATAGTCGTATAAAATAAATGCATCGTTTGATAGATATTCCTTTAACTTACCATTTACAAAATGCGTAAACTGTAGGGAATATTTCTCAACATAAATTCAAGAACCCTGTAGACACAATAAACTAACGGATAGTCGATAAAAATATATTTGATTTAAACATAAGTGAAATGTTCGAAGCTCCACAACGGGAAATTTTTATTGAAAATCCGTTACAATTCATTTCCATTAACTTAAAACCTTCCGTATAAAAAATTGTGCTAACTGTGCAACTTTGTTATTATTAATATTATTATTATCAAAATGTTGGTCTTGAATACGACCACTGTAGCTTAGAAATTGAAATTAATTAATATCAGCAATACCATTAGAATGTTTAATTGACTGTATTCATTAATCACATTGGGTGGTCTGGATTTCTAACAAAAAAAGCGCATTTTCGGTAAAGCTCCGTGCAACAAAGTAGTTCGATTAAACCAGCCGTTTAAGCATCGCAATTGCGCAAACACTAATGTTTCGTAAATAGCGTAAAAGCAATTTGAACGACTTGATGATTTAACAAGACCTTTTGCACTCCATCACTGGTTCCGCAGTTAACAGAAATGTTTCGCAATCACCAATGCGTCGAATGTTTAAATAAGCGAATACTAGTTAATTTCAATTTGGATAGTATGCTGGATTGTTCACAATTTACAAAAATACCTAACTACAAGATTACCTAAATTTAAATCATAGTGTAGGACAGGAGTTGATTTAAATTCGAGTCCTCATAGCAGGAATTCACAAAGCTCGTAAAAACTAGAATAATTTAACTTAAAATTAATATGTTGCGTTATTATTTAAAAAAAAAGCATAAAAATATATCGCTAACCGTAATATGCAATATTAGCTACCAATTTTCCTTTAGGCAATTAATGAAAGTAGTAAAATATACTCAAATATGATATGTTATTTAAATAATAAAATTTTCGGGCACTGTTAGCTGCGTGAGATTCCATCTGTAAAATAATTTAAGCTGCCGTTAATTTCGAAAAATTTCATTACTGGTAGCTGAATATCCATTAAAATTAGACATCATAAAACGTAAATAACTTTCTGTGCAAGCAGAAGGCTCGTAAAGAATTGTCAAAACAACTGAGCGAATTATTGTACAAAGTTTAGAATTTTTCAATATCAATCGATTAAAATATGGCACCGATTTTTCCGCTTATAAAAATGTTACTGGTCTAGATCGAGTCGATTGAATTTAATTGAAAGTGGCTTATTTAAAAATTCTAAAAATTGATTTCTTTACAATCGTTTAAGTACTATTTCAATTTTTAATAACACACAAGACCATTCATAGAGCAAAGGTAGTCTTTTTGATTGAATGTAACGGTCAAAAAACAAATGTAATCGAATGAGAAAAAAAATAATGAAAATTCAACAAAATCCAAACAAACAATAATAGTTCAAAAGCAGGCCGTAAAAACGCGAAAATTCAACCTTTGCCCTAATCGTTTTACATTCGATTGTGCATGTAAAACCTTATCAATAACATTAAATTCGAATTAAATCAGCACTTGACATTGCAGCCAGCTGTAAAACTTTTATATAACAATAACATTTTTGAACACATTCTTTTACTTCTTGTGATTAGGTCAATAATGGAGAATCAATCAGTGATCATTCGAGATTCGAGTTTAATATTTCCATCAACGGGTCGGGTCTGCGGAGGAACGTTAGGGTTTTTTTGTCAGCCTTCGGAATAAAATTAAAGCTCATCTTTTATGGCACAATTCAGAAATTTTCGTACACCGCGCGAGATCTGCCCGATGGCGAATTCTCCATAAATTTTTGACGCAAATCTCGTATGGTTGTCGTTGTGTGATAGCCTTCGACTTCATAATACATAAAATTCCAGTAATTTTTTCCTAAACTAATCAAGTGAAGTGCGGAAAATAGCGGAATTATAGCGAACAAATTTTTCTCGTCAGTTATAGTGCTGTAAAGTATTTTATATGGTTTGTATGATATAAAAAATCTACTGTAAATATAATCTTTTAAAAGGTGTATGTACAAGTTTTAAAATATGCTCATCCCAATTAAAAAAAATATTTTATTCTACCATATTGCATTTAGGGGATAACGGAGTAGAATAAATTTGTAATTGTTATTTAGTTTAGGAGAAAATGAGTATTAAAAAGCACATTATTGTCTATGATATCTTTAAATACACTATTAATGTATTAAAATAGCTGCCTAACGAGCATATGCAAAGTCCTGCCTAAACCTTTTACAAAATAGCAAAAATTTTATCACTTTTTGTTATAAATGTCTTGGTTAAAGTAAAATGTGAACTTTCAATACATCTAGTTACAAAAATTTTTTAGATGTACTGGAAGTCAAAATGGACGTACAATATTTTAGTTATTTTTGTTACAACTATGTTTATAGTAAATGATATATTGTATAGTATGTATATTTATATACATATCTGGATTTTGAAAACCTCGAAAACAAAAAGAAATAATCTTTTATATGGCAGTTTTTCCTAAAATTATCTTCCAATAGCTGAAACAAAAAAAAATCTCCTTTCGAAAATAAATAAAATGTATAAAAAAATACGTAATTATAGCATAATGTGCGTTTTATGAGTATGTAAACGTTTTAAGCTTTACTATGAAATGGAAGATCACATCTGCAATTTATCTTGAACTCCTTTTAATGAGCAATTAGAGATCCTCCAAACTTGTTACCTCACCACGTCCTCGATAAAAAATTATTTTCAGGCATAGAATTCTTTATTTGTTGTAGTTCTGCTGTACGAATTTGAGTTCGGCGATTGCTTCGGCTCGCCCAGCGCGTACGAGCCCTCGTCTTTTTTGCGCATTCTGTAGACGATGAACATCACCACTAATATTGCACACAACAAACCGACCACAGCTCCTCCTATGACAGCTGAAACATCAAACAATCATTATTCGAATGCTCCAATTGCTAGCAAAACACCAGGGAAGTTCCCGATGTTCTAAGTCAATTACAGTAGGATACAGCTTCGGAAACATCCCTTGTAGAAATAAGTAGTGTAATTTACCTGCTAGAATGTCTGGTTTGCCGAAGAACGGACGATCGTCAGTCATCTTCACACTACTATCGGTCGTGGTGCTCGGCGGCTTGTCGTTCCTGTCGACCTCTATCGGCGGCGGCAGTTTCCTCGGGACCGTATTTTCTGTTATCACATCTGAAACGGGTTATGAATTGAACGAGGCGTTAAACGAACAGGATTGTTTCGGCCAACCTGGCGTTATGTCAGATTTCATGGGGGTGTGTTCATGGTCGTCCTCGTCGTCCGGTCCAAATCCGGATCCGCTGGATTCCAAGTCGTGGTTTACCTCGCCATTGTAGCCGCTGCCTTCGATGGCCGAGTCGTCCGGTAACGTGAAGTCGCTGCTACTTCGTTGGTTATTGCTCTGGAATCAGTCGGGATTAGAATTGCTGCGTCAGCTTCACCTAATCTAGCGGTAAAAAAGAAAACCCAACGACTTCGCGAATTTTAACGATCCTAATTGGGCGATTAGAAAACAGTTGGTCGCTTTATCTTTTGCAAAACAGCATAAAAAAATCCAGCGCATTGACAACAAGAAAATTCTCGTTAATACATCAATGAGCACGAGGTGGATAACCTAGGGGTTATCTCGCACACAAGGTTGAATGTAAAATATGTATATATAACTCGGAGAAAACATAGAGATGACGTTTGTTGTTTTGGCAACACGATTTTCCAAGAAATCATTTTCAAATTGCTAAAGTCGATTATCGACGAACAATGTCGATTTCGAATGTAAACAGTACTCATCTCTTTATGCCCAGACATCACGGTAAGTTATCGCACTATGCTATTCAAGCTTATACCAGATTTGAATGGAAATTGCTATGAATTTTAAATTTGGGACGCTATATACTAGTATACGTTTCTAGAAATGACCACATAACAAACTCCTCTTTACTTTTTCATAATTAATAGAATTATCACAAAGCAAGTATTTACACAGCAGGTTAAATTATGGAGAAATTTCCCATCGATGGTCGTAAAATAGAAGAAACGTTATGAGCATTGTTAAGAAATATTTTAACACGTTATCAAGCTGACGATTGTAATAAGATACACCTAAAATTGAAGTATATGCAATATTGTAGAGAAATAAAGACATTCGATACGATTAAAGTGTAATTGTCTATGCCTTATGACAAACAAGATGACCTACAAAAAATAAAATCGTCCTTCGAGGACAATTCAATCTGCTGGAAGAACGGACATATGTAATTTGATCATGTGCTAATAAATAAAAAATACCTAGCAAATATTTATTCCCGTCTAATTTTAAACATGCCTATAAATACTACATGTTATATATTATTTGCATTTTTCGTGTTGACTGATTAAAAACGCGGACATAATGGCAAAAGATAATGTTTATAATCGTGCACACAATGAAATTATAAATTATTCAAACATCAACGAAATTAAAAAAAATATATCTATTTAGATTACGTTGAAGAAAAATAAAATGAGCACCCATCCTAATACGCGATTTACATATTAATTATTACACACAATAAGGCTTATATTTAAATAAATTTAGTATCGTTTCCTGTTAATATCGAAACAGCCGGCAATATTTCGCCAAGCCGTTGAATATCCTCGACGAAATCAAACAATAATAACAGTTAAGTTCAATGTTTAAAGATCTCCATGCGAAATCCAAAACGCAATAGAATAGCACAAAAGTAGAATATCCGGATCAGAAAGTGCTGAAAAGGTTGATCAATCCTATCGAGACGCTAATAAAACACTTATTTTATCGATTAAACAAACTACAAAGCTCAAACGTATGCAAATCGAGGCATAAAATATTTCCTAACCAGTTTGAATAAAATACGCGTAATTTCCAGCGAACATCGCTGCGATTTTACGATCCCAACAAAATGTTACTTGTTTGTTTTCGAATGAGATTACGCGTACACGTGAAATATAGGAACACACCTACTTACCTGCGAAATAGAAAACGCTTATTTCGGTGCATATACCGATAGAGAAACACCAGGACAAAGGCCTAAATGGCATAACTATTGTAAATAACGGTTAGGAGAGCAATGTAAGAGTTGAACTAATCAATAATCTGCGCGGACTCAGCAGCATCCAGGTTACTTCGGCAATTCTTGTATAGGTCACAAAATAAACTTGGGTAAAACACCTCGTTTTTGGCACATCTTTTTTCTATGCTTCACCTACACCTTCATTAAAAATTTATGGGAATATTACCTAATAATTTTGGACGATTAAAAAATTCATTTGACCTCTAAATTGACTATTTTTAGTCTTCTTTGTTTATAAAAAGGGGTGGATTTTATACCACCTACATGTACTTTATCAGATCTGTAGTTTCCTGTAATTAAACAATTTGCTGCAGTTCACAAATGATTGACATTTGAGTATTTCCAGGATTCCCAGGATCCAGGCACCTATCCTAAATGTGCTTGAATATGTGCATAAGTATTTATTTCACCATATCAATATGTTGCTGCATTTGATGCATATCATTACAAAATCATCAGCCTGTCAATAGTGTTATAAATTGGTAATACATCTAAAATTGTGAGTGAAGTATTCCATTAGCTCAAGCTTGGATAAAATTCAAATCTGGCTACTTGATAAATCTATTAAAAGTTTTGCTGGGTTAATAATTCGCAAACTTACTTATCAATATGTAATTTTGGAAAAACCCACAATAAAAATAAAGTCGATACGGCTAGCAGAATTAATCGAAAACTTATAAATAAAACTCTGGTAAAAGTAAATTTTATTATGTTGTTTTTTACTAAACTTCAGTAAGCAGAGAATGAAACTTCAACCTAAATATTCTATGATCTACGTGTATTTAATACGGAATACTAGCTTATCAAATCAGATAAGCTATTAAGAAATTCATGAATTGTGCAGGATTGGAGGAACAGTTATCAATACATTGGGATGTATCGGATACAAGACAATGGACTTTGTTTATTATTGTTTCGTTTTATAGAATCCACCCGAAGGAAGTATTTTAACAATGAACATAAAACAAGGAAAGGTCCTAATATACTCGATTAAGATAAAATAAATTGGTCGATATACGATATTTGGAATTGTACGAATACTTGCTAAACATGATAACACTAAAGATACCGAATTAGTACATCAATTATCAATTTAAACAACATATTTATACACAACATTAAAACATTATCATTCTGGCATAAAGCAAAATATAGTAAAAATTTCATTAGAACAGCAATTAATTAGATATTCTTTTAAAGCCAACGTCTATTCATTATATTCCTTTTAAGTAGGCATTTTTAATGCAATGCACAAAGAGCTCCGTAAACAAATTTTAGAATTAATTCAAAGACTTAATTCTAGGTCATATTGTTTGTTAGGGCACGTTTTAAGGAACTATTTATCTCATTCACATCACCTTTAATGGTAATAAGCTTTATTACAGCTGGTTATTCAGTTATTTGTGCAAACGAAGTGGGATCATAGCAAAATTTCACCAAACATTTTGACGTTTTCTAAAACATGTGTTAAAAATTGTTAGTTTAATAACCAATCACAATAAAAATTTATCACGTCGACGAGCTTATTATGTTGTATATCGCGTAAAAACGTCGAATCTAGAAAAATTCAAGTATCGAAATTGCGTTAGAAACTGAAACTAGCAAATGTAAATATTTGTCAATGCATCATGATATGACTAGGTACTGGGTAGGGAGTGATTTTAAAACTCACTAAATCGGGGTTAAACGTTTTCTAAAGTCTTTCTACCGGCTATATGTTGAATATGTTCGAACAAAAGCTCGGAATCTACGCGAAGAATTTCATCGAAAAGTCCGCAAGCCTCGGAGTATCCGATCTTAAACCACATCCAGGACGATGTACTTAGGTATTTACTTACTTGCGCTGCCGCTGCAATTCCAACGAGGGCGGCCCAAAACAATAGGCTCTGTATCCTAAAATGCATCACTAATAGTTTGCAGTCTTTTCTTTAGACGAAGTAGAAACTTAATAATAATTATGACACGACATAAAACACAACCCACTAGAACATTAGGTTGAGTACAGTACAGTACACTGATCAATGGTCTGTCTATTTACACCGTTGCCAGGCGAGAGTTTTTTAAATCGTAAACAAAATCATGCGGAATCGTGGAAAATCGTGCGGTCGTCGTTTTTCCGCTAATTATGAATCGAGAGAGGCGTTTCGTGGAAATTTCATTTTCCGCTCGTTCTGTGAGTAAATATTTAATTTCCCACCTTGCATTTTATGTAGATTTTTCGAATTTTTGTAGAGGAATTTTTAAATCGAATTAAATTCGGTTTTTTTTGGACGATTCAAAAATTCATCTACCATTATGAAGCAACGAAACCAATTTCGTTCAATTTTACAAACTGGTCCTTCAAATCCGGATTTCCGGATATCTCACGACTTACTGTGAAATACGGCAACTCTGATCCAACGCGAATGGTATTTGAAACGCATGCGTCCCGTGCATCATACGAAATTAGCGGCAAATTCGAAATTTAATCTAGTAAGTTGCTTTTTTTATTAAAACCACCAAATTATAAAATGATTAACAAACATAATTATGTTAACTAATGAAAGTTTAAACCAGTACAAAATAAATTGCACCAATTAACACAAACGAACATTTATTAAAGTAAGTATATCTTTTCTTCTTCTTTTACACTAACAGATCATTGTTACCAACATCTAAAATTGTATTGTACCTAAAAACAATTTCTTTATTGGAGTAAATTTTAATTCAAACATTACTATCTAGTATCACTTCTCACGTTGCCAAAATAATTAAGCAAACTTAAAACTGTTCATAATACATAAATCTCGTATTATTTATTGCACGCTTTATTTACTCTGTAAATCCATTATAATACATTCGAATTACGTATTAACATCGCCATATAAGTGGAATTAACGTTTTAATTCGACCAAATTAACGTCACAAACATTTTTGAGTATTACAAAATTCAAATTTTGCACTCAAATAGCGGAAACGGATGTGAATTATGGCGTTTCTGATTCGTCCGATACGTCTTCTTGCTCTCTCGATGTGTTGTTGGGATTCAAGGAAAAATGAGCTGTATGTATAAGTGACAGAAGACTTTAAATTTTGACTGTGACATAACTGCGTTGCCCCTTCCACGGCGCGAAACGCTTGCGTATAAGGCTATGATGTCGATTCTCCAAAAAATTAAACATGGCTTCAAATTGCGTTTACGTCGACTTGTAGATCCGTCAAAAAACAAACTTAACCCTATCTAGTGGAAAATTGTGATATTCTAACCTAGACAAAGTGAATTTTTGAAATTAGTGTATCGAAAGTGTAAATCTTTTTTCCTTTTTACTTAATTTGAAGCCAATTTAACTTCTTTTCGTTTTAATTCAGTACAAAATGGCGGCTGACCGTGCTCTTCAAAGAGCAGTTTGTAACTAAGTTACATTTTAATTATTTTATTTGAAAATTATACTTATTTTAACGTTATGAAAACGTTTAGGAATGTTTATAGTGCTTAATGAATTAATTTTAAACTCGGTTTTCTGCCATAAAACACTAGAAAATACTAAGTTTCAGTTGGAAAATGCCAGAAGTAAGTTACCCTTAAATAATAATAAATTAGTAGTTTAAATTTTATGTATATTATGTTTTTATGCATTTATTACTGTCCTTTAGGCGATATTTCAACGTCATTTCAAGGGCGTGGTTCCTATCACTTCTAACATATTTCTCTTAATTTCTGTGAATATTTTTGTTTACATGCACTTATTTAAGAATATTAAGTATAAGGGGGTAGTGTTCCACCCTATTTTTGTTAGATTCTTGTTTTTAGAGCATTTAGGTATCCCTCTAAGCAGAAATTTTCAATTTTTGAGATGGACCCATTTGAGCAATTTTAAGCTAAACTTAGGACTTTACAGTTATAAGATCTTGTTGGTACGTTCTTTGTCTACCTAAGAACATATTAAGATGAGATTTTTACTTATTCGTTTTGTATTTTACAGCATTTCATCTGTAAATGATTTGGAACCCTCTAGATTTTGGATTATTCTTCCAGATCTGCTCTTAATGGGGTGTTTTCGAGTTGTTTTTGCCCTGTTCTCCAGTTAACCCCAACGATATCATTTCTGTTTATGTTTTCATGTATAATAAATTTCTCAAGAGCCGTTGTACTAACTTTTTGAAGAGCTACATTAATTTTATTGCCCTGATCACGGGCTAATTTGACAATAAATATGATTGTGAAAAACGTTTTGTCATACAATCTGCTTCTTTTTCGAATGGCTTTCAGCTTACATCTGTTTTTACTAAGTAGCCCTGCCTTAATGAAATTCGAAAGAAAAGAATTTGATTAAACAAATGTCAAATTTAGATAAATTTCAAAAGTTAACCTAAAAAATTGGCAGGTATTAGTAATAGTAAAACACTACCCTTTTATTTGGTGTCAAAAAAATAAATAATATAAGTAATAACCTACTAAAATTTTCAGTTTAGTATAAAAATACAGTATGTGCTCAATTTGCATTACATAGGAAGTGTATAGTAACTATTTTTATTTTAGATGGGAGATGTGTCGGACTCGGATAATTCAGAATCAGGCTCAGAAAACGGCAGTAAAAGCGACTCGTCCAGCAATAATTCAGGGAGGTATGTGCACAGTTTCTTCAATTCTATTGTAAACGCCTGCTCCATTCTTACCTTAAGGGTAATTGTAAAAGTAATTGAATTAAATCTTGTCGTCCAAGTCTTTTATTTTGACCAACCCTTTCGGGCGCAACGCTGTTGATCAATGAAGGGCTAACGTTGAGATTGGGGTTTTTAGTGGATCGGGATCCTCATCTACTGACGGTTCGGAAAGCGGTGGCGAGAATGTTGAAAACGGTTCTTGCCACAAGGGAGACGAAAACGAACATAGCCCAGACACAAATCCATCTAACCCAGCTAGTCCGGACGCGAGGCACGACACATCAAAGGAGGTAAGTCGACTTCATTCGATTCCCAATTAACTCATTATTATTTTTTTATTGTGAATGTTTTTGTTTTTGAAGTTAGCAAAGGTGGCGCAACCAAATTGGTTCTTTACCAAAGATTGTCGCATATGATTTGAATCGGTTCTATAAAAATTTAAATACTTTTCAGTTTGTCTTCAATTAACAATTGTACAGTACTTTATTTGCATTTGCGAGCTATATGTAAATTACTCCCTATTTAATTTTCAAAATAAATGGAAAACCAAATTGAAAGTTCAACGAAATAAAACTTATACGAATTTTTTTTTAATTTTTTTTTTCTCCACTAATCATCACCGAATCGAAATCGATTGATCAATTTTTTGTTTGTCTCGTGGTAAGTTCGAAATTAGCAACGTAAGATTATTGGACTGCGACCATTACACTAAAAGCCTCGAAAGTAATTGTTGATATTTTCCTCCAGTCAGAAAAAAGTTCCGACTCTTGTACTATCCGAAGATCTATAAGGACGCGAAGGGAACCCGAAAGACTTCAAAGTAGAGATAGTGACCGAACTAGTAGTGATAAAACCAGCGGTAGCAAAAGTGATGAGTGGAAGTACAATGACGCGAGTTCTTCAGAATCGGAAGAGGAGAAAGAGAAGCCGCCGCCCAGCAAGCGGATGGGCGTCAGAACTCGAGCCCCTGTGATAAAAAGGAAGCTCGTCAAGAGGAAAAAACGGAATAAATACAGTTCCGATGAGGAAGAAACGAGCGACGAGGACAGCGACGACGAAAGCAGAAGGGCCGTGTCTCGGAGGAAAGCAACGACTGTAAGCTACAAGGAAGATAGTGAAGAAAAGACAGATTCTGAAGATTTATTAGAAGTAGAAAACGAACAAGTTGAGCCTGTTCCTGAAGAAAAATTCGAAACGATCGAGAAGGTTTTAGCAGCCAGACGAGGGAAAAAAGGAGGTATTGTGGTTCTCTACTAATTTTATCTTAGTAGATTTTTAATGTACCATCATTTCAGTTACTGGTAATATCACTACTATTTATTACGTGGAAGAAAACGGCGACCCCAATGCAAATATAAACGAAAAAGATAGCGAGAATTGCGAAGATCAGTATTTGATAAAATGGAAAGATTGGGCTCACATACACAACACGTGGGAATCCGAGCGCAGCCTGAAAGAGCAAAAAGTTAAGGGGATTAAGAAGCTCGATAATTACATTAAAAAAGAATTGGAAATTCAGCAGTGGTTGAAATATTCAACGCCCGAGGACGTCGAATATTACGAATGTCAAATGGAACTAACTCAGGATCTTATGAAAAGTTATAACGAAGTCGATAGGATCATAGGTGAGCCGAATTTTTCTTTTGGATTTTTTTATTTTCGTCGTTTGGTTCATTAGTTGTGGATGGAATTAACTGTTCTCTTTTCGTTTATTAAGTAGCTAAATACAACAAACCAGATGGCGGAACGGACTATTACATTAAATGGCAAAGTCTTCCCTACGCCGAATCGACGTGGGAAGATTCTGGCCTTATACGAAGGAAATGGCCGGAGAAAATTAGCGAATTCGAAACGCGGGAACAGTCGAGTATGACCCCAACTAGGCATTGCAAAGTACTTAAATACCGACCTAAATTTCACGAAGTGAAAACCCAGCCGGAATATATGATGGGGAAAGATAAGGTGATTTTTTCCGAATCGCATTCGCGCTTTTACCTATATTAATTTCGCATCGTTTCAGAATTTAATATTGAGGGATTACCAGATACACGGCCTGAATTGGATGATTCACTCCTGGACCAAGGAGAACTCGGTCATCCTTGCGGACGAAATGGGACTTGGTAAAACTATTCAGGTAAACAATTTAAGCTCGATACAAGTTTGGTTTTTTAGATTTTCTAATGGGTACTATTTTTTGTTCAGACAATATGCTTTCTATACTATCTCTTCAATACGCACCACCTTTACGGGCCGTTCTTGTGCGTTGTGCCGCTTTCTACAATGACTTCGTGGCAACGGGAGTTTTCCCAATGGGCTCCGGACTTGAACTTTGTTACTTACTTAGGAGACGTCCAGTCGAGAGATACGGTAAGATGCGAGGGGTCTTTCTGAAGTTACAATTGAGTTGATTTTGCGACTAAGGACTTTAAAAACGCCCCATGTATTGTTAGTTCAAGTTACCCTCATGCTACTTTTGTTCAGTTACTGATAACAGTCCCTATTCGTGAAGGTAATTAAAATCAGCTTTTTTGATAAATTTCTTGGTCATTTGAAGCAAATGCGTGAGGGTTTTTTGGACGTTACTGTGATTTTGTTAATTGTGAGAAAATTGTGTTTTTAGATTCGACAATTTGAATGGTGCTTTGAGGGATCGAAGCGTTTAAAATTTAATGCTGTTCTTACTACTTACGAGATCGTTTTGAAAGATAAAGCATTTCTTGGTAGTTTAAATTGGGCTGTTCTTTTAGTTGACGAAGCTCATAGGTAATTATTTTTCCACTTATATAATTGGCATATTACTTGAAAAAAAAGCTGATTTTAAAATCTTTTCTAATTTACGCGTTCTATAAAATTAATAAGTTGTTGTTATTTTCAGATTAAAAAACGATGATTCTTTACTTTATAAGGCTTTAATGGAGTTCGACACAAACCATAGGTTACTTATTACGGGTACACCTTTACAAAATAGTTTAAAAGAATTGTGGGCTCTTCTACATTTCATCATGCCGGAAAAGTAAGTGAATCCTTTCGTATTTTCTGAATGAAGATTTTTTAATGATTTATTTCAACAGATTTAATCATTGGGAGGAGTTCGAAAAGGAACACGAAAACGCCTCAACGAAGGGTTACGGGAAACTCCACAAGCAACTCGAACCATTTATTCTTAGAAGGGTCAAAAAGGACGTAGAAAAATCGCTACCGGCTAAAGTAGAGCAAATCCTACGAGTCGAAATGACGTCGATTCAAAAACAATATTACAAGTGGATATTGACAAAAAATTACAACGCATTGAGGCGAGGCGTAAAAGGCTCTACCACAACATTCTTGAACATCGTCATCGAGTTAAAGAAATGCTGCAACCACTCCTATTTAATCAAACCAACCGATCACGAAATCCACAATACTCAGCAAGACCAACTGCAAAAGTTGCTAAGAGGCTCCGGAAAACTAGTTCTTTTAGATAAATTGTTAATTAGATTGCGCGGTACAGGTCACAGGGTTCTTATATTTTCGCAAATGGTCCGGATGCTCGACATTCTCGCCGAGTACCTGCAACTGAGGCACTTCCCGTTCCAACGGCTCGACGGCGGCATCAAAGGCGAACTGAGGCGGCAGGCGTTGGACCATTTCAACGCGGAAGGTTCGCAGGATTTCTGTTTCCTCTTGTCGACGCGAGCCGGCGGCTTAGGTATTAATTTGGCTACGGCGGATACTGTGATAATCTTCGATTCCGATTGGAACCCCCAAAACGATCTTCAGGCGCAAGCCAGAGCGCACCGAATCGGGCAGAAAAATCAAGTCAACATTTACAGGTACGCGCGCAATTGTTTGCGATAAAATCATCCTAATTTTCGTATTTAATAGGTTGGTAACGGCGCGATCTGTTGAGGAAGAAATCGTGGAACGCGCCAAACAAAAAATGGTACTCGACCATTTGGTTATTCAAAGAATGGACACCACTGGCCGGACAGTCCTCGATAAAAAAGGCTCCTCGAACAACACCCCCTTCAACAAAGAAGACTTAACTGCTATCTTGAAGTTCGGCGCCGAGGAATTGTTCAAAGACGAAGAAGAAGATGAAGAACCTAACGTAATATTACGCGCACCGACCTCGATTTTATTAATTCTACAAGTTAATAATTTCAGTGTGATATTGATGAAATCCTCCGGCGCGCAGAGACCAGGGACGACGCCCCCGCCATGGCGGGCGACGAGCTCCTCTCGGCCTTCAAGGTGGCCAGTTTCGCCGCTTTCGACGAGGACGCCGAACCGTCGCCGGTAAACCACACGGCGGACGAGGAAAGCAAAGACTGGGACGAAATTATTCCGGAGAGGCTCCGCAAGAAGGTCGAGGAAGAGGAGAAGAACAAGGAAATGGAAGATCTGTACCTGCCGCCGCGTAGCAGGAAGACCCTCCAGCAAATCAATCAATCCGAGAGCGACGGCGAAGAGGGCAAAGGCAGGAAAAAAGCGAAAAAAGATGGCGAAGAATCGGCCGGCTCGACGGGCGAGGAATCCGACGAAGAACGACCGAAGAAACGCGGTAGAACATCCACAAAAGAAAAAATCAAGAATTTCACCGACGCCGAGGTTTGTAATAATTACTATTAAAATTCTACAATCGCTTACACCGCATTTTACAGATCAGGAGGTTCGTGAAGAGCTACAAGAAATTCAGCGCGCCTTTGAAGAGACTGGAAGCCGTCGCGTGCGATGCCGAGCTGCAGGAAAAACCGCTCGCGGAGTTGAAGAAATTGGGCGAAATGCTCCACGACAGGTGCAGAACGTTCATGAACGAACAGGCCAAGGAAAACACCGAATCCAACACGCAAGACGAGCAAAAAGGCCGCAAGCGCGGCACTTCGTTCAAATTGGGCGGCGTATCGGTGAACGCGAAGACCATGTTGGCCTGCGAAGAAGAGCTACAACCGCTCGACGAGGTGATACCCCCCGAGCCGGAGGAACGGAACAAATGGTCCTTCGACGCGAAGACGAAATCCGCGCACTTCGACGTCGAATGGGGCGCCAAAGAGGACACGAAACTGCTGAAAGGCATATACATATACGGTTTGGGTTCGTGGGAGCAAATCAAGCTGGATCCGTTGCTGAGCATCGGCGATAAAATCTTCCTCAACAACGAAGACAAGAAGCCGCAGGGTAAGCACTTGCAATCGAGGGCCGAGTATCTACTTAAGGTGATGAAGAAGCAACTGGACCAGAAGAAGGGCGTGCAGAAGCCGAAGCGCCAGAGGAAGCGGGATACTAAAGTTTTGACGAAAGAGATCATCGAAGACGACGCCAGTTCGAACGACGGATCGACTATGCAGTCCGCGGCGGCGTCGAAGAAAGCGGCGAAAGCCCAGTTGAAGAGAGAAAAGGAGGAGAAAGACGATGCTTTGGCCGAAAAGAAGGAGAAGAAAAAGGAAAAGAAGAAGGAGAAGAAATCGTCGGGTCCTATGCATTTTTCCACGAACGAACCGATCGCTTTGAACATATTGGGCGGTTTGGATCCAACGAAATTCAACGAATGCAAGGAAAAAATGCGACCTGTAAAGAAGGCGTTGAAAGCTTTAGATAATCCTGACCAATCGATGACGGAAGCTGAGCAAGTACAGCACACTAGAGACTGCCTGTTGAAAATCGGAGAACAAATTAACATGTGTTTAAAGCAATATTCGGACCCAGAAAAAATTAAAGAATGGAGAAGGTAAATATTTATTAATTCAGTAACATAAAAACTAAATCACTTTTTTTAGCAATCTATGGTACTTTGTCTCAAAATTTACCGAATACGATGCCAAGAAATTATATAAGTTATATAAAAAAGCTTGCAAGAAAAACGAAAAAGGCGATAAAAAAGATAAAGATGTAAGTACGAAATATTCCAACACACGACCTGTAATTAAAACAATGCGAACATTTCAGGAAGGTGCTTCAACGAGTACCGAACAGGTGAGAACCAAAACATCCAAAGCCGAAGCCAAAGAAATCAAAGAGCACAAAAGGAAGCACGAAAGCGATGCCGAAAAGGAAGATACAAAGAAGCATCACAGCGAAAGGTGAGTAACATTCCCAATTCGACCACTTCAAATATCAATTATTGTTTATACAGCAGGAAGGAGCGAAGGGAGAAAACTGAGAAAGAGCGAAAGAGGCCTAGAGAGGAAACTAGCGAGGATGATGAATATCGTTTTAGTAGACATAGGAAACCTGGTAGTTCGCAGAAATCGTTTCGACATGAACAAGCGCACTCCGAGATGGAAAGGTGGAACGCCCAGCAACGAGACAGATTCGCGGGGGACCACAAAAGGTCCGAGTACCACAGACCGCCTAGTTTCCAACGGGAACGGGATTACCAACGTCTCGAAAAAAGGTAAAACTCGTGTTAAAAATGTTGACGCGTTTGGGTACTTAGAGTAAATTTCAGGTCTCCGGAGAAGATTGACTGGAGGCAATATCCTAGAGGTAGAGAAATGATGCCAATTATGCCAAATCAGCCGTTTTTGTATCCAGGATTTTCCCAAACGGGGCCCATGTACCAGCATGATCAGCCATTTCCTAGAGAGAGGTTTTTAGGAGACTGGAGGCCCCCCGATCGAAGTAGACGATACGATAGATACCAGCAATAGTTTCTTTTTTCTTTTTTAGTTAAAAAGTACATGTTCAAATGTGCATTGTAAAAGTTACTTGGTAACGTCTGAGAAATTATCGAGAAGATTATTTTATTCTTTATATACTTTGCGGAATGGACGTGAATAGGTGATTGTCCTTCACAATTGAATGGGATGCTCCATCAAATTTTTAGTCATTTTTTTTTATTTTATTGAAGAAAACATGCAAACGGTTTTGTTGTCCGGATGAAGCACCCTATTTAAATTAGTCTATTTATTAGTTTTTGATTTGCATTTCGCTCAATAATTTCTCACGAAAATTGCATTTTTGATTACCAAATGTTTTGTAATTAATTTAATTGTACATTTTTATTGTATTGAGGAGGCCGCATGTATGTTAATAAAAATATTTGTATAAGCAGGCCCGTCATCTCATCTGTAAAAAAATTAATGTACATACGGATAGATAAATATGTTTTGATATAATTTGACTGATTTAAATAAAATCCTATTTCCTTGAAACACCTTATTTTGAATATTCCAAAATGGCTTATATTCTTTGTTCAGGTTCATAAAAACAATTTTAAATGCTGAAGATTTTATTGAACTGGTGAAGTACTCTGTAATCGATGCATTTTGTAGTGCTGTTAAGCGTTTAAGTAGCTTTACTTAATAGAGTTATGTATGAATAAGAAGTTTTCATAATCTGAAATAAAATCGCATTGGCCCTGATTGGTTTGTGAATCCTTGAATAATTTCTTACCATTGTGAAAAATTCATAATTGAGCCATCCAAGCGGCAACATTTCTAGAGTGATTGGAATTTGACTTCTTGCCAGCATGAATCTAATGTCTTTCATAGTCTTTGCATCACACAAATACCAGTCGGTTGCATAAATTACTTCTTTAATGGAGACTGACTGAAACATGCATTTTTTCATTCTAACGTTTTAAGTCGCATACATACCGTCGAATACTCAAGTTAGCCTTGGATGTCAAAGTGACAGTTATTAATAAGCCATCTGTCAAAATTGACAGCTATGTATAATGAACTTGGGTAAGTGGAAATTATTTCTCTATATAATCGAGCTGTTATACCACCGTAGTTTTTATAATCTTTTCTTTGTTCAACTCATAGATTCGACTTCATTGCAAACAGTTGTGTATAAACAACGTCGAAAAATTAGTTTAGCCTTGGTTGTCAAAAAGTGACAGATGCGCTTCTCTATTTCCCCAGTTACACTTTTTTTGAACTTTAGGTAAGTAGAAAATTTCTTTCTACAATGATTTATTGTGCAAGTACGCTTGCTTATTCACTAACGTACCTCAGTTGCTATGATTTGACCCGCATGACAAATAGTGAAAGCCGCTACAGCAAAACCGAAGAAATGCACTATACTACGTGCAGATTGTTCCTGAAAAAAAAACATTTCCTAACTCCTACTCTAGAACTGTTACAGAAATAACAAACTTGTATAATTTGATTGCCAATTCCACCGATGGAAAGGGCTGCCATTATCCCGTACGAACCAACGGTGACTCGCACCAACCGTTTCAATTCGTCCCCCAAACTGTAATTACAAGCGAACATTTAACCAACATTCGTATACCTACATGCACATACAACCTTAGTATGTGATTGTGATACTTTACGCAATATCTCAGTTTATCCCGAAGCACTCTCCCGTCCTTCTCCTTTAAGGCCTCTAGGAGCAATGCTTTGAATTGATCGATCTTGGATATGAGGATTTTCGAAGAATTGTAAGCCATGAACGCCACTGACGATGCGGGAACGCAGATGCTCATAGAGCTGGCTAACTCATAGAAGGTAAGAATAAACAATTGCTTGTTGTTTGTCGTTTCGAAAGGCAACCACACGGGCAAACCTGAGCATGATTCTTTTAAATGTTTCTCTTGATTCATCCGCCTGCATTCTTCTATTCCGAACAACGGTACTAACGCGTAAAATGTCACACCTAAAGTGTACGAAAGGTTGTTAATCTCAACCCCTTTTTGAAAGGTATTAATTACCGATTGCCGCGTAAAGAAACATCATAGCTGTAACAATGTTTGAGTTTCTCTGAGCTTCATCGAAAGTAGGCGGTATTCCGAATTCCGAATGATCGACGACTTTGTCTATAAATCGCAGCCAATCTTTATGTTTCACTTGGAATATTATTATGGTAAGGTACATTCCGCCGTAGCTGCAACACATCGCTAGTTCTTCGCTGAAATTAACGCCAGTCGCTTTTTCTACAGCAATTAAAATCGTTTGTAGGCGTTTGAGTAAAAATAATTATGTACTTACGATAATTTTTAATTTTCAAAAATGTGTTTAGTATGATTAAAGCATAAGGAATCGTCAAAATCAACCTGTAAACAGTCGAATAGAGGTAAAATATCGACATAGGGCAATTCTTTTTCGGCAACAAACAAGTGTATACCATAGCTTTGGTGCAGACATAATAAGGTCGTTTGTTGATTAATTCGATCATTTCGAATCGCATTGCTGTCGCGGACACACAAGAAATAAAATTCAATATCAAGTCAGTTAGTTCTTTTGTTGATTATAAATTAAAGCTTTAATTTGAAGGTAAAATTGCGACAAACAACTTAAGTTGCATTCCTGTAATCAATCTTCCGAACTGGCCTGTAATAAAAAAAACCCATTTAAGAATTCAAAAGGGCAATCAAAAAATTCGATACAATGGTTAATAAATATATTGAAAAATTTAGTAAACATGATTGTACACAGTCTTAACAACTTATATAACTAAGTTTTGTCGACAAATTAATTCGGACAAATTGCAATTAATATTAGCACAATTATTCGTTTTACAGTAAAAAATGCTAACATTTCCTTCATGTTTGACAATTACAAATAAAAAAAGCAACGCTCGTAAATCATCATTTCCATTACTAATTAAATAATAACGCAATCATCGTATTATATTTACAACTACATAAATCCAAACACAAAAAAACCGTCATCTCAGATGAGTACAATACCACAAACTCGTAAAATATTGTGCATCCACAAATCGTACAATAATCTGCGTACAAAACAAATTAATCTGAAAAAAAATTACCGTTCTATTTACGAAAACTAATAGAGAATGTGCTGAGTATTAAACCTTTCCATAAACAACAATTTCGATAACGTCTCCCATTATAGTCCATCGATAATTGTCCGTTAATTCGCATTTAATCGAACGTATCAACAACAGCAAACGGCCGATCATCACGTACGTATCGCTGGAAGCGATAACCTCCGCAAACAATCCAACAAAAAAAAATCACAAGAAGCTGCTTGAGTTAATGACTAGTAGGCGATCGCGCGTCACGGAAACGGATAGTCCTGCTCGTCGCAGCTGGACTCCTGGCTCGAAGGAGGCGTATCCAACTGGGGCAGGCCCAAGTCCAGGTACTCCTCGTTGGCGGTGATCATCAGTATCCGGTCCAAGTCTTCCACCAGCTCAGCGAACACCGGCCGCTCGTTGGGCTGGTAGCTCCAGCACTCCCGCATCAGCATGTAGATTTCCAGCGAGCAGCACGGCGGCTTTTCCATCCGGTGCCCGTTCCTCAGCAGCTGGAAGAGCTTCTCGACGCTCGGCACCGATGGATAAGGAGTACCTGCGAATCGAATCCGATTAATACAGCGATCGATAATCGATGTCGAGTTCCATTACCGCCTAATGTCATGATTTCCCAAAGCAATATTCCGTACGACCACACGTCGGATTGCGTTGTGTACATTCTGTGGAACAAAGCTTCCGGAGCCATCCATTTTACAGGCAATCTCCCGTCGGTGGTCTTCCTGTAATAGTCGCTGCAGTGGATGTCTCTGGCTAAACCGAAATCGGCGATTTTCAATACGTAATCGTCGCTTACTAGCACATTCCTCGCCGCTAAATCTCTATGAATGCACTGGAAATAACAATGGAATTAGTGAAGACTCCTAATGAAGAGTTTCCTAACTAATCCTACTCTGGATTTGTATATCTTACCCTTCTGGAGGCGAGGTACTCCATGCCTCTAGCCACCTGGTAAGCGAAGGAAACCAGATCCTTCTGCGTTAAAGTCTTCTTCTCTCCAACAGCCAATTCGTAACCGGACGAAGGTCTGTGCTGCCTCAGGAAGTCCCTCAGGTTCCCGAAGGGCGCGTACTCGACGATCACGAACAGCGGGCCGCCTTGCGTGCAACAGCCCAGCAGGTTTATGATGTTCATGTGCTTGCCGATCATCTTCATCATTTCCATCTCGGAGACGAGGTCCATCATCTCGTTGTCGGTGTGTCCCTCTGGAAATCGAATCGGGATTAAGCTGTGTTCGACGCCGCATTGTAAAAGTACCTTTCAGCATTTTAACGGCCACGACGCTCTTGCTTCCCGGTTTCACGATGTTCGAAGCCTCCGCTTTCACCACGCGACCGAAGGCGCCTTCGCCGAGGTTCTTGCCGAGGACCAGCAGGTCCCTGGGTATCTCCCAGTCGGAGTCCATGGGCAGCTCGTATTCGGATATGATGCCGTTTTCGGCGTTGTTGCTTTGCAGCTTTTGCTTCTCGATTTTAACCACGGGCATCAACTGAAAAAGCGGGGGATGTTCGATTAAATTCGAAGAGTTCGTTAGTGATTATTTACCAGTGGTTCCGATACGTTTTCTTTGGAATTGTTGATTTTTTCGATGATGACCTTCTTCGTCCATTGGGTTACGATTGCAGCCCTGGCAGTTTCGACTGCTATCATTTTCTCCCTCTTTTCCCTAAGCAAAAAGTGGATAAGCGAGGGGATCGAGTGGTTTTGAATGCGTTATACCTTTTTATTTTCTGTCGATAATGTATGCATATGAACGAGATGATGAACACGACGAATATAATAGCTACACCGACAATGATGATTATCATTGAATCGTTATTATCGTTGCTACTGTTCTGGACTGCTGAAAAGTTATCGGATAAATAAAGCAGTGGTTAAATTAGTATTATCGAACCTGGTTCCTCGTCGACTACCGTGAGATAAGCCTTGGATACGGTGGTTCCCAGGCTGTTCGAGGCGAAGCAGGCGTACCATCCTTCGTCTTCGTGCGTTACATTGATGATTTCGTATATGTCGGGGTTTATCGCACCATCGTCGCTGGTCTAGATCAACACCGAAAGAAAATTATCACAGCGAGTTAAGTTAGAACGAGTCCGACTAGACGAAACATTTAGAATGTTGTTAATAGACAAGTACCTGAAGCTTGGTAGCATTACAATCTTTGAGTTCCTCGAGCGAACAATTATTATCGTAACTCGACAGTTTCGCCCACAACATGGACGGGTGCAAGTCGGACAGTAATTGGCAGTTAAGGGATACAGTTTCGCCCGCCACAACCGTCATATTGACTAGTTTATTTGTTATAATAGGAGTATTGTGATATCGCTCTAGAAAGAAAATTCACCATCACCACACGTAAAGTTTATTACAGTTTCGTTTCGAATTATTTAGCAATCCAGATTTGTCTATTTTTAGAGGGTTGTTAATTAATTCGAACCACCACCATGTTAGGAAACAGAATTTTATTTGTATGTAATGTTCGTGCTTAGTTAATTTCATTCCCTTGACCTGTTGAATTCAATGAATGAATAATGGTTGAAAATTTATTTTTCAAATAAGGTAAATCTTGAGTGGATCAAAAAAATACAAGTTAAGGGAATGAACAGAACATTGAAAATTTGAAAAAATTGTATATCCCAACACCTTAAATAAAAATGAAAAGATTATACAGGGTGATTACTCAGCAATTCTAATATTACAAGTCATCACCCTGTATCGATTAAAAATAAAGAATTCATTATAAACACAATATAATTATAAAATGATGATTAAATTAAAAATGAAGTCCTTCACCACGTTATTTATCACAGAAGAGTCGATAAAATCAATAAATTTAACCTGCTGCAATTTCGTCCAATTCAACTCGGAATCGTCTTCGGTAAGTTCGGTTTGATTTAATTTGAAGAATTGAATGAAAGGTTCTAAATCCACGATAACTTGCGGACATTCAATAGACACGTTCGAGTTGATAAGCACCGTTTGATTTTGGGGGTATCCATCTTTTATGTAAGGTTTCGAAGGGTACCTCTCTACACAACATAAAAATCATCAAATTCCCCGATTGTCGATCGGCTGCAATTGAATACCCGTTAAACAACCAACGACTTACCCACTACGTTGACTTCGAAAGTGTGGTTGATGCATCCCAGAACGTTGCACACGAGGCACGTGTAATTACCGGAATCCGCCGACACCAAATCCTCCAAAGTGAGCGACCAGTGTCCTGTCTTTATGTCGCCCAGTTTGCGGGTCGGCGGCGTCTTGTCCTCCTTGAACCAAGTGATGTTAGGCAGGGGATAGCCGGTGGCCCGGCAATTCAGCTTGACGAAGTTCCCGGCCGGCTTGCCCACCAGCTTCGGGAGGTTCTTCCGGCCGTAGCGGGGCGGCTCCAGCACCGTCACGTTGAAGGTCTTCACCAGCTCGCCGCTGACGAAGCAGCCGTACACGCCGCTCTCGGCGTGGCTCTTCGGCGCGAATTCGTAGGTGGAAGAGCCGTTCTGAAAAGCGATGGGGTAAATGCGGTCGTAGAGAAGAGAAATGCGAGAGTTACTCTTAGCAAGTTCCAGGTGATGTTTTTGCTGTTGTCTGAATACCGCCTCCACGCGGTGGCGCTGCGGGGGCATTGCAGGGCGACGGTGATGTTCGCGACGGTGGTGATGTTCTCGAAAGTATCCAGTTGGTCGAAATCTGAAAAATATATGAATTGCGAACGATCGTTTCGAGACAATGAGGTTCATGTGCGCGCCAACCTGACGATGTGAAGGCATCTGCCTGCCTGTCATTGAAAACGCAGAGGGCTAAGACCATGAAGTGCCAGATGTAAACTTCCATGATTTATATCCCGCCAGATCCTGAAAATAAAGTAAATATTATTATTGCTTTTTCTCAAAAGAGTCATCGCTTTCTTTAGCTTCACTTAGGGACCGCGTCACTGCATATCGACTACTTTTACAATAAGAAACCATTTTTACGAGCCTTGATTTATGTACTCGCATTTATTTATAAATAGTAACAAATTTAAGTACGAAACCGAATGGGTTCCGCTGCCGTTTAAGAATACAATAAGTTTTTAAAGTAAGCAGACTTTAATTTATAAGGTTCGTCTGTTTTGTAGCACCGCATGTTAATTAGGTTAATTAAAAAATAAATACGTTTACCTCAATTATTTCGGATGCATTTACAACTCTGTTTACTCGATAAAAACAATATTGAACATGGAGTAAAAAATGTTTAGTACCGTTTATATTACCCACTACAGGGTGTGTCATCTATTAGAAATATACACCCTGTGGCCTGTATATTTTCGAATGTCTTTATGAAACAACTACAGCGACTTTACAACTCATTTAAATTGCAGGGGGAAATAAATTCAGCAAAATAGCAAAAGCACCTTGTAGGGCCACCTTTCGAGGGGCATCCCATTTAGGCGAGGAGGGCTTGCGGGGGCACAAATGTCCGACTGGAAGCCAACAGCACATGTGTTCCACATGTGCAGAGGTATCGTAGGCAATGAACTGGCTCTGTGCGGAGCACAATTCCGAGCGGCGTGGTATTTCCGTTTCTCGAAAGGTGATTTACTCGAATATTGGGACCACTGTAACGTTTTGCACCCCCGAAATGAGGGTGTTATTTACCCAACGAAAGATATACGGATTAAAAAAAAATAGGCTCGTGGAAGTTTGTATCTTTTAACAGCACGTATAGGTGTCTTGCACCTACTGAAATGAGGGTTTTATTTTTGTACCTATGTATACTTGATTACAATAATAGATTTGTTGAGTTGGTGCTGTATGTTTGATTGTATTATACTTATTTTCCTACATTGCGGAGTAATATATTTGCGTTGCAAAATACGCTTTTTTAAATATTTACGTTTCGTTACTCATAGCTTTTCTTAATTTATTTGTAATAGCAATCGCTAAATATCCTATTGCAAATCGAAGAGAAACGTTGTTTACACACACGATAACTCGACAAGTAAAAGTGCGATTACAACAATAATTTCCAATTCCAAACTTGCGAGCAAATTCCACATAAAAAAATAACTGTTAATTTCTAAAGTATTGTTCCATTATTTCTAATCTACTATTTCTTCCACCTCTATTTTTAATATTTTTTGACATATTTGACAGAAAAAAATACAAATGTCATCGAATTTTTTTTTTATAAAAAGCCCGGAAACATTAAAAATTCATCAGTAAGTTAATGAAAGTATAAGTAGGTAAGTGAATTTTTTTTGACATATTTGACAGAAAAAAATTTAAAATATCATCGATTTTTTTAAAAAAAGCCCGGAAACATTAAAAATTAATCAGCAAGTTGATGAAACTATAAGTGAATTTTTCTCTATTTGTCAATTTTTTTGACATATTTGACAGAAAAAAAATTTTAATGTCATCGAATTTTTTTAAAAAAGTCCGGAAACATTAAAAATTCATCAGTAAGTAAATGAAAGTAAATTTGCGTTATTTCAGCAAAGTTTCGATGGTAATTGTGAATTGTTGTGGGCAACAATCGTACTCGATATTTAAAATTAGTTCCGTTTTCGAAGAGGCGTCGCTTTCGGAATACGAATTAGTCGAATGCGCGAAGGAATAATATGATGTAATGCCGGATTTGTTTTTATAGCGGTTTAAACATTAGCGTTTTAGTAAATAACAGTATTCACTTTTAATGATTTGTTTGGCATTTGCGTAAACAACGATTCCGATTTTTAGTCGAACTAATTTAATCCCTCCGGTTTTTCTATTTCGAATCCGTTAAAAAACTCTATTAAATAAGAACAAAAACTTAATATAAACAGGAAAAGTGAATTTTAAATATAGAAATAGATTTATAAGTTTCCGGTAGGTAGTTTCTAGTTTCTTTTCCAGTGTAGTTATATTTATGCACTATGTTGATTAGCCGACTTTAAATATACTCACAAAAATGTCATCTATTTTGGCCCGACAATACAAAACTTGAGGAAATAATTCGTAGGGCAACTTAAAAAACCTTGTACCGGAAAAAGGGTAGTCGTTTTATTTTCGAGTTTATTTTTCGAATTTCCTCTTCGACTTCACTCGATAATGACGTTAATACTCCATAAACGTCAAACGCTACTTCCTCTTCGTTCGCACGCTTCATTAAAAATTAGAAATAGGCCGAAAAAAACGGTCGAAAATTCCGTTTATATTGCTTTATTTCATGCACCTCTGTTCTTTTTTCAAACAAGCCTTCCACCGCTGCAGCGCATTTGGCCTGCACCTGTACACAATCGGCCGGTTGTCGCACGGAGAAGAATCGAAATTCCTCGAGGATTTTCGAAAAATACGAAGTTGAAGGTTAAAATCTCTTTGGCAGGAGCCCCGAATCTGGCGAGACTAACGAGGTTTCGCGTTGCCTTTTAATTCCTTTTAATTCGAATTTTCCAACGGAGATGCCGGGGAATTTTAACTATGTAATAAAAGTTGAATTGACTTTCTATATTTAGAGCGTTATGAAAATTTTCATCAGTATCTTCCCTGTTCGATGTTTGAACTTACGCACAATGCTCGTATACACTTTCTAATCCTAAATTAAATTTTCCTCGTTTATTCATACACTCGCTTATTTATTTTTATTTTATATATTTATACTCTACGATAATTACAAAATTGTGGGACTTTAGATGCGTTCGGTGATATCTGTCAAATTTGACATTAATGACAGAAGTTTAATAGAGGTGGGAATCAATTTTTTGGTATAGAGGTACAGTAACGACTGTTACAAAATAAGCGTTATTTTTCAAATAACAAAAAAATTATTATTTTAGTGGGAATGCAGATAAATTAACCGCAATCCCACGTGCTCGTGGCTATCGCGCGAAAGAATGTCCGCAAACAATAAATAATAAAAGACGTTTATAGTATTCCATCCATTCATAGTGCAGTTGTGCCATTCACGTAGGTATTTGTAATTACAATTACACGCTATTCTCGCGGATTTTTGGCGGCTCTTCTAATTAATTACAATACGTTTTACACTACGCGAATTGCAAATGCGCTAGAACGGTGGGCGTCGCAATAACGATAAATTTTCAGCGCGATGAACTTTTACCGAAAACGTTATTTAATTTCGAGAACGAAGAATAACTGGCCCGTTATTTTATTTCGCCATGTGAAAACTCGAGGGGGTCTGCGAAATGCCGATCGGAATCAATCTAAATATAGGTAATATTCGAGCGTGCTTCATTCAGTATACAGAAATAAATCCCGAACTTTATAAGAATAAAGTCTATTTCTGAACGCGTTTAACACGCATGTGCTACACCGAGTTAATTCGAAAATATTAATATTTTGTTTTTGTTAGGATTGCACGTTACTCGAATTTGAAGTCGAGAGTCGAGTTCATGAATTAAATTCGAACGTTCTCTATTTTTCATTCGAACCGCGTTCGGCTTTTGCCACTGAATTCTTAAACGCCTTGGAAGATTTTACCAGATAAAAGAACTCTATTTTATACCTGTTGAAGCCCAAAAACACTACGTATTTTAATCATAGAAACTTCCTGAAAGAATAAGCTAATTAATTCTTATTTATTTAACAAATTTTCAAATCTATTGTTATAGCAATCCAGCATTGTAAGTCAAATAATTACAAACCGTTTCAGTGGGATCTATTTTGCTTAGCTAAATAATCGTAGGTTTTTAAAGAGCGCAACTGAAGAGACTCTTAAATAACGAACGCAATTAACAGGCTAACTCAAACACGATTTTTTTCAGTACACATTCTGTATATTAAAATCTAATGTATGTGGAAGCAATAATAGATATAACCGGACAAATAAGTAACAACTGTTGGACGACCATCAGGGATGTACTCGCCTTGAATTCTAATCGTTTTATTTTCCTATTGTAATATTCATTCTTAAGGTGCTCGGGGATACTACGAGCATACTAAGCAGACGTTAGCGTTAAGTATGCAGAAATAGTTGGACGTCGACTTGCATCTTAACTAACAATGATATTCGAATTGCCTGTTAAGCGGCATCCGGTTTTGGTCCAACTCGTAGAAAGATGATTCTACTGGGAATCGAGCGGTGATCATTGATTAACAGCTTTCACTGATCAATACTCGTACTACCATCAACAGGGATCCCTGATAGATATTCTCTGGTATTTTCAAACTGTTGATTTCTGGGACGCTCTATACGCTGATTTTAACGAGCACAAATCCAGACGGAATGGTTGCAGTTCGAGATGAAGTAGTTGGTGAATTGTCTGCATCCTAAAATTTAGCGAGCGAAAAAGAAAGGAACAAGAGGCGAGCTCTCGAAACTTTACGAGCGTAACGCGATACACACACGCGAGTTTCGAGTTGCTTTTTCACATTATCGAATTCAAAACAGCCCGAGGCAGTTCTATTTGCGGTCAGTCGGAGAATAAATATTTGGAAACAAAGCGAAGTTAGTATTTTATGACAACTGTAAATATTGGTGTTTCTTTTTTAACACGAGGCATTATGATATAATTATTATAAATAATTTTCTACCTAATTTTGCTTCACTTTATTAAGTTATTTTTTTATTTATTCAAGTAATGCAAATTACATTTTTTTGAAAATACATAATACAATATGTACCTTAAGATAATCTTACTAAGCCCTCATAAACGCAATACTATGATCCCTAATTTATTTTCTCCCTACTTTTACTTATACTCTATAATGAAGCATACATATTTTTTTATTTTTTAAGTTTACAATAAGTACACATAGAATAAAATATTACTTATTAGTACCCCTAGAAGAGCTTGTAGAATTGATTTTGAGGGAAAGACGCTCAATTGGCTTCATTATAATACAGTTAACTCATAAAGATTATGATCTCTAACTTATTTTCTCCCTACTTCTACACTCTCTACATTTTATTTTCAAGTTTCTTCCAGGAGAGTTTTATATTTTGCGGGAAAGTTACCTCTACACGAAAACAAGACATAATAATATAGTTATGTATTTGGATTCGGGTGAGTTTGTACGAAAAAAATATCTGTAAGCAATAAAAGCTCGCACCTAGCTCGCAGATGGTCGGCGTTTCAAAAATAATATTTATCTACGACTACAAATAGATATAGTCAGTTTCAATTAAGTTGTAACTCGGTGAAACCAAGAAGCAAAAGGGACCTCGTTGAGTCGGTAATATCGCGGAATGAGCGACCCGCGTAAAAATAGATTAACGCATTACACCTGGTGAGAACAGATCGATCGCAATGGCGAATTGCAAAGGTCAATTATACACCCGAAACGATTTATTTTTAACCGTTTTACTAACAATTTATTCCGCATGTAAATATGCAGCGAGTTGATTCCGATTAATCAAGCGCTGTTGTATTAACAAACCTAATTAATTGCGTTGCCGTTGTAATATTAGCCCGGTTTGTTAATAGTTTGAAGAGCAGAAAAAAAACGGATTCGATCAAGAGGAAGCTATCGCAAGTATCGTTAATAAAGAGGCCTTGATCGTTTTCAATTAGTACGAATGACGATACTATTGCAGCGAACCGTACTCGGAATACAAATTTTTAACAAACTGCCTACTTATGATTTATAATAGCCCAGAAAAGAAATTCGTTGGCTCATGAAAAATCGGAGAAACGTTGTTTTGAATTCCGTTTCCACTTCGTTTTTCGATTATTTTCATCGAATGATCGGCTGTTCGAGGAAAACCGTTCGGAATAATCTGACGTGCTTGATTTTTTTTTATTCAATCACGTTTAAAAATATGCTTCTAATTTACGTAATCACCGATACTTCTAATGTCGGTTCAATAAGGATGTAATTTAAATGAATAAGGGCGCATTCATGGCGAGTTAACAATGCACCGACTCACAAAAATGACCTGTAATAGTGAAGAACCGATTCCAGTTTCTGTGCAATGTGGAAATTGATGACCGATTAATTGAGTAAGTTTCCTTCTTCGAATAATTAGTGTAAACTTATCCGTCATTTTGCACCTTATTTGTTTGTTTTACCGGTTTTTTAAAAAAATATGGTAGATTAATTATTTTAATTGTATCCATCTGCACGCGTTAAAAATATCGATTTTAGAAAATGCAGGAAGTTTACCATCTGGAAGGTAAATATTTTTTTTTGCTATGATCAGAGAAATTGTTTACATTTCACGTGGAGTGAAGTCAATTTTTGAATCCCTGAGAGGACCCTAGCAAAAAAACCGCGATTTATCATACTCGAAAATCAGTAGGCAATACTTGATCTCGCAATATATGGCGGTGTAGGCGAACAAGAGGATTTTTATAAGTGCTTTTATACGCAATTAGCATTTCATTGCGGTCGGGAACTTATGTATTTATTTAAATTAATTGCTTTAATGCAAAATCTCCCACCGAATGATTTTTCTCATTGGTATTTCGTTCTTAAGTTTGCTCAAATCAACCGGGTATAGTTTATGAATGAATACGTTGGAAAATCAGGGAAAATGCTGTAAGTAAACAAGCTGGAATATTCGAATTAGCTTCTAAAAACAACTATAATCATGTAAAAAAAAATAATGAGATGGTGTTAATAGCAACAAAACTAATTGTGTGGTAATTTGCGCAAAGTGCTACATAATTTTTGTGGCAAAAACACAAGCGATCGTGGCAATATTTGTTGTAAAATCGAAAGCGAATGTTTATTAATCTACCGGTCATAAATTATTTCACCGAATCTAAATTTACCGATTTATGTTATCGAAAGAGTGATCCAGAAAAATTTATATTAGAAACAGTTTCATATATTATTCCAGACGTTCCAAAAATAAATCCAATACAGCCTGCTAATAGTTTGGTTTTACACAATTAAAAAAATTCGGTACGTTCGCTTACCCATTAGTGTTAGATAGCCAGGTTCGTCTTCGGGTTAAATCCACAGAAATTGGCACTTTTCCTTCCAACGGGCGAATAAAAAACCGACTCGAACGCGAAGACTTGAATGAATTCCCCAACACTACAAGATCGTACGCACTAAAACTCGAGTGTTTTAATGTATTTGGCAGGCGTGCTATGTAGTAAACGAGACATGAGACACAACATGAACATGAACAGTCGGGAGCGAGGACTGGAGTGTTCGGCGTAGCTCCCGGTGCTCGGTTCCCATCTTACAAGGAGTCTATTTCTACCATTCACGGTCAGTTTGTGCTCAGCGCGTCGCCGCCTTTTAAACAGATGTTTTAGCATTGCAATCTCGAATTTGTTTATTAGGCTTGACCCCTCTCGAGAATTATACCTCAATTTAATTTAATAAGACGTTTGACCTAATTGAGGGAGTTACAACAATCTCGAGATTATTTAATGGGCTGTTTATCTCGTCTTAGGGTAATTTCAGAGGAGATTGGACGGCTTTTTCATGCGGGAGCGTTGGTATTGTAGAATCACAAGAAAAATTTTTAAGAATATTTATTCAGAAAATATACAAAATAGAACTATCTTACAACACAATCTAATTTTTTTTAAATAAATACTGAAAGTCTGGACCAAGTTCGCTATTATTTGTGTATTGTAGGTTTGAGAAAAAAAATCACTTATCATTAAATACAGAAAATTGTGCAAATCACAACATTCTATCATCAACAATAAGCGAGATCACCAAAATCGAAAACACCCTGTAGAAAAATACAGAACCGGAGTAAGTAGTTTTGTTTAAGTAGAAAAACGTCGCTCAAATTCTGAATGATTTTTTTAATGAGTAAATTTATAGTTGGAGAAAATACACAGCAACCTAAACCTTAATCTTTTGTCTATATTTCTTACCTAAAATACCGCTATCAAATTTAATCATTAAAAAAATGGGTTTGTGAAATGGAACTCGATTGAAATGCGAATACGCTTGCTTCAGACTATCGGTATCGAATTGAACAACATACATTTTGAAAGTTTTATAACATTTTAAATTAATAAAAAAAACAAGATTTACAGCACAGAGAATTTAGTTGAATTTAAAATATAAATTCCTGCGTTATTTAGGAAAGGTCATTCCTATTTAAATTATTTCATTCAAATATTTCACTTCGTAGGCTATATTAATTTGCATTAAACTTTAATATAATAATAATAAATAATTAAATCGAGCGTCAATTTCTTTGTGCTATATTCTAACAAAAGTTGGAATCAATTTCTATGTAAAATTTCATGTTTAAAACAGCGACAAAACTGAATATAAAATATTTTATAAATCTATTTACAAGCAGAAAAATATAGTGTTAAACCAGGATGATTCAGTTTATTTAATTTTTTTCTTTAAATAAATCAATTCCACATTTGGGTTGGATGTTAATTGCAACTGGTAATTCACTTAGTATTTATTCCTTAACGTTAATTTTAATATACGTATAGGTAGAAACTTAAATTGGTTAAATTGATCTACGTTTTCTCGATTACGAACTAAAATACTGTACATTCAACGTATATGCATAGTTGATTTTATTTTTATTAAAAACCTTTACTGCTAAAACCACTTTCTTCTAATTGCTACGTTTTAACACTCAATGTAACTGAGAAAATAAAGCACATTATGAAAAACTCTGTTGTACATCAGCAGAAATTGTACTGTATATGAAATACCAATGCAGAAACATTTCGCAATAGACGTAATTGAATTAAAAGTTTGGTCTTTGAAAATTTAAGCAACATCAACATTTCCTTAGGTAGGTTAAAATACTGAAAACAGAACGCATGCGCTATTTTTATAAGCGAAACTCTTACAGTCAAATGTTCATTATATTAAAATGACAAATTTAAAGCAATTCGCCTAATTTTCTAGTTGTAATAATTTCATATTATTTTAAAATCTCGTGGTAAAATTTGTCTTTTTAAAAAAATTGTCTTTTGAATAGATTTTTTGATGTGAGAAATAAAACGAAATGTCGATATTACAAATTAAAAATATATATAAACAAATATTTGTTAAATAAATTTAAATAAAAGGAAAACAAATTCAACTCTTAGACTAGTTAGAAGAAATCGATGTTCTTTCTAATACTCTCAAGAATCACCTGATTCATATAGTTATCGAAAACAATTGTGATACGAAAACTATGCAAAATGTACTACTGAAGAGATCCTCACATTCGATATACTTCTCTATTATTATTTATAATAAAAGATGTGAAAATCTCGACAAATGTCGAACAAAAACAATAATATAGAACAATCACCATTAGTTTTTTTTTCTTAGGAATTGAACATTAAGGAGTATATTTACAATTAAGAGTGCTTCTTTTTAACTTTCACTACATCATATAAAAATTTCATCATCTGCAAATTTCCGATCGAAATGATTCGACTTGAAAACTTACTGCGCAGCCGGAACAGCGAGTCGCCCGAAGTCTATAGCTAGGCCATAAAGTCAGGATCACTAAAATCGTTTTCACTCGACGAACTCGCGAACTTCCGCCGTTTCTTTTTGTGTCTGTGTTTTTTCACTTTATCCGTTTTTGGAGTCCTAATGGTACGTTTCGTATCACTATCAAACCTTCGATTCGATATCACCAATTTGGGCACTTTCGGCGTGGTATCCTGCATTAAGAAAAATCGTTTAGATATCATTTAAATAACTAGCTTCGAATGACTTACATTATAATTATCGAGTACTATTTGGTCGTTTTCGGTAAGTATTGTAGACGCGGCTCCTGGGTTACCTGATCCGTCCGTATTGGAAGTATTCAAAAAAGGAATTTTCGGAGCGTTTTCGTCCTCGTCCTGATCTTTCGGATCGAGTTGCATCATCAACTGCTTGAACTACACAAAAAAAATTCGCCGTAAATAACTTAATTGTGACCAAACTTTTAATTACTTACATCAATGTATTGTTGAATAAGTTCCCTCCTGCCGTTTTCGTCCAAATATTCAGCCGGTTTGCCTTCCTTGAGCTTCTGTATAGTCGCTTTCGGGTTAAACAAGCTGTTCGATCTGCGCTGTATGGCTTTCTCGTACACCTTCGCAGGCTCCAGCGGAGAGTACCGCTGAATTTTCCTAAAACGCAACCATTGAGACCCGATCGAAAGAGCCCGGACGGCAGCGAACGTACCCGTCGGTTAAACCGTAAACATCTTTGATGTGCTGCTTCAGCATCAACAGCAACATGCACCCCTGCGCGGCCGTCATGCAGGCTTGGAGCTGGCTGGTGTCCTCAGGTACTCGCGTCAGGAGCAGTTCCTCGTCGTCGTCGTCCTCGTCCAACGCGGAAACCACGTTCGCCTCGTCGTTCTCGTTGCCTATGACTTTCATCGGGGTGTGCCCCTCGATCATCAGCAACCCCTGAATATCGGAATACCGGTTAGTGTATACTTTAGAGTTTTTATAATTTGTACATACGTCTTTGAAATTTTGCAGGAGATTCGTTCCGGAAGAAGTTATCTTGTTGTTGATGTGATGGACAGTGAACAGCGGCTCGTCCTGTACTTGGTAAGGGAAGTATGCCAAATGATCGGCTAAATACAGCATGTAAGAGAGAGTGGCCCGCTGAAAAACCACCAATTAATTAACCGCGTTCAAGGTAAGTTTGATAGTACTTACGGTTTGCTCGTCGAACTGTTTTAAAATGTAAAGTATTAAGGCACGTCTTTGCTGTCTGGAACCACGGAACAATGTGTACAAGTAGCCATTCAAGGCGCTGGGGTATTCGCCCTTTTCCTTAACCTTGAAACCTCTGACGATCGATTCGTTTTGCAAGATATTTTGCAGCTGATAGGACAGCTGGATGCCCACTGAGGATTTCATGTTGTTGAACGTGGGGTACTTCTTCTCGATTTCCAACAGTTGCTTGTCGGCGCTGTGGGATATCATCAAGTCTGGGTCGGTACTCATGCAAATTAGGTAAGGCAGGATGGGCGCCGGATGCACAAGACCCTGTTGCAGGATTAATTTCACCACTTTCAACGCTTGCTGTCGTACTTGAAGGCTGGGGTGCAAGTAAGACGATGCTATTTCTATTTGGTACAGTTGGATTATTGTACTGGCCATTCCAGAGGATAAATCACACATTTCTTTTAAATTCTCCTTTTTACCCCTCGTTTTCCCTATAACAAACCGACATATTAGAGGAAACAATTACTCTTCATTCAACTACTTACATTCTAAATCCTGTTGAATCATCCTATTGTCTTCTTCGATTAGATAACTTTCAATATTGACGAGTACTTCAACTTTCATACGCAGCGGAGCGTCCTCGCAGGTTAGCTGTTTGTGGTAGAAATTTTTTAATTCGTCTTGCAACATAAACTCGTAATGCCTGATGCATATGCTGCCTATAGCCTTCAACGTGTTAGTCTGTATATCAATGTCGTCCGTTTGCAAGAAATACGCCATGTTTTGATAAACTTCGTCCTTCAAATCGGGCTGCAATAAAACTATTTTACTAACCGGTAATCGATTAACCAGCCGAATCTTACCGAGTAGTCGCCCAATACTTCGGGATTTTGAAAATCGAAGTGCCTCAAGAGCAACCCGACGATGAACAAAGCCCGCCTGAAGAAATTCCTCTGCTTCACTTCGAGGTACTGCCTGCAATTCGTCTCGATCCAGCCCCTGTACTTGATGAGGAAGTCGTAGCACTTCTTGAAGCAGTCCCTGATCAGCTTGAAATTCCTCGTGACCTTGTTGATGATCGAACTCAAGCAGGACAGGCAGCTGCTCACGATCAGCCTGTCGTGCTGCAGCACCAACTTTATGGCGTCCTCTTCGAGCTGCGCCAGGAACGAATCGCTCGGGTGCTCCATCAGCGGCACCACCAGCTCCAGCATTTTCGCGACGCTGCTGATGATCTGTATGTCGCCCAGAGTTTGGCATTTCAAGCCGAGGTAAGGCTGCAGCGTGCTGGCATGTTTCACCAGAAGCTGCGGCCTGATCTTGGCGAACAAATGTAACGTGGTCAAGCAAGCGACGAGCCTTTGGGAGGAGCCGCTCTTCTCGTTGTTTTCCTCCAAGCTCAGCACGTTTTCTATCAGACAATCGACGATTTGCCGGCAGGCGAGGATTAAAGCTTTAGGCGGTTCCGTAACTATCTTCGTGGAATCATCCTTGTCTTCTTTCGGCTTGAACAACTGGAATAATACACACAATAAACACGCTATCGTTTCAGAAAAATACTATCGATACTTACGCTAACTAAAAGTTGTTCGAACCACTCCAATCCGATTTCTTTCGAGTAAGCCACCACGTCCGTAATGTTCATGACTTTCCTGAGAAGGAAGGCGTCTTTGGATGGAGTGAACCACATGTTCTGAAACACTTCCATGACTAATTTTCTGATGCCTTCTTCGTCGTTGACCCGCCGGATCATCTTGACGCAGAGCTCGGGGACTTTGGGAAATTCCGGGTATTCGATGCAGATGTCTTTGAGGATCTTTATGACCCTCTTCCTGACGCTCACGCCGGTGTCTAATATTCGAGCGGACAGCATTTCGTAATACTTGCTTATCAATTCCGGCCGGCTCAGCACGAATTTCCCTACTAAATCTACGGCTGCTTCTCGTACGGACGTGGAGAGATCCAGGAACGACATGTTCACGCCCATTTGCATGTCGTGTCGTCCCAGGACGGCGGGATCGGCCTCGACGATCATCGTCAGGCATTTCATGGCCTTTGTCCTTATAGCAATCGAGTTCTCTTTCAAAACGATCAAGATCTGGAGAAATGATTGCGATGAATTAATAGGTAACGAGGTGGAAATAAAGGTTACTTACGGCTTTGAGGTACTGATCGAAGCTTTGCGAAAAGTACCGCTTAGATGCCAAAAATTGGGCGATTAATTCCGCGCTGGTGTAATCAATGTAGGTTTGATACACTTGGATTCTGTTGCCACTAGAAATAGCTTCCTGAAACGGTTTAATCTTGCTCAACAAGAATTTCTTGTTTTCGTCGATTTGCTGGTATTTATCGGCGTTCTGTTGATCGGGCGTTTTCTTCGACTTATTGTTTCGCTCATCGTCGGAATCTTCGTCTTCGGTCTCTTCCTGGCACTTCTTACTTTTGTGATTGTTGTTGGTATTTACGTTTTTATTGTCGCCCGAAGCTATTTGGCTCTTCTTGTACAAGGCGTCCTTGTACCATTGGGCGATGTAAAAATGCCTCGCGTACTTGTAGGCTTCGTCGTTCTGCGAGTTCACGGCCAGGAAATCGAGCAGGACGCGCTGCAGGAACAACGTGCGCTCGTGATCGCAATTCACCATGTCGTTCTTCTTCTGATAGAAAAATCGAAATAAATTTAAACGTTCGTAGAACACTAGGCGGCTTACTTTTTTAGAAGGCAACTCGTCGTTGTCCTTCTGCTCCTCCTGCTTGATGTCCTTGATCATCTGGTCGATGGTGTTCAATTTGCACCTGGACACGACGCTGTCCTTCCTCAATTTCGCGGCGACTACGCCCAAGTAGTCCAAGCTGGCCACTCTCAGCGGCATGTCGGCGTCTCGGTTCGAGAAATTCTGCACCAGCATTTTGCCCAGCAGGAACAGCAGCAGTTCCGTGGCCGGCCATTCGGGTTTGTTGACGGTGGCGAGCAGATCTTGGACGAAATTCTCGAACAGAGGGCGATAGTCGATCTCCTCCTGCTTGCTGCCGCATTTGTTCAAAAACACAGACAGGAATGTTCCTGCTATGTGGGTCGCTTTTTCGTATTTATTGCAAATAAGAATGTCGGGGTCGACCTGGAAATATATAGCGTCTAGTAACGATATTTATATCAGTGTATGATAGATTACCTTCGGTGTTGATTTTTCGTTGGTGTTTTGGGTTTTATTTTTCGAATCCTTTTGGAAACTATCGGGTAAAGCTGCTACGCATTGAATAAGCTGCAGGACTAAAGCGGTTAACATCTGGATGTTTTCTTCGCTGTTCAGCCTGTATGTTCGTTTACTTCGCTTTGTACTGGGAAGACGGGCAATAGAAGCTAAGATATCGTCCAACAACACCCTTCTGTGCGTTTCGTATTTCGTAAAAATCTGCGAATAAATGAAAGTGAATATCATGGAGGGCTGTTGATCGATATAACTTACAGTGGTTACGAGTTTTAGACAAGCCAGTTGGAGTTCATTGACGTTTTCTGCGAAAAATGGCGAGACGCCCATGGAGGAGGCGTGCAATACGGAAGTATCAGTTAAAACTTGGATATTCAATAATTCGGCTAACAAATTTACTAGTTCGGATATTTTTGTGTACAAAAGAACAATGCCTTTTTCAGTAACGTGGTTGTTCTTCTTCTTGCGGCCATCTTTCTTTTTATTATCCAACCTATGGAAAAAATCAAAAAATAATAAATCGTTTCCACATTTATAATCTCTTTACATACATGTAAGTAGAATCAAACGATGGAAATATGGTGTTGTGAAGGTGATATCGTATGTAAAGAACAACCCTGTCAATAACATCTTCTAGGTAAACCCGTTTTGACATGTTTCTGGATGTCATAATGTACAAGCAAACTAAACAAGCATCCGCAGCGCCCATTACTCTCTCCATCGTAGTTTCCAACCATAACTGACGAATACTTTCATTGTCTTCCTAAAATAAAAATCCTTCTTTAGCTAGAGTTAATTTTCGCATATTTTACATACGTCAGATATCGGCGAAACCTTATCTCCTCCTCGAATATTCAATTCCAGTATATTCAACAACCTAGTTAGCTTTTCTGTAGGTATCATTTCCATTGCACCAAGAATCTTCAACTTAGCTGCTTCCGTGCACAATTCTTGCATAACGCTCCGATTCAACAATCCCTCTTCCTGAATCATACCTTCTTCGCCTGCAAAATGGTTTCAATAAAAACCTAATTTACCACCATCTTACCGCGATCGTACCTATTTTTGTGATATCAATATCCTCGACGGACCTCAGAATGTGCTCTATCGATTTGTTGAACTTGTGGTAGGTGTTGGTCTCCATCAGCTCCTCCTGCGAGAGCTTCTCCAACACCGGCACGAACTTCTTCTCCACCCTGCGCAACTTCGGTTTGGTAACCACGAGCTCCGGCACCTCCTCGGAGACGACCTTTCGCCTTTTGCTCTCGACCAAGGCGGAGAACGTGTCCGGGTGGTAGTCGTCGTCGCTCTTGTCGCCGCTGCGCTTGCGCTTGCCGCGCCTCGACGCTTCGCCGTCGCCGTCGCCGTCGGACTCCGACCGGTCTTCGTTCACGTCGATGCCCATGTCTTTGGCCAGCTTCGGTTTGCTCTCGACGAATTCCTTGACGCTCTTCTGCAGCAGCAATTGGTCTTCTTCGGTCAGCCGGTTGAGTTTGATTACCGGCTGCTTTATTAGCGAATCGCCGCAGATCGATTTGTCCATCGAGTCGTGGTCGAGTCTGGAATCGTCGGTTTCTTGGTCTGGATCGAAGTCGAACTGGTGTTTCATTTGTAGAGTGGAAGTAGGCGTCGCTGAATCGGTCTTCGTTGCGCTCGTTTGACCTAGATTGAATTAGTTGTGTAGAAATTGTTGGTTTGTTTAGGGATTAAACGGGTTTACCTCTCATAGGGTTCCTCCTCAACTGCCTCAGTTCGCTGGTAGATGTCTGTGAAGTTTGTTTATTTTCTGGTAGACGAGTGTTATACACATTATTTACAGTACCAGGTTGATTGAACTGAACAAATTTTTGTTTTTGTTCAGACTCGGACGGATTTAAAACACTTTGGTCTGGTTGCATTGCTCTGTCAGCCATCAATAGGTTCGACTGATCTTGGTTTAATTGTCCTGATATGTAATAGATATTAGTTTAAATTGAATAAGTAGCATTTCCAATGAATCTCACCTTGATTTGAAAAATTGCCGCTCGCATTATTACCCATCTCGGCTACACTTATACTTTGATTGGTATTATGTACATTAGAACTAGGTAGGGAATTGCTTTTTGCTTGATTTTGATCGAATTGCTTGTCACCTTTCACGTTCTGCACAATTAATTCACGAATTTAGTAACACAGTAACTGGGCGTAATTGCACGAAAACATTACCTGTCCCGGTGATTGACCCGTATGATTCCATTGCGATTGTGCTTGAGATTGTTCCGTTCGCTGTTGCTGCTGCAGGGTCTGCGCTTGCGCCTGCATTTGGAACTGCTGCATTTGCTGTTGGTTTTGCATCATTGTCATTTGCAATTGCTGTATCATTTGGATAGACGCTTGAGCTGAAATATTGGTAATGTGTGACCGATGTACTTACATGATGATTATTTATTTTAACTTACATTTGTTGTCACTAAAAATTGTAGCATTCGTGTCTAAGAGAGCTCGTAACAGTTCCGGCATGGATTCCTGCTGTTCAAGCCTAGACTCTGCTCCTGCATAGTTATCTTTCACCTCTCTGGAATTGAATTGTCGTTATGATATTTAACTTGAGGTTGTTTCAGTACTTACATGTGTTCAGCAGACGTCTTCTCTAATGACTGAACTAACTGGGGTACCAAAACTTCATCTCGAACGCCTAGTAAATTCTGAGCTTCCTCTGCTACTCTTGGATGAAAGAGTAACGATTTATTACTAAGTGTTTGTGGCGAGGGGGTCGGTAAAGGCATTTCTGGGAGCACTAAAAACCCAATTACGTTATTACTTCACATCGATAAAGGTATAACCTCAATTAGAAAATATACAAACGGAGTATTTAATATTATTCTGTTATTAAAACACAATAATAGAGTGAATTGTTGCAATTTCATTTGACAACATAAAGTAGTTGTTAATAATGTAATGTAGAATAACTTTTATAGTAGTACGAGTATGTAAAATTGATCTACTTAATACTTACAGTCAGTAAGACTTGCTACACCAGCTAACGTGGTGATGGGTACACTTGGAACTCCTGGATCCATCTCCACAAATTAATTTTTTTATCCAAAAACCATAGTTAAATCTTAATATAGTGTCCAAAGATATCATGTAAAAGATTTTCGTTTCTTATACATAACTGACATAACCTAAGTAATTAGTTGGTTTTATAATTGTTAAATTACAACTGAAATTTTACACTGTATACCTCGAAACTATTATCTAATTGTTTAAGATAATCATATAAACAATATAAACGTTCTTTTTTGGAGAAAAATTGTAAAGCTGTCAACAACATTGCAGTTGACATTTAACAAGGTTTTTAAAAACTAATATATTGCATGTTTTCTACATTTTTATTCCTCTGACGATAATCACCATGAAAATAATTCACTTTTCTTATATGTACTGCCAGCAATAAGTTGTATTATTCAGGTGACCGAGTTTGTTTTGATGAAGCGTTTGCTGAGATTTCACCCGAAGTCCGTTGCTTGTACTGCACTGGTCGCTGAGTAAATCCATATATCATTCGCTTATTACTTAACCCATTGTACTAATTTCACTAGTGGATGTTACAACTTTTGATTTTGATAATTGATGCAAACAAATGGCGAATTTATAAACAGACAATTGACTTTAATGCAAACGAAAAACACAAACAGTGATGTTCTTTAGGTAGGGGTGAGACTGCTGTTGCTAGGGATGGTAACGTAATCTCGAATCTGTTATTTTGGAACAGGTCAATGAGTTGGATTATTGGAATTAATCCAATTCAATATAACACGTTCACTTTCCACATAAAACACCAAACACGAAATAATTCAGCAAAGGAGCATTGAAGTAACGCTAATTTGATTAAATTTATCATTTCGTATTCGAAATAATTGCAAATATTTAGTATGCATTCATCGCGTTCTGACAAATGCGTATAAATGTCATTAAACAAAGATGGACGATTTTTAATCGCTCTCTAGAAAAGTCACTCTAGCATCTCTTATTTTAGTTTAAAAGTTGTCTAGATGGCGCTTACTGCTTTTCCATTTGTCAAAATTGTCATATGTTTTTCCCGCTTCATTATAAAAATGTACAATTCATTGAATTTTCTTCAATTTTTATTTATTGAAACTTTGACGCGTTATCTAGGGTGCTTCTTTAGACGCAGTATTTCTAATAAATCGCAATCTCTTTGATCGTTCGACCGAAAATTAAAAATGTCATTGAATTGTGGAAAATTTTTAAAATGAGATTTTCCTTTGATTGAATGAACCAATAAAAACGTTATTAAAATTTCGCTTCCCGCTCCAGAGCAATAATACAATACAAATAAATTAAAAGGGCTGGCAGAGTGAAATTAATCCTCGCTATTGCGCGACCTTGAGAGAAAATAGATCAAGAAGCAAAATTACGAAAAGGTGTGACATGATGCGCAGTTTTCGGAAAACGCGAAGACGCATTGGTTCTATAACGTATCCGGGGCGGTTATTGGTCAATCGAATTCATCCAACGTTGCCACATGTCGGAAAATGTCCACTACTCAGACGAGTTTTCATCGTACTGTTACATCGAAGTGGAAGTGTAGGAGTTGATCTGTTCTGTTGGTTTGGCAACGCCGCTTTACGACGGAATCGAAGATTCCAAGCGCACGTTTGAAGCGCAAGGTGGCTAGCAAAATTGACAAGTTCTTGGTGTGAAAGGTCCCGAATATTCCCAATCGCTCCAAAAATTAATACCACTTTTTTAACTGAAATAATATGTCATTTTTGTGCGTCACCTAATCGCAGCGAATACGACGTGCGTTACCAAACACTAGAACACTCGATTCCTTTAGTTATATTGATCTCTCGCATCAGCAAAAATGTTTACTGGTCTCACCAGCCAAGTATCTTCCTGGATGGGAACCGTTAAGGGCGAGCAGGAGGAAAAAGTCCCCACACCTACGGAAGACACTAGTACACTTGTTGGACCGGAGAAGAAGGAAGGAAGGTAATTTTGATTTGACCTATTTTTTATTGATTACAAATCTCGATTATTCGCTTATTGTACTCTTGCCAAAGTTTCCATCGGGTACCAACGGGCCGTTTATTGACTATGAATTAGCCTATTTACTCTCCGACGAAGATAATTACTTCAGTTTATTAACCAATTAAATTTATCACAAATAAAACGAAGCGTTATCTCGAATCGTTTATTTAATTACACTTAAACAGGTGCAGTTGTTTTGTCTGAATTATTATTTGTTTTCACGTTATGTTTTTGAATTTTTAATCCTATTAATTGGTGCGTACATATGCACTTTAAATGTCTAACTAAAGCAGCTCCAGAAGGAAGATTAAATCCTTTACAGTTCAATATGCTTTACACTAATCGAAATCAATAGGGTGCACTTGAAACTGTATCTTTCAGTCCGACCAAAGCGGCGGCTCCGGGAGGGCGATTAGAGATGTTCTCCAACGTGAAAAACCAAATCGAGGGCATCGGAGGTTGGCTGGGCTCGAGCATCCCGAAGCTGAGGAAAAACGAGAACGAGGCAGGCTCCTCGGACGTCCTGGATCAACCTGCTGCTACCGAGGCTGCCGATACCCAGGAACCCGACGTGCAGCCTGTAAAGGACGACGATGATAACTCCAGGTATGTTCGCATCTCCAGACAGTTCCGTTGCTTACTTCACCACTTTGAGAGAGAAAGTAAGGGCTGCAGATGAATTCGATTACAAAATTAATTCAAAATATGTGAAGATATGTGTTCCGAGTAAATTCTTCAGTAGTCAGTAATTTTTCAGCAATAGTACTTCAGTATTTGATTCTTAACTAGTTCTTCTGAGCTTGTTACTTTAATGATTTTTTTCTACATTGATTGATTCTTCTACTGTTGCTCCTTCTGTGCCAGACTATCTGGCACCTCTTCCGGCAGGTTTCTTACTTTCTCTAAATACAGTAGTATAACCCAAAAACTTAATCCAGAAATTACAGTGCTACCGGTGGAGCTGATTCGGGACCTCAATCCGCTGCCGAATCTCCTACCGAAGACAAAGATAGTCAATTTGCAAATGGTATGTACAAAATAAAGATATGTTGTTGTTGTTGTCGATGTTGTATAAGTGTCTGAAGGTAACTGTTTCTTCTCTTTTACTCGACATACTTTACTTCTTGGTGCTATTTTAATGTAAATCGAGAAAATGGGTAATGAATATTTAAAGTGTAATTGTACGCTCGTTACCCTTTTTTTCTTAGGTTTGGTTTATGATGAGATAAATGTTGTATTTGTGTGAGGTATTGAATCCTGGGTTTAGAAATTACGTTTGTTTTTCAGTACAAACTAAGGCTTTAGCTGGCGCTAAATCATTCGGTAGTTTTCTGTATTCTGCTGTAAATAAGGCTGGGAAAACCGTAAGCGAAGCGAGCGCTAAAATTAAAGAATCCGTTGAAAAAAACGTGAGTATTTCGCCTGTTCAGGTTATTCGTGGGGTATACTCTCAGTAATTAAATTCGTTTAAAATATCGATCATACAATTGAATGGTTGTATTTATAGAGCATACTAGGCGAGTTCAACAAAGAACAGGACGCTTTTATTAAAACCCAAGGCAACAACGCCGCCAGCGCCGTGCCCCCATGGGTGGGCTGCGCCAACGAGGAGGCCCTGAAAGACGAGTGTCTCAGCTTGTCGACTGACCGTAGGAATTTTGTACGTAGTCCGCCAGCTGGTGTCGATTTCCAATTCGACTACGAAGTGTCTTATCCGGTCGCTATGTCCATCATGGAGCAGGATCCCAACTTGGAGAAGATGCGTTATGAACTCGTGCCTAAAGTGTAAGTGTTCATTTTCTTTCGATTTCCTCGGCGAAATATGACACGGGGATTTTGTCCCGCAGAATTACGGAAGAGAACTTCTGGAGAAATTATTTCTACCGCGTAAGCCTAATTTGTCAAGCGAATGAATTGTCGTTCATGTCGAGAGAGGGTGATAGTCAATCCGCTACCGAAACTTACACTTCAGATCAACTTATAGGTGAGTTATATCAATGTCCTTCATATTTAGGGATATTGGCAAATCCTTCGCACACGCCGGATTTCGTATATGCTTCGTATCGAATCCAATTCGATTTATATCTAAATAATACATATTCGAAATATTTTTATTTAGTTATTCTAAACTATAGCACAATAATTACAAATATGGACATCCCGTTGAATATTGCAGTATTTAAATGAAAAAATAATGAAAGGAGGATTTACAAAAAAATATTGAAATGTGAAATACAGAAATCTGTAATACCGACGAACGTAAAATTATTGACATTTAAAGAAATCACGAAATTATAACAAATCAAAGTTACCATTGGAAATCTTAACAATCGCAAACCTTATAATCAACTGTCAAGTATTTTTTGACATTCAAGGCTAACTATTTTCTTTTGACTTACGTAAAAATCGAGAATATAAAACTACCCAAGGATAGTTTAATTTTATATGACCAAGAAGCGACTATAAGCTAGAACTTTTATCATCAAGACCATTACAACCAAACTTACTTCGATTTTTTTTATTACATCAAGTAGGCTAACTCACGCGAACAATCCTTGTGTAGTCTCATAATCTTGCTGGAAATGTCCCGTTGCTAAAAATCTAAGTTTGCCTTGGAGAAACAAAAGCGAATTTTATTGTGCTATAGTTTGACAACAGTTCATCATTTTTGAGTTTTTTTTATTATTAAGTAGATAGTTCAAAAAAAGATATGCATGAATTTGTGTCTGACACACTCCAAGCCAGTAGCGAAGATTTGAATGAAGTGCGCGAAGGAATGAAAAAACTCGCAATGGGCTCCAAGCATAATGGTAAGATACTAAGATAGCTTGATCGTCCATTATCTTCTCGTTAGGTTTCGATCGAAACGAGTTAGTAGCAGAAGATGATGGATTATTTGCATGTTCATTACAATTAACTAATTAACTATTAACAATAGCGTAAGAAAACATGTGGTTAGTTTCCTGTTTTGTTTTGTCGCAGCTTAAGAGGATCGTCGACATCTCACTTCCTTACTATCCCAAATCCCGGACTTGTATTAGTCTAAAAAATATCTTCCTACTTTAACAAGTCACTTTTAATTTAACTTAGTTTGGCTTTACGTACACAAACCCTGTTTTTATTTAACTTGCTTCACACCATAGTCATTTAAATACAGGGTGAGTTGAATTTGATTCAAATTATATAAGTACATCAGTAACGTTGATGTTTAAAGAATAACTAAATGTTGTATGGCGATAAAATTGTTGTTTTTGCTTCTTGAAAATTTCAAATGTGTCATCTAGATGTGATATTTGTTTCAATAAATTGAAATCATTAAATGTCTATTCTATTCTGTGTAATAAAATATATTTTTGTCTGTTAGTACTTAGAGGTTTATTATTAAAAAAAAATCAATCAAATTTTAATCACCTTGTATGAATAAAAAATTATTTACGAAATGTTATTTGTATTAGGATTAATAAGAATAGAACAGTATTATATTCTAATGCTGTAGTTCCGATATCTAAAATAAAATTAACATTGCATGGTGTCAATGCTGTTGTATTTTGTTGTTCTATGTCCACTGGGTACATTTTGTTCAATTAACTAAATGTTTTACGAATTTGTGCAAAGTACTTAATTATTAACTAATATTCATGATTGAGTATTGCATCCCCAGAACTTACGGGCTAAATACAAACTATTTTAATAATAATTACAAAAGCCATGGCAAATTACTTAGTACATAGGTAAATATACTAAAAATTCAAGTAAGCTGGATCGTGAAAACTAAAATATTTGTGTGCACAAATTCAACGCAAACGATATTTGAGCAATTCTGTTTCTTGCAGTGGACTAGACTGTGACCCTTGGGGTAATTTTTGTTAACAAAGCTTTTCTAAATATTTGTAACTATGTATTTTTGGCAATAGGGTGTTGGTTACTAAATTATTTGTACATTTGGGTACCTGGATTGGTGATTAACACGGGTTGAATGTGGCAATAACGTTGGATAAGTAGGTACTAATTTGTACACATATTTTTGTGATAACCTGTATAAATATGTAAAAGTTATATATCTACTCTTGTGTAAATGTGTAAATTATACCTTTGTCTTCCTAAAATTATGACATGGGTCCAGTTTGAGTCGCTTAAAAATGACAATACAAAACAGATTGGTTGGAATTATACTAATAATATTAAAATGTTGGTAGAAGTACATATAACTGTTTTAAGATTTATACAGCTTTCCAAATGAAAAATTTTTCACCTCGATTTTCAGATAGAAATTCATTTGTACATATCAAACGTCCAACGTAATTAAATTAATTTGTATTCACTTAAAACAGAAATGTAACTATTTTGGCAAGTAACGTGGATTTGGTTAAAAGTGTCAATTTGTATTTGAAAACTGAGGAAATCCCAATTATAAAAATATTAAGGGAATTTTGCTAAAAATTTTTCATTTCTAAACGGTTTCTTATAAGGTGTGGACCCACCAGTTGCTCAGATTTCCTCAAAAAAAATATATATACAAAACAATCAGGAAACTAACGTTCTGAGCATCTGGTTGAAGACAAGATTGCTCAATGTTTTATGCATATAGCTTTTTATTATTTTGACTGAGGTTCTCTTTCGAAAAAGTTGTGTTTTTAAAAGAAAACCTAGCCCGATCGGCGTCAAAAGAATACTCCGAGCTATTTTATTTATTTTTCGCCTTTTTCCTTATCCCAATATTGTTCACATAGAAGAAGAATGGGAGAGAGAACTCGAAGCAGAATTGCAGGATTATGAAATGGTCAGTGAACAAAAATCGACGAATTCGAAAAGCGATAACTGGGAGCAAGAGATTGAGGACATATTGCAGGACGAGACTGATTTAAAATAATTTGTTTTAATACTCCAGACTGATATATTTTATGTTTATTTACTGAATTCCTTTCGGTTAATTTTGGCCTTGTTTGTGGTAATTTAACTTTGCCGAATCGTTTCTTAAAAACTGGCATATTTGTGCAGAAATTGCCTACTGTGAAGAACAACAATGATTGCCGAGTCTGTTTGTATATCTTTTGGCTTGCATCGAAGCGTAAAAGAATTAAGGCTTAATAAAACAGTGGCTTATTGAAGAAATTTTGAGCAGCACTGTTATTATTTTTAAATGTGTCATAATATGTATGAATAGAGTAATAGGTCGTTCATTTCCACAAATACCATATCAGCGTGCAAATGTTGCTGGATAATCCATAAGTAACCATTCCATAGCGACTTGTTAATTCAAAAGTCTTTTTAATTGGCAACAAAAGGGTGTTACAGCGCTTTTGTAAGCATTTTTGAATAAATCGTACACATTCCCATTTAATTAGTACCTAGGTATACTTTTCCTTGTTGGGATTCGTTTGTAGGATTCATCGTACTCTAGTCATTTTGAAAAAAAAAACTAAATGGTATTTTTCGTACTTAATTTGTGATGGTATATAGCATATAGGGTCTACACCTTCGTATATTAAATATATATTATGCATTTTAAAATAAAAGTGTCACTTTATACATAATACTGCATTTCCATTTGCTATATATGCTGTTTTTTGGTATATTCATTTAAATCGTTTGTAAATTATCTATTTTTATTAAAAGATTAAAAATTCTATTATATTTTGTTATTTCTGTGTATATAATATATATGAATGAAATAAGTATGTAATTATTTAGAGATGTAATATAGTATATAAATAGTTTTTCTTTTAGCCACGCGGATAAATAATTTTACATCTGTTGCGTTCAAAACTGTTAGCATTATAGCATTTAGGATGTAGCTTTTCGTGTGTTAAGCATGTTCTCCTGTATTCTAATTGTTATATAACATACAGATTGTTAAATAAATGTAGCAAATGTGCCCACTCATTAGCGTTTTATCAATCCCATTCCAAGTGTTTCTGAATAATTTTTATCGAAAGGCGAAATTTTTGAGGCAAATGTAATTAACTTAATAAGTATTCAAAGGTTTATTTGGAAAAATACGTAATTAGAAAAATTAACAAAGCATATTATACTTTTTTACAAATTACAAACTGTTCAAGAATAATGTGAATATCAGTAAGGTGCTTCTGAATAGGAATACAACAAAGATTTTTTTTTACAAATTTTGTGACAATTTTTTCACAATAAACCCCGTATATCTAAATATACTTCTGAACGTAAGGTACTATTTTTTACTACAACGTTTAAACTGTTTTTACATCACAAGTAAAACATGCAGTTCGGTTGCTGGAAACTTGAAAATATTTGTATAAAATCTTACATGCTATTGTTACCAAAAAAATCAATTCTAAAAGATAAACAAAGTGCCTAATTTATTTATAATTCACAGTGTATAAAACTCAATTCTAAATGTTAACTAATTACTATTTTACAGTTTTAGTTAGTAATAATTGGAGAAAATTATAAGCTTTTATGTTATCAAATATTCATAAATCTTATATCAACACATGAAATTCGCTAGTCATTGATCAACATCAGGAATTATTTTGTAAATATATAATTAAATTATATAACGTATCAGTGGACATTACAGAAGTTTTTAAATTGTTAACTACACATAGTTATAATAACATCAAGGTAAGAAATATTTATCAAAAATTGTCTACAAATGTCTCTGTAGGAAGGGTAACTAACAGCAGTGAATTCGTTTTTCATATAAATTATAATCGAGTAAGTGATTAAGACTAAAGGAAAATTACATAGAGTGCATTATAATTCAGTTACAGTGAGTTTTATAACAATACATTTTCTTTTAAATGGAAGAATATTTTAACAAATCATCCCACTACTACACAACGCACTCTACACCTGTTTTTAAACAAATTCAACTACAACGTTAGCTTCATATTTGTTTCAATCAGTTAGGTACTTAAATTTAAAATGTCCAATGGAAGGTGGTCCATTAAAATTCACTTAGCTGGTTAAAAGGGCAACGTTAATTTCTTTCACCATTTTGACCCTGTGAAGCATTTTCTCGAGGGCCTCCTTCGGCAAAGGCATCGTCGAGTACCAAACCGGACTGTCCGGTACGCAGGAACGTTCCGGTTGCAGATAGAAAACATCGTTTCTCGTCTTCACACTCTCCGGACTGTAAATTGTCAATTTTATTAGTTTTTAATACAAAAAAAGTGTAATTATACTTACCATTTGGATAAGTAGAATTCGTAGAGTTTCACAGGACATCTCAATGGATTTTCTTCGTTTTCTTGTTGCTCGTAAACTTTCTTTTTCCTAGCGTTGTTTTCTACGAGAAATATTTTTTTAAGTAATTGTATTTATTAATTGTTATTTTTACGTACGTATAGCACTTTGTGGTGGATAGAAGCGCAACAAGACATTCCTAGAACCCGGAACTTTAGAAGCCCCCGGTTGATTCGGATTTCTCTTCCAATGTTTCATAATGTGCGAAAAGGACAACTGCATGTGCTCGTCAACGCTCTGTTATAAAAAAAATCAATCAATTAAGAAATAAATCGCTAAATAGTGAACCCACCGTAAGATTAAAGTGCTTGGTGTTGAAGAACATCAAAGTACTCAGCAGAACGTGAGGCGAATGGGCCCCCAACTGTTTGCTCTCCCACAAATGCTCCTCTTCGACCCTCGTCACGATGTAGTGCGAATCGTTGTACAGCACCGAGAACTTCTTCGCCACCTCGTCCAAACAATCGGTGAACTTCTCGTAGTAAGCGTCGCAGAATATGTTATCAATGCGCCCGTTTTCGAACAAATATTGCTGGATGCCCAAGCACAGGTAGTATATCGTGTCGGGCGCGTACTCCGCGCCGTTGGGCTTCCGCACCTCCTTCACGAACAGGCAAAGCGAGTAATTCAGTTCGTCCGCGGTCAATTGGAGAATTTCGGTTTTGAAGAGCTTCACGAGCCTCGAGGATTTCTCCAATTCGGCGTTCTTCGTCGTGACCCATTGCTTCCAGGCGTTCACTCCGAACGTGTACTGAAATAGGTACATTTTGAGTTTTATTCAATTCGAATGAAGCTATAATTTACCTTCAGACACATATTGGCGTCGGGTTTTTCCGCGGGTTCGGGCGGCGGAGGCGGCTGTTGGACTTGGTGGTGCGGCATCATCGGCATATCGACCTGGTGATGTGACATTCTTCTGCCGCGCTTAGCCCCGGAACGGGGTTGTCTCATGCCTCTCTTCCTCCCTCTGATCGCGGGGTTCCTGTCGCCCATCATGTGATGGTGCATAGGTTGCTGATCGTCCACATTTTCTTCTCCCACTGGATGCGCTTCGCCACCTTGTGGTGCTGATTAACATACAAAAACGTTGGTACTGATTTGTTTGTGCGGATTAAACTAAATATTACCTGTAATAGTATTCGCGGTGAGGGCGCCTTCGAGATCGACAGGCGGTTCGTCTAATTCAGTGGCCATTTTTAGAGCCATTTGCAACATATCGTCGCCGAAAGTGTTGCTGGCATCTACAGGCTCCGGGCTGTAGCCATCATCTGGCCCACCAGCGTCATCCACATCGCTTTCCGAATCCGTAATATCTTCTTTCTTTTCTTCAGCAACCATTTCGGCCATCATCAGCAGCTCGGCTTCGTAAGGATCAGTCGGTATTTTTACTTGAATTTTCTGAAATTACAACAATTAATTACATCGCAATTTCTCTAACGACCACCACGTTACTTTGATTTCCTTCATGATGCCAGCCGCAGAGTTTCTAGTAGTCGGGATGAATATGGGAATCGGTATCGGCAAGGGTATCGGCACGGGAACCGGCGTGGGGATGCTGTACATGTGCATCGGAGTGGGCACGTAAATGGGAACGGGAACGGGTATTAGGATTTTCTTCTCCTCCCTCTCGTCGGTTTGCACCTCCTGATCGACCATGACGGGCCGGGCGCTGGTGCCCTTGTTCAATTTGCGCGTGTAGCACATCGTTCCGACGTTTCGTTGCTCGGGAATGGGCGCCGGCCGGACGATGAAGTGCTGCTTGATTTGCACCTGGAACGGCGCGTCCGAGAACGAGTTGATCGCCTGCGACGAGGAATTCGAAGATTTCGAGCGGGTGCTTCTGGTGTTTATGGACGAAATGGTCGATGGTACAGCGGACGCTTGCGCCATATTCCCGTTAGATGCCAGGCTTTGTACGCTCGTTATCACTGGTAATTGGTTTATATCTTGTATGGAAACTGGAAACGAAACGGGTTTTTTTAACTGGTTTAAATGATAAAAAGTGGGTTAACAATTACCTGAATCAGTTTCTGTGTTTTGCTTGTTTCTCCTTGGTTGTCCGGTAGGGACTGGTTGCGCCGAATCGCTCCGATTGCTGGGCTTGGAGTATTGGTTTTGGAAATTCAAAACGCATATGTAAGAGCAGAAGTTTCTCAAAGTGGCATCGGACATTGTTAGGTGGTACATAGGAAGAGTGAATTTTTGGCATAGACTGCAAGTCGCTTGCTTCAAACTGACAGCTTCCACGGAGACTCGGTACAAGGTCAGGCAGTTTACGCTGCACATGTTGATAATTGTGTCTGAATTCGAGTGTTTTCTGATCATGTCGAAGTTGTATTTTTTTACTTTACACCAGCTGCACGGAACGATTTTCCTATGCGCGATGATATAAATGTTTTCGCAGCTGGCCGAGCAGAATCTGAGCTGGATATTATCGTAATACATCGTGTGCTTCTCGAGCGTGTCTTTCGGGAAGTGCCTGCGACACATACCGCATTTACCCGGCGATATGTTGTTTACGAAACTGAAAGCCACAAAGCAAGGTTCTCCACAAAAGTAGTTCGTAGTCCTGTCTAGCTCGTATTCAATCGTTATGGGTTTCTCAGCCTTGCATACCGAGCAAGTCGTACCTGCGGGTACAATGGGCGGTTTGTTGTTTGTCATAACGTCGTATTTTTCCATGCAATCGCGGGAACAGAAATCCTTGAATATGCCCTTGTCTCCTACAGGAGCTAAGAATCCCGGCGCGCCTCCCGACATGTCCTGCTGACAGTAGGAGCATACTTTCAATCCTTTTTTATATTTATCTAAACAGAGACTCGAACAAAACTGCCTTATGTCAGTACCGAACCTAACGCAGTACTTTCCGAGAGAATTCGAATTAACTTCCCCTTTGCAGGTCGAACAGAACGAACCGATTTCTTTCTGATATTTGATCAGGCAAAACTCGTTGCAAAAGTCCTTGATTTCCCATATCAAAATTTCATCTTCGTTGGGTTGTTTACTGCACATCGCGCATTTCCTAACCAAAGTGGAGTCTTTGGTAGTCGATTCTTTCGAGACCCCTGAGAAATCCTTCACTCTTAAACCGCCTTCCTCCCAATTCAAAGCGATTTTATCACTTTGGCTACTCTTGAAAGTGTTCAAGCAGTTCTCATCGCAAAGATACTTCTCATCGGCATCTATGTCATCTTTCACTGAATAGTAATATTTGACTTTCCGTTTCTGTAAAAATAATGTATTTATTAAGCGATAATTAAATCGTAAAAGGGAAATAATTACCAATTTGCATTCATTGCATATTTGCAGGTCGTCCATTTCATATTTGAAAATAACTATGGGTGAAGGGCTTGTTTGTTCGGGTACTTCTTGATTGTTTTCTTCAGGTTGAATCGATACTGTTGCTTCACTAATATCGCGAAGTGGTGTAATAGATGAGGCAGCATCTCTTTCTTCCTAAAAGTAATACAGATTTGAAAATAAGTGTTGTAGAATTAATCATTGTTTACTAACCTGCGAGATTTCACGTTCGGTATCTGGAATAATGCATAATTCTTCATCAGCTCCTTCCCTGTCTTCATTGTTCAAACTCTCGAACGAGTCTGAAGCAATAGGATCGTGTTCCATGTCCCTCCGAGACCCGGAAGCGCTGTCTTTGTCGATATCATCGCTCTCCTTCTCGTTTTCTGTAACATGCACGAATTCCGTGTTTTCCCTATCGGACTGTTTTTCTTTATCGTTGCCATCTTTGTCCAATTCTTCACACTCGATTTCCATGCTGTCATCGTTAGTGGCTTTGCTTTTACTAATAAGATCGTCGTTATCTTCGATCACTTTGACTTCATCTTCGATGATGGGCTTTTTTATTTTGTCGTCTTCAAGAATCGGGGAAGTATCTGTGATATCTTCGCTTTGCAGCTCTTTACTTACTGGCGATTTGGATTCCATGTCGACTGTACTATCAATGATTGCTTTTTTGTCTTCTAATTCTGGATTATTTTCACTAGGAGCTTCTAGCAGATCTTCTGTTGTTGTTACACTAGCGCTGGGTTCTGGTGTTTCTTTGTCATCGGAAGATGTATCCTGGGATTCTGCTGGAGGCGGATCTACAGGTTCTTCGCTTTCAGTGGAAATGATTGGCTTGTCATGTTCTGCATCGTCAATTTCCTTGCTATCGTTTAAAGAGTTTTCACTAATTGGCTCGTTCTCGCTAGGTTTCTCGTTAGAATTTTTGCTAGTGTCATTATCGTTTTCAGGAACTTTGTCTGGATCTTTTTCCGATTCGGTCCAATCCATTTTTTCTGGCACAGTTTCACCAGCTTCTTCTTCTTTCCCTGTTTCACTTACAGTATCTACAACTTTTTCACTGTCACTTGTGGATATAGGAGGAACATCTGTTGAATTTTGTGCAGTTGCAGCGGTTTCTTCACTGTCTGCTTCTTTATTTGATATTGAATTACATTCCTCTGCAGACTTATCAGGCGCAGTTGATTCTTCAGGTGTGGGGTCTTCATTTTCTATTGTATTTTTATCTAATTGTCCGGAATCATTCGTGGATTCATTTGGTGCATTACTTAACTTCGAATCATTCTCGTTTGGGGTTTCAGTACTTTTGTAAACGTCTGCACTAACATTTATATCCATGGGGATGTTGTTAGCTAAGTCTTCAACAGTTTTTAAAACTTCACTATTATATTCCTCCATGGTTTTAGATGTCTGGAGCCTTTCTTAAATGTGATCAATTATGGTAACACAAATGAAGGTTCTTCAGGTTGTTTAGTTGCACCCAATGAAGTTTCATGGTAATTGAAGGAGTCAACAATGAGGAAACAAAAACAGTTAAACCAACTCCTTGGATGTTGATGTAAGTTACAATCCCGGCATTTTTCCAATTGTTTGGTTAAACTTCAAATGCTTTAATCTATCACCAGCTTGTCAAAATCAAGTAAGACTTTCTCTGAGCTTAACCAATCCATTACCTTCAATTATTAATAATAAGTATACATAAAACCTCAATTTTGTTTACAAAATAAACATGGTTTACAACTTCATGAAATGGTATTTTCTACAGTTTTCAACCAAGCCATATATTAATGGTGGACAGCATAATAATGTAAACCAATTGTGCCAACTTAAACTTATCAAATATGACAGTTGACAGTAAAACTCACATGATTTGCTATCTCCTTTTAATATTATGAGGGATACTCTAATGCACTCTCTCTTTTAGTTAATTTTTTTCACAAGAAATAATTATTAGATTATATTACGATTTTTGTTTTTTATTTTATTAAAAAGTTAATAAAAATAACTTATATATTTCTTGTATTGAAAATTTTGGTTTGGAAATTTCCACCATGCTGTCAGTTGTCTTGTTGTCAAAAAATCTAGTGACATATGATTGAAGTGACATTAATTTTAACCAAAATGATTTAGGTTTCCCATATATTAATAAATTAATAATATTTATACAGAACCCAAAATAAAAGCTTTAAAACTAAAGTATAACACAAACTAAAACAGTGCGTAAAGTGACAATTAAAAAAACGTGAACTATCACTTGGAATAATCAAAGTGTTTCCTTTGTTTTGTTTTTAAATGCCTATAGAGGTTTTGAATTGCAAGGTTACATCTCGAGTTTATCAAATACCATTTCCTACGAAGCACCTATTACATTAAATCAGTTTCTGCGGTCGGTTTATTTTTATGAGCCCCGGATATTAGTGATTGAAATTTCCAAAATTAGATACAAACGTAAAAAGTCGATCAAAAATAACATGAAGAATTCATGACGAAAGCCTAGCTCAAATACAAAACCAATAACTGCAGCAATGCCGAAGAAAACGATGATTGCAAAGATATGCCCCACTTGCAAACAGCAGGTAAGTTAACGTTAACCACAAACGAAATTTCAACATCGAAGAAATATTTGTAATATTGGAATTTCTCTTTCCAGGTACCTGTGGCGTGCAAGTCATGCCCCTGCGGGCATTTCTTCTACAATGCCAGACGAATTGCCAGAGAATTCGCCATCGAAGCAGACTATCGAAGAAGAACGGCCAGAGTGAGACGGGAAAAACCGAACTACTACGATGCCCTCGAATACGACAAACACATCAAGAAGGTAAGTCGACAAATCCCATTTTGAAGAAGATTTTTTGTTTTTCGCTGTTATTTAAGATGAAAAAACGGATCAGTGAGTGCGATATCGACGACGATGACGAGGCTAAGAAGGAAAACGGCAGGAAGAAGAAGAAAATCAAGAAGGAGGAGGAGGAAGAGGACGAAGGGATAACCAAGATGTCGCCGGAGTTAGAACAGCATTGTCAAATAATATTGGATCAGATCAATATGAAATTGAAGATGGTGACGTGGAAACCCGCTTAATTTATCCCACGATAGTGAGTAAAATATTAAATGATATGTCCAGATTTTCGATTAAAAGTATGTGGATGAATGTAATATTCTGTTCACTTATATAGTCTTCAAAAGCTATTAAACGTTTATAAAGGGTCCGTTAGTAAAAATAATATAAAAAGTAATAAAAAAGAAGAGATTATCGTCATGAAACTCGTAATACTTGGTGTAACTCTAGTATCCCCTCTAACTGCTAGATCAGATTATTAACTTTCAAATATCGATTAACGAATGGAAACGTTGCGAATTTATGCAGTTGTTGTTTTAAAACATAAATGTTTCTGAATGTTATGTGCAATAATATGTTTACAAAATTTATTGTAAATGGTAGGAAATTAAATATAATAATTACCGCTGATTTGTTGTAGTAAATTTCCCTAAAATTATTTAAACTCTTCCTGTCCTTTGACAGTTCAATATAGAATTAAGGATTAACTCAAATAAATAACAGAATACTATCTAAAATATATTTAATATCACATTTGTTTGTAAGTGAAAGGCTTCGAAGTACAATAAAAATACTTAGGTCAAGTAATCTAAACATGTTCCATGTTCAAACAATCGTCAAACAACATTTGGTCGTACTTCATAAAATAATAAATGTACAACGAAAATGTTTCTCATACGCTATTTATATTTGTATGTGGATCCTCATGGTGATTAATACATTGACAGCATTATCAGGAATTATCAAAGCGATGAATTATCACATTGTTTACCAAGTTCATATAGGATGGGAATTATTCGAGTATTTTTATTCGAGAAACATAAATGCACACTTACATTTTTTATGAACTATATTAAATATATATGTTATTTTCATAAAAAACGTTTTCCCGAAAATTGCGTTCTTTTAACCTAATTTTAAACTAATCTAATTTAAAATTCTGATATTATCAATTTCAACTTATGTAAAGTACACGAATTTAAACAAGTACATAAAGCGATAACTATTTGTCAGAAAATATCCATTTATAAATATTCGAAATTACTAATAAACAGATCAGGGCGTCGATACAGTCCCGTTCTCCAAATTTTCCTTCTCCAACTCCTTCTTTCTCCTGATGCAAGGAACGAACAGCCACAGGCTCGCCCCGCACGAGAGAGCTATCCCCAAGCAGATGAACAGCGACACGTAGGACTGCACCTGGGCGTACCAGAGCCCGCACAGCGGCGGCCCCACCAGCTGCAAGATGCCGTTCACGAACAGCCCCATGCCGTAGGTGGACTGCAGGCGCTCCTCGCCGAGCATATCAGCCATCACTATGGCGGTGATCCCCACGTACGTGCCCGAGGCCAGCCCGAACATGCAGCAGAACGCCGCGATGGCCCAGTAGTCGCGCACCAACGGCATCAGGCCCAGCGACACGCCGGATATGAACAATCCCCCGACGAAGTAGTAACACTTCGGGAACGACGTCAGATCCGACAGCGCCGAACCGCCGATTCTTCCGACCAAATCCAGCGCGGACACGATGGACACCAGCATGGCCCCTTGGTCTTTGTCGAAGCCCAGCGATTGGGCGTACGACGGAAGCAGAATGAAGAAGTTCGTGTAGCTGATCGCGTTCGTGGCGTTCGATATGAGGATTATTAAATACACGGGGTGCTTCAGGAGGTTCAAATCCAACAGTTTCGGTTTTTTCTGCACCTCTGCTTCGGCTTGGACAGCCGATTTGGATTTGTTGGACCTTAGGCTGAAGCTGCTGGCGAAAATTTCGGGTTGGAGTGTTAGAGTACTGCCGTGGTACGGCGTGCTGACGTATTGAAAGGAACTGGTGGAGGTACTCCTGCGAGGCACCACCGACCTGCGTCTAGTACTCGGAGGGCGGCTGTTGGTGTACTCCTGGTTGCATTGCTCGTTTTCGAGGACAACTTGGTGTTTTAGGGTGCTGTTTATGCTCTCTCTGCCTTTGGCTTTTAATATTTCTTGCCTGCCCTGCGGCATGCTGATTTTGCGTTCCCTCGAGATGGTCTTCAAGTTTTGCATCGCCACGCTGGAAGCGCTTCGGTTAAAATTACCGGTCGAATTTTCGATTTGCTCCAAAAAGGAGTCGTTGTGCGGGATGTTTTGCATCGAAGGGAAGCTCTCCTCTTGTCCGATTGAAAATTTAGCCCTCGCCGTCTCCTCTTCTTCGTCCTCATCGGGGATGCGTTCGCGTTTCATGTGCAACTCCACCCGGTCGTAGAACAGGGCGGCTACGAACACGTTGAGCGTCAATCCGCCCATCAGCAAAACGGCCCCGCGATAGCCGTAGGTGACGAGAAGTATGCGGAGCACCGGCGGGATGAGTATGGAACCGAAGGCCGAGCCGGATATGCAAATGCCGTTGGCAACGCCACGCAGTCTTACGAAATAACTACACACTATGTAAACAGTCGGCGGGAAGGACAGTCCGGCTCCGATTCCTACTAACACTCCGTAACTTACGTAGAGGAAATATACAGAATTCGCCCAAAAGCTCAAGATCATACCGCCGGCGGCGAAGGCGCCTCCTATGAGGGTTACCGTTCGGTACGAGTATTTTACTGAAAGGATGCTCGAAAGCGGACCTAGAACAAAAACAGTTTCGTTAATTTCCTGCGTACAAGAGAGCTCTGTCCTTCTTCGGATGACTTAACCAAATCGCGGAAAAATCGTTCGAAGAAAGATAGAGCTGCGCTGCAGATTATTTTTGATCATACCGGGTGTTTGCGATTTCAGGAGCCGAATGTCGTCTTGAAAATGATAAAATAGTACCCCTTATTTTTCACTTACTGAATTCGTCCGATATTAATGGAGTCAGGTAGCTATAGGGGGAAATTAAAAAAAAAACGAGATCTTTAGTATTTCGTTTTTCGTATTGAACAGTTTGGAAGTTCGGAAGTGACAACAACGTTTCCGACGGATCTCCTTACCTAGTGAACTGTAGAGGAAATAGCAGAGCGCCGGTATCCACATCGCCTCGGCCGGCGACGATTCGAACGCTTCTATGAACTCCACGAAGAGCACCCCGAAGGACTTGATGGTCCCCGGCACGAGTATGTTCACCATCGTGGCGCCGAAGAGCACCAACCACCCCCAGCCCCCGTCGGGCGGCACCAGCTTCCACTTGTCCATTTTTTTACCATTCTTTTTGTGCTCCAACAGCACCACGCCTGCAACACATCTCAATCGTTTACTTTATCCATTCGCAAGCACCTGCGAATGAGTGGAGAAAATCGTTCTAATCGAGATGTTAATAACACGCATTCTTTTTTTATTTGGGTATGCTTTTGACAGGTATGAATGACGCTCGTCGGTTGCATAACGGATTGATTTTCTTTATCGCGCGCTTCGATGCGAATAAAATAATATCGTTTCGATTTAATAATTATGTAAAGCCCACGGTTTTAATTTAGGAAGGTTAATCAAGATAACCTTAGGGAAAACACACACAATTCTGTAATATCAGTAAAATTATGGGATTTTCAATTTATCGCCGGTTGCGTACAGTTATTGTAAATTCTTGAATAATTTTGTGTATGGAGATTGCGTGACCTTTGAAATAGTCAATTTTTATCCATATTATTATTATTATTTGTTGAATAAAGTTTAATGCAGATAATATGAAACATGAATTAATAACGCTTCAACATGAATTTAATAAAAAATAGCATATGTCGTTTTAGGTACAATCAACCATTAGCTACTTTATACCAAAAATAAACTACGCAGAGAATCTATATTTATGTATCTAAATTCTAATGATTGTTTGCTCATATGAACATCAATTACAACATTATTAATATACAGTATGATTCATTTTTTTGAAATAACTAGACTTAAAATCAGATTATTGTTATTTTGGTTATCTAATTATAGGGGTACTAATAATTTCTCAATCACTGCTAAGTAAGAGTCCACTTTTCTATTTTGCTAAAATGTCGTATGTCAATTTGAAAAATATCCTCGAAAAATAAGTTGACTTGATTAATTGAAATTGGCGAAAATAATATTCTTACTGGGCAGTGATACACGGACATGTTTTCTGGATACTATACAGGGTAAGTACCTATTTATATTTAAAATAACTTACCAATTATTCATATTACATTACATAAACTAAAATACTTGCTACATAGAACCGAACCAACTGTTAGTTATCGAAAATTTTTAACGCTATTGAGAACAATACCTATTTGGTACAAATGCGAATTTATTACGTCTGTAAAGTGAATGCTAATAATTTTGCATTTCTAAAAATGTATAGGTGTTAATTCCACGAGGAATGTGCCACAAACACATGCTTTGGATTTTATGGAATTGTTTAAATTCCGAATTTTTAAAATTATCCCCAAAAAAATGCACGCTTCCTTTCCTCCCTGTATATTATACGCGTGTTTAGGCAACACCCTGTATAACTTTTAACAAGCGTATAATTGAAAAGCAACAACGTAATAATTATAACGTCATTTTTTACGCTATTTCCTTGAAGTATTCGACGAAATTAAAATGTAAATGGAACAATTGCCCGCAATAAAATAACATTGAATAAAATATATTGAATGTCAAATTAAAACAGCGCATTGTGCGATCCATATTTCTTGAAAATATTCAATGGAACAATCATTCAAATCCGCTCGAGTTTGTGTGTGTTTGCGGTCGAGTAATTTGTAATTTAACTCCGCATGTGGAAGAGTTAATTGCCCGTCTTTTAACCCAAGCCTTCTTAATGGGAAATGCAATAAAAACAGGATAAGAACAATTAAATTGTATCGGCCGCTATTACTTAATTCAAATAAATCGTCAGCCGCTTAATTAATCTGTAAACATGTTGAGATTCCAATAGTGCGAGTTTATTTTTCTTGTCATTTATTTTTTTCATTGAATACAAAGAACAGGTATTCTTGACCCAATTGAATTGTTCGTTTTGAGCAAATATTTGCTTGTTTTTGTAGATTAATTTCATGAAATTTCGCAAATCAGGAGATAATTTCCAGTCGTTTTGTTTCGAACACAGCAGGATATCCGAAGAATCGACCGACAAAACTTGAACAGAACGATAACCTTTTTAAATAGTGTACTTCTGATTTCACTAGCAAAAAACCCAATACATACACTTTCATTGCCAAGATTTTGACCCACATACAATCTATTGCAAAAAAAATCAATTCTGATTAAATTCTTTGTTTACAAAATTACTCTGTACAGCGTGATTCCCATTCTCGACTTAATTTTTTTAATTATCAATTAGTTGTAGGAAAGTTACTGTATTAATTACACATCGTAAATACACGTGAGAAACAATTCAATAACTAAATACACATTTATTCTAAAACTAAATTTAAATGACTTGCACATTACAGTAAGTAAACATCTAAATAGCAGCTGCATTCGTAATAATTCCACATTTACATACAACGATTGATAAGTCAGAAATGGGAAAAGCCTTGCAAAATTTATTACTTTATATTGAATCAATAGTTAAGTTGTAAACCGATTAAATCGATGCGAGCCGGGAGGACAAACGAGGATTTTTAACAAAAACTAATCCAATTTAATGGAACAACCTAAGCACGATAAGAAGTTTTAATTCGCGTATAAATATTACATCACAATATTCAAAATTCTTGTAATTCACCGACCTTGGGGTTTTTGAGAAGCTTAAAATTTCAAATTTATCTCGCGTGTTAACAGTTAATCGAATTCAAATGAAGGGCCCTTCGAGCGGTAGAATTTTCATGTATTTTATCGAGTTTTTGGAGTGTATATAAAACATTTCGTGTTGGATTTTTGTTTACCTCTCCGAAGACGGTCATTAAATGTAAAAGATTCCTGGTAATGGGTTCGATATAATAGGTTGTTGTGACATAAACCTGTCGTTTTATAGGTATATTTTTTTTTATAAATTTCTTTGTTTTGTTTCTACACGATACGTATGTATTTACAAAGAAATGTACAATATAAATATTTCATCTTTCGGAAAATACGTGGAATTAAAAAAATATGTGTACACTGTATAGATAAGAGTAAAACGTGGATAAATTAACACGAGTGTAATTAATTCTGGGATTTCACAGTGGAAACACAATTTACGTATTTCGCTACACTATTATTAAGAGTTCCAGTGTAAATGATTAATAGTGACGTTTATAAATAATATCAATTTTCTAGGCCAAAGTTCAATAACAAAATATTTACATTATTTTCAACTACCACCAACGATATCCAGGCTAGAAACTAGATAAAATTTTAGATTTTAATTAATCCGGGGTTAATTATTAATTCCACGCGAAGTGAAAATGAAATCGCGACCAACAAATAAAAGTGAAATTATTGCCAGACACTTTCTAATTGTTATTTTAAAAACTCTTACTGGAACAATAATTTCGCCGATTAAATTTTACATTAAATATTTCTCTAACGAATATTGTTAAAAAAAATGTTGAAATCGGTTAACTTACTTTTGTTTCTCTTGACATTGTCAGAGGGTGGCTTGAGGGTGGTTTCATCGTTTTTGACCGCGGTCGCGTCGATTTTGGGCAAAAGCGGCTCGCCGGCCTCGGCGCTGCTGGCGATGAGATCGGGCTCTTTGGACATCTTTCAATCCAATGTTGTCTTCAGTCTTCACGGCGTATCATCAGCTGCGGGGCATCGGTACACGCACAAACCCACGTGGTGGCTGGTTACGAACTGCAAACAGCTGATCCTGATCCTGTTGTAGTGGCACGAAAGAAGTTTATCATCGTCGGCGGCGTCGGGAAAAGCGAGGGCCCTTGAAAAGCGAACGCTGGTTCGGTTTGATAACGGCTGCTCTGGCTGATCGCGGTCAACACATTTATTGTTTCGGTTTCAATAGAGAGTAAAAACAGCTGTCCGTCGAACTTTTATAAGTATATAAAATATCGTTGGCCATAAAACCAACGCTCGCGCACGCCGAACGAAGGCCACTATTGGAAATAATGGAGCGAATTGTTTCGACTTTATTACCTTTAACGGTCAGCTATTCTTATTTAGTTATCGAAGTAAAACTGAACTGGCGTTCGTCTTGCTTGTTTATTCGTACGTTCATTCATTAAGTACAAAATATTTATCATGTTTTACTGTTGGAATGTTGCGTGTAATCACAAATCATTCGTTTATCAAATAACGCTCGTACATACACATACGCTATTTATTTTCATAAAGTCCTCCCCAAATGCTAATTAAACAGTAATTAAAAAAAATGTTATGATAATACTTATTGTGTAACAAAAACAATTCAAATGAACTTTTTTTATGTTCCTATAATTTTAAGCGACTTCAAAATGGGATTTAAATTTATAGAATTTTGAAAGGTAAAATAGTAATAAAAAATTACTTTGCGTATCGATTTTATAAAAAAATATTCGGTGACAGTTGGTTATTCTGGATAAAGAAGCTTGGGTAATTTTGTGAATAATGCTAATAAATTCATAGAATCGAGCTGGCAACACCGCAGCGTTCCTTAAAGAAATCTAAGTAGGCAACACTTATGTCAAATGTCGAGTAAAAGAATAGTTGGTAGAATCCGGCTTACTTGATTCGAAATTTTAAGATGTCAAATAAAAGGTATTTCAGAAATTTTTAATTTACATTTATTTGCAGCTAAAATTCATAAAACTATAATAATTTCTCAATCACTGCTAAGTAAGAGTCCACTTTTCTATTTTGCTAAAATGTCTAATGTCAATTTGAAAAATATCGAAAAATAAGTTGACTTGATTAATTAAAATTGGCAAAAATAATATAATATTCCTACTAGGCAGTGATACACGGACATGTTTTGTGAATACTATACAGGGTAAGTACTCATTTATATTTAAAATGACTTATTCATTTTATATTACATAAACTAAAATACTTACAGCATAAAACCAAGCAAACTGTTAGTTATCGAAAATTTTTAACGCTATGCTGATTAGATTTTTTTTGTACCGTGTTTGAGTTCAAAATTTCTGGAATGATTTTTTCACAAAAATGTGTTTCAAGTTTTAAAAATCGTAAGTACTTGTTACCACTAATGTCTTTTTCTTCTGAAACTAAAAATACCATTTCAAATAGGAAATTCCTTGAGAGTTTCATCTTTCTTTTATTTAAGCATTTATTTATTTATTTATTTAAGTAGCAAATTTGATTAAATGTACTCCCTGTTTTTTAAACACGAGTGCTATATTTATTTTTGTTGCACCACGTATGTTATTATTTTGCTTTGTTTGAAATTAAAAACACGTGTCTATGGGAAAATAGTTAAGGGGATAAATTAATAATTAATTCGTTTACAGAATTCATTAAAGTTGAGTTTTTATTTATTTTCAACATTGCATTGCAGTGAGAATGTTATTAACATTTGTTTTTCGAATTTCCTACTCCCTTGCTTCTAATACGGCACATAGCTATAATAAAATTTCCAACAAATTGAATTTTCGTTATAAGTACAAACTCAAAGCTCGTTGAAAAAATCTGTTGAACGTTCAAATAAAAAATAATAATGACATATTTCATAAAAGAATTTATTGACTTTTAATAGCAATAAAATATAATTATTAAAATTTTCTAAAATCCTTCAAAACGATATTATAAATGTGCTTTTTTACACAAGAAGTATAAATTAAAAATCTACAAAAATATTGACTATAATGTAGTTATAAGAAAAAACAAAATTACTAATTAAAACGTTAAAGATAAAATTATGGTTGTACTTTACATAGTGTTATAATCAATTTGCATCACATTGCAAAGCACAAGGCATTTATAATATCAATATGGATGAAAAAATACAAATAATCAGATATCTCAAAACTTAAAATATTACATTTTTCTTTATTAAGAAAAATAGTGTACAATATTAAAAGAACAATATCAGCTAAGTTTAAATTTTCAAATGCTTTTCCATATAAAGTTTATACATTATTTATAATTACAAAATAAATTTGAACATCATAATTTGTTTATAAATTAGTTTGTCGGGTTATTTTTCAAAAACGTTTGAGACACCTGATTGTGATAAATTGTACGTAGTAAACTCGATGTTCAAATCCTTCAGTGAAAAAAAAAGTAAAACCGAGTATACAGACTACTTCACAATATTAAGAGAAACATAGCATTTTGCCATATCTTAAGCTATACAATTTTGGACGTCACAACAGTTAGAAATAACAAACGAGTCTCATTGGTTCACCGATACTTTAGGTTTGAGCTGTTTAATTATTTCTTAGTTTTCAACAACCCTGGTTAAATAAGACACACACGCTTCACTTCCACTAAAAGTGTCACCTTATTACACAACTCTTTAATTTACAACTAATGAAAAAAATCGAATTCCCAGAAATGCCGAGCAAAACCCGACACATCCGCGAGAACCCGAATCTAATCATTTCCTCATTTCATTTGTACAAAAATATATTACTCTACTCGAAAGTTGTATTGAACATCGTGAGGTCCTCGAACGAAGTGGCACCACCTTGGTCTAACATCTGCAACATGTCGGAGAGTTCGTGAGGTTGCGGCTGAGGCGGCGGCCCCGATCCGGACGATCCCGGTCCGGCCTCCGACACCTGCGTCGAATTCTGCCAATTAGTCCATTGGTAAGCCGACGTGGTCGCGTTGGCGCCGGATCGGCCGGCGCTCAGCTGCGTATACGTCGGCCCCGGCGAGCGGGGACTCGGCTGGCTGTACTGGTACCCGTCGGGCGCCTGCTGCGGCTGCCGCAGCGTCCAAGCCGCCGCCGCCGGTGTCGGACTCGTCGTGTTGTTTTTGTTCAACCTGAAATAGTATTATTTATCGTATAAGCTGCGCGAGCTCGCGACAGGAGGGTAGGTTACCTTGCCAAAACGCTGGCGTTGCTGCTGGTGGCGCTGGCTTGAGACGGGGAACCGTACGCTATGGGCGAAGGAGTGGGCTCGTACGTGGTGTAAACGTTCTGAACACTGCTCGGTCTGGTCGCCTGCTGCGGATCCGCAAGCAGTCTTGGATATCGGGAATCGTCCGGACTGGTTGTTGTAGACATAGGCAGGTACTCGTTTTGGATATGTGTAGTGGGAAGCATGTGTGAATAGATGGGATCGCGCCTTTGCAGGCTGTAATCGAGGCCCGGTTGTTGGTAGTTGACGTGCTCCGGTGTTTCCGAAGGCGTTTCGCTGGGTGCGTGAACCGATTTCGCCGTGGTGTTCGTGCATACGATGTACTCGACGTCGTCTGTATAGGGATTGAGGAAGGAAAACGCGCTGGTTCTGAGCCATACCCATTCTCTGTTCTTTGCTCGAAATCGATACATCACCGATAGTACTTGGCCTTTCAGCTTCAACACTGAAAGTAACAACGTATTTCAATTATTTAATTAACATCACGTCTACTACTACAAGTACCTTGCTCGAAGCTGTCCTTCATGTGAGTCTGGTCTTCGGGATGGAAAAAATCGAAGCAGCTCTTCCCTAATAATTCCGGAGGAGAATAACCTAACAAGCCTATGACTCGTTGGTCGACGAAGGTGAATTTGCCGTCCATGGAATGTCTAGATATGAATTCAGTGTTACTACTGGAACCTGACATGTCGCTCGTGTTCGGTGTCGATGTAACTTGCAGTCTTCCGATTGCCACCAGGCAGCAATGGGACGAGTGTAGGTCCTCCTCCGATTGACGGTCCAGTTGAACACCTGGGAACATATCTGATATTTTTTCCAGGTTAGTCTTACTTACAGTTAATATTATTTCAATAGATTTTTCTAAACAGTGAATAAATGTGTTTTATAAATTGAACGAATATAGGTATGTACGTTTAAATTATCGAAATAATTTATTTTTGACACATTACCTGTTGGTGGCCAATTTTTAATATATCCTGTACAATGCACAACGGCGTAATTTTGACCGTCACGTCCTGGACCTAAACTATTCCGTTGTTTAAGGCGATTTAGGTGTCCTACTGTCATACTTTCGGGAGGTAAATTTCCTATTTTCATACGGCAAATAAAGCCTCTTCTGGAGCCCATACATAGTCTCATAGATGCTAAAAAAAACATTCGTTACAATTGGAATTTCGAAAACGTTTAGATGCACTTACAATGATTGCCCTCTTTCTTAACTGTACCAGTCTTCAAGTCTAATATTCTTCCAGTATTTTGTGGCTCCTGCGTTGATAACTGTTCTCGTACTTTTTCTACGTCTTCCGGATGAATATTATCGTACAGACAAGATCCGTACCAATCGCTTTGTGAATAATTCAGCACGGGCGCTACGGAATCTGAAACGTATATTACTCTCCCGTTATCACAGCTCACTACAAATAGGAACCCATCGGCTGCTTCCAGTATAAGATGTTTTAATTCCTGATCCGTAAGGAATGACGGTTTGTATGTTCCATCATTGCTCGTATTACCGGTACCTATAACAGAAATAAAATCCTCCAAAAATTGCTTTAATCCTGGTAATAAGCGCTTCTTGTTTTCCATGTTTTGAAAAATTTTCATCAATATTTTAAACACAATGCTAACAATTCAAATGGTATTTGTTAGTACAAAGTACCAGTTAATACCACACTACAACGTCCGATAATAAATAAAATGAGTTCGTCATGATAGAGTGGGGATCAAAAATTCCACCGTAAATAAAACAATTCTTGCGAAAAAAGTATGCAAAAAATGAAATTGCGACCATTTTTATTTTGAAAAATGCCTGATATACCTAACCCAGTTCATTACTACTACAACTTGCTCGGCCCATAATGATTGTGTTTCATATTAAAACAAAACCATTGTTTATACATATTTTACCTACAGAACCACCAGCGGCGGTCCATTTAAAAAGTGCTACCGCCAGAATTGTTCCGATAGAAAACTCATTAAATTATTGCATATAACAGAAACGCGAATTATAAGAAATCTCATCTTTTTGAAAATCAATCAGGTTATTTTGGGGCGGTAATTAGGCACATCGGGAGGTTAAAAATACCATCGAGTCGCTACTGGTAAAGATGAAGTCATGTACTGGAATAGCTGTGCAACGTCGCTAGTCAATTATACTGTAACCACGGTTTACGGTTCCCGTTGCTTTTAGACAAAGTTGCAAATTACAATAAAGAATTAGTTTTATCGGCATTCGTTTATGTTCCTTTATTTCCTTACGTGTTTGTAGTCGCGAACGATATCCGAGGTTTCGCAGGCGCAAGCGAAATCATAAAACAAAACGTTTTAAGGCAAATTTTTAACGTTGATCACAACGAAACCAGGTCATGAAATGCAATGTTATTTTAAGGTAAGTCCCTTAAAATATTTCTATCGACAACTTGCATCTCCAACCTTTCGTAAATTGTGACGACGTCCGCCTATTCCGCAACGTTAATTAATGAACATGGGAAAGCTGTATAGGAAATTGATTTAAAAGCGATTTGCTCAATAAACTTCTCGGTTACAATTAAACACATGTTTATTCAATGGCAACACCAATTGAATTCGAATCGTTATCCGCTTAAATATCTCATTCGCTTATTTGGTCTTTAACGATCCGAAGAAATACGTAAATTTCATGTTACAACGTTATTTATCTCTACTGCGATTTTTATAATTTTCTATTATAATCGAAAGCACTATTCCAGGATGCGATGAATCAAGCTTTTTAACCCAAGTCCACGTTTTAATTAAGTAGATGAAAAGTATTTTTTCACCAGTAAAAATAGGAAGGGTTAAGAATAAAATTCTGGAAGTGGATTAAAATCCATGAAAGGAAGGTTGTAGTGACGTTGGATATCCGAGGGGCCTAGGAAGCATGTAAATAAAAATGAACGGGGAACTGAGCATAAGAAGGAATTTCTTTATGCAATATTCAGCTATAAATCATCAAGCTTTCTAGAAAGCGCGCTTATTCGTTAGTAAGGTCTTAAATTTCCTTTCTGAAAAATGCCTTGAGGTGTACGTGGCTTCAATTTGTTCGTAGAAATTAAAATTAAAAATATTATACACGAGCCGATGTACTGGCCAACTTCATTTTTATGCGGATGGCGTTTTGCATATCCGATAGGTACTTCTAAGAACGTCATTCTTATTCTTAAATTATACACACTATCCATATTGTCTTGTCGCATAAATATAAAAATATTTTATAACAACTTTTCACGCCGGTTAATTAAAATTCTAACAGCAATTTTCAATTGTCGAAACGAAACCCTACGGTACGAAATTATGCTAAATAATAAAGAGTTGAGGATGAAATTCACCATGGAGGTTCCCACAAAACCGTCCGAGTACCGACCGAACGTTATGGTACCTATTACTGCAGTAATTCCAGCTGGCAGCTTTCATTCTATTCCATTCCGAGTACGATTTTTCTTCGAATCTTTTTATAAGCTTTGTCGGAATTACAAGGCTTTTGTTGATTAGACACAGAAAAGAGATCTCGGAATGGCCGGGTACATTGTATTTCAATTACCGCATAGTCGTATCATAATTCATAATTGTCATCTGATGGAGGATCTCGAATTTGCTTTTGCTCTTTATTTTTTTTTTCGTTCCTTCTTTCATTGTAATACGCGATGCGCGATTACGATTGTCGGCGGTGGATTTATGCCATTTTAAACTTCGGTTCGAATTATATTCTTCACTGCGTAAGAACAACATTTATTGTACAAATAAAATATTGTATCGTCGTATAAACGAAAGCGTTCTCCAATTTAAATAACTGAATAATGAAATAAACGTTTCCTTTTCCCGAATTAGGCGTTAGATGTTAGATTTTAAAAATGTCGTATGTTACAAAATAAAAAAAATACTATTTTTCCAAACGACGCATGATGAATACTTAACACCGAAACAATAGACATGGCCCGTTTCAACATGGTCACTTTCTTGAATATTAAGTACGTATCGTTAGTAGTAAATCATTCGTTATTCAGAAGCTATTAAACTCGGATCCGTCGATTCGTAGATGTTTAATACAATTTACCGTGCAATCGTAAAAAGCCGCGACACATGGAAGTGAGTTTGGAAATCCAACCTACTTTCCTTTTTCATTTCATTCGGAGGGCGAAATAAGAAAATTCGCCGCTCTCGCAAATCGGCACGATATAGGGTCGCGAAAGCGACGGAGCCTGACGCTATCTCGCGCAACAACGAAAAAATAAAAACGCAACAGTTTGGCGGAAACGCGGCGCGTTTTAAATAATAAGGGCATTAATCCTGGTTAGCAAAGAGTAGGCATTCTGTGGCCCATAACTAACATAGCGATACCATCATTTTGTGCACCAGCTTGTTTTGCTACGACGCCAGACCCGTTACGATACGATGCCGATGCTCGAACAACAAAACAAGCGCGCATAGTTGCCAGCATAAAAATACAAAACATGAAAAAAAAAATGTATATTTCAGATCACCGGGTATTTTTTAAATTTATTACCCGAGAATAAGAATGCTGAATATCATTTTTTTTATTGGGTATTAGGATAATTTAACGAGTTTTCTTGCACACACAATAACAGGAAAACAAATAAAATACGCTTTGCACAAGCTTACAAGTGCAGCAGATGAAGGCTTTAAAAAAAATGTGCCTAGAATCGAAGCCTCGACTGCCCATTATTGTTGCAGTAATCTTAATTCATAGTGATACCTTTGAAATGAACCGATCACACTCACCTCTGAGTTGCTTCATGTGAGCAACTGCCATCCGGAGGATTGTCAGTTTGTCGGGTTTCCTGGCCAGGGCGCTGCACGTGGGCACCATGTCGGACAGCTCCGTGATGTACGCTGTCATCTTGTTCCTTCTCCTCCGCTCGATTTCGCAATGATTCTCCCTACGGTAAGTCGCAAGAAAGGCATCGGTAATTACATCAAATTATCTAAGTGTTTGCGCTTTGCATAACCACTCCGATACTCTACGTTTCGGGGGGGTGTCGGAGCCGATGCACATATGCATCAGGAATCCGCATCGCTTTAGTCTATATTTATTTTACGAGGATCATTCTACGACTATTATTTTAATGGCCGCTAGTAAACGCGATATAATTTTAAAACAAAAACCGGCATGGCACTTTAATAACTACCAATAGAAAATTACCCGTCTCGTCGGATCGAAATTTCCGAAACCAGTATTTCGAACAATTTTTGAATTCATCAAATTTCACGTCGATACATGATGAGCCCCGAAGGAAAAAACGTTGAAGGTATAATTTTAAGGACGGCCGAAAATTGTCTAACTTTTTACTCCGATTTTAATACTGGCATCCCATTATGTTATTAACGTGTGCGTGGTCGCAAGTGGATTTTTCAGCATCGAAATATATCCTCATAATTTTCATTCTGAGATGATTATTATCAAAAGTAATCGATTGCGCTGTTTGTGGGAAAATGAAACACTAAGAAAGGGACAGGGAATCGATTCCTTGTCTCATTCCAAGAAAACTTACTGCAGAAAAAAAATATTTTTTGCGATATCTCAACAATTCAGAAATATTTTTAAACGCCCCTTTATGTTATATCGATTGAAATTAAAACAAAAAATAATTAAATCAGGCAGTATACACGTTAATACACTACCAACAAAACGTTATTAAATATTGCGAAAGATTCCCAAAGCAATTTTGTCCATAATAATTGATCTATGGCATCCATACCACCTAAGAACTCGTTTCGAAGAGATACTGTGGGAGAATACCTTCGTGTTTTAATTTTTTTTATCCAATGCTAATAATATAATATTGTTAAACAAAATTTGAATGTGTAATTTAGCATTCTTGCCGCTACTTAAAATATATGGTTTTCGAGCTTAATGCTACGTAATTTTCCTATAAACCGACAATTTATGGACGCGAATTATTCAGCGAGTATCTTACGAGAATTCTAGGAAATGCAAAAGCTTGTGGTACGACTCGAAAAAATGTCCCGATTTAAAAATTCAAGGGAAACACATCGGTTTTTCAACTTTAACGTGTAACGGGGCCATCTTGCCGCTACGCTCGTCGCCTTCGATTCATTCACACAAAGAAAATAACTCCTACAATCGACGAATTTTTAACTAAAGGTGTTCCCATTGACAAAAAAGAGCACAGGTAGGTTTACTACGAGCACATCCACCTGTGGGAAGTCGACAATTGTTATGCGTATACGGAGCCGACCTTTTTTCACAAAGAACTGTACCAACTTTTATCCCGTTTACAAGATTTGCCATATTCCTATCGGCGAAAGGAATTTTATTGTTTTAATGGTATATAAAAGTTCAACGTCAATTAAACTTAATTGTACTTTTTTTTGTGTTGGTCTCGAGACCGGCAATGTTCCACCAGTGGCGTATTGTAATTATGCCCAAAAAAAACACCAAACGAATTGACCGCTTTTTTTTATCTCAAAAAGCTCTACATATCCGAGATCTTTAATTGTCGGTTCCTATCTAATAGTAATTAGATTTTCTATCCGAAATTCATACGCCCTAAAAATGCAAAAATTTGTATAGGAGAGCGGGCCATCCTCTAGACCCGAATTGACGTTACGTCCTTGGTCCGGTAACAAATAAACTTTTATGATACCTGCTTGGATGTTGAGTAAATTATTCGACTGGCAGGACACCATAAAACTCAGTTACTAGAATCGATAACTACTGTGACCAACGACGTACTTTTTGGTAAGAGAACAGCCCGGGTCCATCGTTTGCGGCTCGCATTCCTTCTCCTTTTAAAAACCGACGCTTTTTTTCGTACGGACGAGCTAAAGTTTTCTTTCGCCACATCCATGTGCCTAAATCTGATCTGCCTTTCCGCGAAACACCGCCTCGCAACGTACCGAACAAAAAAAAACCCAATTTCCACAAAAAAAAACAACTCGATACTAATTTTGTATTAGACCTTATCTCGATTTTACTGTTAAGAAAATGAGAGATTCTGATTGGAATTTGTCGTTGTGTTCCACCTGAAAGTAACACAATTACCGAGAATAATCAATAATTGAGGAGAGTCTAAATAACAATGATTATCCTGGGCCGGCAGACGTGAGATAGACCGCAACAGCGGCGTATTCGGCACAGCCACAGATCAGTTAATAGTCGTAACAGAGATTACAGGGGCGCATATAATCACCTCGAGGCTCGCTCTAGATAATTCCGTCTCGGCCACCCTTTCTCCCGACCAATTAAGCCACTTACTTTTCCCGAAAAAGGGGATCCCCCGCACGCGAAATTTCGCCGGATCCAAAACCCGGAGCGCTGCGGAATTTTTAATTTTGTGAATTCGTGCGATAAGGTAAAGCGATCGAATTCGTTTCGAAACAACATTGTTGCTAACGCGCTATGGGCTACCTGTTGAAAAATTAATTGAGACTGCTGTAAATTTTATTTAAATATGTATGCTTTAGCGAGACGTCGATATGACGATTGTCACTGCAAACAAACGGTTTTATGAATCGTGATTGTGTGATATTTAGCGTTGCAAATTTAACTAATCTTCCAATTACAAGCGATATAACATAAATAAATATTCCCCCTTCGTATTGCACAATCCTTGGTGAATTAGTATTTAATTTTTTACGACTGAAACTATCTACTTTTTCTATAAAAAAATCAATCTAAAGAATACAAGTAAAATCTCAATCGATAATTAGCGATCAAAGTGTAACATTTTTTTTGCGCTGGCTATTAGGTCGATTGATTTTCTTCAGATCCGGTCGAATTTCGATTTGAAAAAGTGTACGAAATCGCATCAACAAAGAACACCAGCGAATTAAAGGCGCAATTTGCTTAATTGAAAAATTGCGAACAACCCCGTAGTTATTCATTACGATGAATTATTCATTCGACGAGGAAAAGCATGAACCAAGTACGTTGATTAAAATCAAACGCAAGCAAACGCGTTTTGTATAAATAAATTGACATAGAAATCTCTTCTCTACACAACAGGCTATTCTCTGTTTTACAAACAGCGCGTCTCATAACTCGTTATTTTAACGAACGAGCGTCAGTTATTGAACCACGAAATTCGCCAATAATGGATACATGTAGTTAGTTTTATCAATGGATAAATAAATTAATGGAATCGCTATACATGTTAGTCAACACGTAGCAATAATTTTATAGGGTACATTATTAAAATATTACGTCAAATGCGACACATACTTACACATCAAATAATAAGGTTTAAAAGGTTATAATTATCATGTTAGCTCAATGAATAAAAATGATTCCGTTTTTTTTCCATCAACAGTCTGATTAGCAGAACAATGTGGCTGGCAATTACATAACGATAAATTTTATTAAGAGCATCGAACAGTATCGAATGTAACCATCTTTTTTTTTCAGATTTAAATAAATTAAAACCTTTGGACTTTCACTTTAATATTCATTACGATACGCCCATGACCTTTAAGAAGATTATTTATATGTATAAAAAAAGTAATGTAACTAATTCATAAATCAAGATATACATCAAATTGGATATAGAAAGCATACCTACATCATATTTTTTTTAACAAGAGTAATTTAACTTGATATATCACCAAGAAATATTTGGTTTGTAATGTAATTGTGGAGTGGCGTTTGTAAACGGTATCGGCCTTTTTGGATGATATTGTTGGAGATAAAGCAATTTAATCGTGGAACGAATGCCGGTTTCGGCGTAAAGGTGGTGTGACAGCCACCTGAAAAAAATCGAGCACCGTGCGCCGTCCATTCCGCGATACCGGGTTGAGAGTTCGAGGGTACCGAGCGGGTACCGTCGCGGAGCACCGGCGACGCGCCGGCTCGAAAAAAGATAAGCAGCGAAAGAGACCGGGGCCCCGTGTGCGCCGGTGGACGGCATTAAAAGGGAGCATCTAGCATCGTGTTCCCGAGCAATCGTGACCGGCCGCGGGGGGCCCACCGCCGCACACCGTCGACCCATCGGAACGGCGTACCCGTCGTAGAACCGCAGAAACGGCGACGAACGGCGGCCGCGATTTCCCACGCTGCCGTACCTCCCGTCTCCTCCCCCCCGACGCCCTCCCCCCCCCCTTCCCCACCTCCTTTGGTGCGCTCGCTCTGCGATGTGGCTCCTCTCTTTTCTTAAAACTCTTGCTCGCTCCCATCCCATATATACCGAGCGATCGCTATCGAAAAACCAACACTAAAATACCGAATCTAATGCCGCCTACGTTGGGTACCATCCTCCAACACCCCCTGCGCTATATACGGTTGAATTTTATCGGGATATTTTAACAACCGGAAAAAATTAACACAACTACGCATATCTGGAATAACCGACGTTCTTTAATAGAACGATCGCTATGTTTAATAAACGTAGAATATCGGAGAGTGGAAAATGTAAGAGTTAATAGATACCTGGCAAATCTTTCCTTGTCCTGGATGTTTTCGTCTTCCATTCTAGTGAATTTACTACCGGTTGGGTCGTCTTCATCTGACCTGCAAGCAAACAATTTCGTTGAAATTTCGCGGAATCAATGGCGAAACGCAAAACGGCGTGAAGAAGAAAATGGCTCGTTGGACACTAAGCTCTAATTAAAATTTAATTCCGGCACATCGCTAATATGTGTGCCGAACATTTTCGTTTCGAAATGACTTGTTCATTTTTCCGATTTTAGCCGGATCGGAAAAACAATTATTTTTTCCGACCGGCGAATTGTAAGCGTGTCACTCGAGGGACTTACTGAATAAAGTAGCCAAACAAAGGCAATAATTTCAATGAATAAGTATGGGATGATTATAAAATACTTAAACTAATTGTAAGTTAATAAAAAAATCATTTTTAACAGTTTAACAGTATTATTGGAATAAATTTGCACTATTTTTTTTATCACAAATGGCATGTATGTAGATAACACAAAAATGTTAGTGTTAATTTTGGGAAGATTGTAGAAAAACGTTCGAAAATATCGAATTAACTTATATTATGTTGAAATCATTAAAAATAATCTTTATTTGTTAAAATATTATGATTAATAGCAGCAATAATCGTTATTTTACGAGTTGAAGTGATTATCGACATTTAAATTTTGATAAAAAAAATAAAAACTAGTTCATTGTTTCAAACAATAATGTAACACATTTTAAATTCGCTTATTTTTACCATTCATAAATAAAACTTTATTGCCTGCCATTAAAATTGCTTTTATCATTTTGCTTTAAAATAAGTACCCCATTTCAATAAAAATATACACTTTTTGCACATTTACTATGTTACTACATAACAATAAAATATTATTATTTTTCAGCAAATTGAATTGATAACGCGAGAACATTCCCCTTAAGCATACAGCTCGGTTTACCGTTTAAAATCAAATTTCATAAAAACTGGCATAAAATATTTATTATCCATTACGCCTGCCAGTAATATGATTGACACAAGTTTAATTACAGAAACCAAAAAATGAAGACAGTTAACAGACATTCAAGGCATTAATATTTATTAAACATGGTTTTAACAGTTTTTTTTTCTAAATTTAATTACAAAGAAGATTTTAAACATGATGTAATTAATCATAGATAAATGTTTATCAAAATTAAACAAACAATTCGTGTTTGAATTGACAACAAATTTACGTTTTTAAATTCTTGTTATTCAAATAAAGCGATCTGATTTATGTAGTTAACAATATACAAGAGTGATCTCTATTGCTGGGGCGTTCAATAACTCTCTACATTATGATTCTATTTATTAGTAATTTGCCGCTTGAGTGAGCCGTAGTATTTCAGATAGGATTCCTTACGAATCATAATTCAGTCCGGTCAATAATATTCGTAATCTCCGAGCAGAAAAAAATGAGCTTCGACTATGTAAGCTCGTTGGAAAAAGATTCGAAAAAAATAATTATAGCTCCTTTTCAATTCTGAAATTCACGTTGTAAAATTAATTACATACACAGTTGAAACGATTACGAAACGATCAGGCTATTTTACGTACTTCGATTAAAATAATAAATAAAATCAATGTTAGTAATGTAAGAACGCAGAAACCAATATTAATCCAAATATCTAACGGAATTAAGTTAAATACATAAATACATGCTGGCAATTTTTAAACCTGACATTTACCACTAAAAGCCCAATCTTTTAATGCAAAGAAAAATTTTCCATGCCGTTCTAAAAAATATTAAATTGTAATTTTCAACATTACTAGCCTTGTACAATTGCAATTAAAATTCATTTAATTGATTTATAAAAGTAACAATTAACAATATCAATCGCTTAATTATTAACTAAATCAATTGAAATTATTATTGAAGCCGGCGATAAAACAACCTTTTTGCGGTTTGATTTATTTCGCAACAATTTTGCTACAAACATATTTTCACAGTGCCTATCAAAGAGAATTAGTTAGAGAAAAGCAAACATTGTTGACCAGTGATAGATCTTTACGAGTTCCCGTCCCCTTTCGAATGATCGTTAGAACAACCAGAAGGCTTTTTTTGGTCGATTTATCACTTTTATCGTTAATCGTTGAGAAAATAATTAGGATAATATATTACTCGAAGGTTATTTTCTGAACGCAACGTCTCGCACAAACCGATTTTATCTCGTGCTATCAAATTTAAGTTTTACCAAGCATTCCATCGATTTCAAATCAAAGCCACTTCCATTATCGAACGTGAAGCAAACTCGAAACAAAGTGAAATTGCGTACCGTAAATCACAAAAATTCTCCGAAGAAATTAACAATAAATAATAAAAAGATAAATAAAACGCGGCGAGTTGGCCAGTCAAAGTTATGCAGGCATTAAGCGTGTAGTAGCTGAAGTTAGTGGAACCATTACAGTCGATATAACTGAGGGGATATAGGTACCGAGTAACGCAATACATCCCTCTTTATTCCTCTGGCTCGATCACCGGTATGCCTGATAAAGAGGATGTGGAGTTTAAAATGCGTACCATCTCAAACAAGTACACGGAAAGAGCATGACTTCCACCAATGGCGTATCCCTATTAAAAACATTTAGTCCTCAATCAATCCTAGGTTTAAATAGTTTGAGTAGATTTCGATTTGGAGGAGTACCTATAGTACTAAATCTCTTTATCGATTAGGTGGCTTTGTTAGCTTTTCCATAATTATAAAGTATATGAAGCAATTTTTTAGTTGTAACACTATTATTATTTTTATAAGCTTTGAGAAGGCTACGCTAATGGCGAGAAATACGTTTAGGAAATATATTTCATTGGCCACATGGGGTATTGTAAGTTACCATGACCATTGTTATTCCTAGATAAATACCGTCTGAACAATCGGTCGCGCTATGGGTTTTCTAACCTACATAGTTTAGTAGAAAGTACAGTGGTATGTACGAATTGCCATAAGAACACCGATAAACTTAACGAAACGAGTCCTATATACATACATTTTGATCTAGTTCTCACGCCCACACCTCCATTTTTTGTTAATCGTATACGATTTACTTTATAGTTTAGTTCCTTTGGGCTGATCGAACGAACTTTATGCATCATTACATGGAATCGTGGCTTTATGGTAAGCAAAACCATTATTAGCATAATTAATAAAATCGAACAGATCGATTTGCAATTTAGATATCGAATTACTTAAAATGTATCAATAAGACTTATGGATGCATAACCGTTGGTGATGCACAACTCGGAATACTATTAAAAATGCCTTCGATAATTATGCAAAAACGATGGCGTGTTTGTTTTATTTCTAAGAAATTTGCATTCTTATTATTTTAAAAAGCTAATTGCAGGTAATTACAAGTTAACTGAGTAATATAATGAAAATAATTTCATAGATATGTTGCCCTGAACGTTAGCAGTGATTTTCATAACAATGAAACCCATATATGCAATGCACAGCTTAACTAGCGAATTTTATACAGAACGGCTCGCGAGAAAGTCTATTACTCATTCACTAACGAGGTGAAAAAAATCATCGCCCTGTATGAGTTGAAAATTACTTTGTCGACAACATAAACATATAAATTTCATTCTTTTGTAATACAATATTTCTTTGTCAGCAATGTTTAAAAGAGAATTAATGAAGGGTTTAAATAATTTTTCAATGTATCGTAGTAAAAATGTTGTACGGTACTTGTTAAAATTTCGAAAAATGTAACGTTTTTCTTCATTTAAAAATAGCAAAAATGCACAACGGTCACGTCGACATATTAAGATATAAGAAAAGAATTCCTATAATGTACTTTTAATCGGATACATCGCGAAAATAGGCCACGACCAGTTCGGTTTTGAATATAAAGATTTCAGAAAAATGTGTTATTACGGATTTATCGCAAATCACTCGGCCACGATTCATTTTCGAACCGATTACATTCCGATCAATTTTGCGAGAGCCGTATCCTGGGCATACATTGAAATTACACAAATGGCGTTTATTCAATCTTCAATTACAGTCGAATTGATCGCTTACGGTAATTACTCGCAGCGAAATTAATGAATAGAACGCTTTCCAACAGCCGTAATAAAGTGATATCAAACAACTCGCGTTATATCAATATCATATCTGAAATGTAATGAGACTGAGAAGAATACATTGTTCTCATTAATACAAATTGCCTAATTGCTTCATTACTTCCAGTTGCGTTTAATTTAATTAACTAATTGTTCATGAATATGGCTATTTGGTTGTTGACCTTATTTACTGTTGTTTTTTAAGATATCAATTACTTATGGAATTCCAGAAAATGCGAGTACGATACGGTTTTGTAATTAATTAATATGCGCCAAATTACGTGGAAAATAAAACGAAATTATTTATAGTAAATACACGTTACATAAACAAATCAATATTGTACAGCATAATAGATAATAAACTATTACTGTACAATAACATACGAATTAAATAATAATAACAACAATGCAGAGTTTCTCTAACATTTTATAATAAATACCTTCCCATTAATAATAAACACATTAATCTGACCTTTAACATTGTACTTGAGAGGAAAAAAAATACCAAACTGTTAGAAAGCACGAGTTAAACCTGATAAAAAATTAGACCGATAGGTATCAACAGACATGGTTTATTGCATTTGAATTTTATGCTACACGAGGTCTTTGCCAGACATATCCAATAAAAACGAAAAATATGCCCAGGAATTTTCACCCTACTTTTTAATTTAATAGTTCAAGTACATTTCTCTTAGTACCACCTTATTCAAACTAGATTAATCAGAACAAACTTTCCGAGTACTCGGCGCCCGGATCATAAATTGTGAAACAATTGTTCGTGATATGTGATACATGGTAAATGCAATTTTTATCGAAACCTTTAAAAGTTATGCGAGATCTTTAATCGATTTCAGCTGCAGAAAACATTAGCAGCGCGCCGTTGGAAAGCGTTTTAAAACGTTTAACACGTTGAAAGCTCGCCCGTAATGCGATCTAAAATCATTATCAAGACGCCGGTTAAGCGAAAAAAGGTGTTGCAAAACAAAATCGTTTAAT